TCCACTGAAATTCAGCTTACATTGAGTCTTTCCGGTGTTTCATTCTTTGATACTCTCTGCCGGCTGCCTACTATTAAGCTATTGTTCCTGTCAGGCCCGTAGCCAGGATTTTGTTTCGGGGTGTGTGTGTGAATTTTTTTCAGGGGGGGTTCGGGGGGGCTGAGTTTCGGGGGGCTGAGTCTGAGTGAAAGAGGGTCTAGCCTAGCAAACCTTTTGTATCATTACCCCAATACCCCCATGCATATGGGATATATTGAGTATGGTGATCAGATCATGATATGAATAAACATAACAGTTTAAATAATGCACCATAAGGCCTTTTCGCGGACCACCCTGAGAATTTGGGGGGGGGGGCTGAAGCCCCCAAGCCCCCCCCCCCCCCCCCCCGGCTACATGCCTGATTCCTGTTTGCCAATATTTACTTTAGTGCCTGAGACAAATTCAGTGTCTGCAAAGGAGTGAGCTTGCATTACTTATAGCAGGTTGCAGAACATAACGAAAACAGAAGAAGGAAGCTACTGTGAAAGAGAGGTTAGGGTGCTGGACTATTAAGTCCCAACTCAGTTATGAAACTTATTGCACCACTTGCTCTTGGACTGACCTACTTCACAGAGGATAAAGTGCAAAGGAGGCAAGCTATGTGTACTACTTTGAGTTACAGAACTGCTACTAAGAAAGAATAAACAAATGTCAAAGTGCCAAGCTCTTATCTTCCAATTGCTTCTGAAATGGTTCGCTACTTACTGTATTTCTACCAGATGACAGCATTTGTTCCCAGGTTCTGAGCACTGTTGAAAGTGCTCGTGCTTATTTTAGAAATGTAAGTGTGAAATATAACGCAGAACAATAATTTCTGAGCCACTCATTTCTGATTCTTTCCCTTAACTTTTGATATAATTGCCACCATTGTTGTAGTAAGGAAGTAGAGTCAATATGTGTCCAAAGAGAACACAGGAAAGCTGAAATCCTACTTCTTAGGCCCCTTCTATACTGTCTTTATATCCTAGGATCTGATCCCAGGTTATCTGCTTTGAACTGAATTATATAACTCTACACTGCCATATAATCTGGGATTATCAGATAATCTGGGATCAAATCATGGGCTATAAGGCTAGTGTAGAAGAGGCCTTAATTTTATCTGTGGCTGGGCTGGAAAGCTTGTGACCCACTAAGTATTGCTAAACTGCAACCTCCATCCACCATCACTAGCATGGTCACTGGTCTGTAATGAAAGCAGCAATGGTCGACTAAGATCTGGAGGGTCATAGATTTCCAGTCCTGGTCTAAGGGCTCCGTCTAATATTATACTGGTGATGTCTGATAATTGGTGCACTATAGACAAGGGCATAGGTATGGGATGGGGGACAAAATGAAGATACTGCTCCTAAGTAAGATCTTGGCCTCTGCAAATTAAAATTGCTTCCATTTTCAGTAACTTTTTGGATATGAATGATTTTCAGTACCTGCAATGAAAACTCTGCAATGTTAGAAATTCAGGAACTTGAAGAAAAAAACTCTTTGGAGGGAAGATTTTTTGTTTGTTTGCAGGGCAGTACCTTCATTTTGGCTGTCCTGTAAGTCCACCTATGGCTATAGATCAAGTATGGGCAAACTTTGGCCCTCCAGTTGTTTTGGACTTCAACTCCCACAATTCCTAACAGCCTATCTACTGGTAGGAATTGTGAGAGTTGAACACCAAAACACCTGGAGGGCCAAAGTTTGCCCATGCCTGCTGTAGAGCATCTTATTACAGGATTGCCCATTTTCTGTGAGGTGCGATGCCAGCATGGAGGGGAGAAATTGTGGCATAGAAAGTTCTGAAGAAAATGATGGGGTCTGGATAGGAAACTTTGTGAAGAACGGTGTAAGGGCTATTCCTTCTGTTCTGTAGCATATTAAGTAGGGTTGCCAAAATTAAACTGGAGATAGCTCCTGGATGTGTAGAAGGAGGAACTTTGGGAGATGTTTGGGACTGTGGCGCAGCTGACTGGGAGTCAGCTGCATTAAGATCACTACTGACCAAAAAAGGTCATGAGTTGGAAGCCAGCCTGAGTCGGAGTGAGCTTCCAACCAATTTGTGTAACTTGCTGTCAACCTTTGCAGCCTGAAAGACAGTTGCATCTGTCAAGTAGGAAATTTAGGTACCGCTTATGCAGGGAGGCTAATTTACGACGCCATAAAAATCTCCAGCAAGCATGCAAAGAATGAGGAAGTACTTCATCGGTGTTACAAATGGACAGTGAAGCGACAGCTCCCCTGGTGGCCAGAATACTCTCATGAAAAAGTTGGAATGTTAAATAGCCTCTGTGTGTCTGTCTATATATGTTGTGTGACTGGCAGTGGTTCTCAACCTGGGGTCCCCAGATGTTTTTGGCCTACAACTCCCAGAAATCCCAGCCAGTTTACCAGCTGTTAGGATTTCTGGAAGTTGAAGGCCAAAAACATCTGGGGGGCCCAGGTTGAGAACCACTGGTCTATGGCATTGAATGTTTGCCACGTGTATATACATTGTAATCCACCCTGAGTCCCCCGCGGGGTGAGAAGGGCAGAAAATAAATACTGTAAATAAATCATAAATAAATGTTTTTCACGCAACAAACAACAACTGCTGAAATTTTCTATTTCATGCAACCATTAAAAACACAGGATCCCTTTCCACTTTTGACTCTAGCAACTCTACACTTGAGGCAGATGCCTCACTCTGTTTTCTGATAAGCCCAAACCTGGAACGTGGCATTGAAAAATGACATGGCCATTTACCCCCAAAAGCATGCTCAGCACCCCTTCCCATGTGTTCCTTGACAAAAAAGACTTTTGATTTTGCTCTTTAGCAGCCCGGAAAAAGATTTCATCCTCAAGTAACCTGCAGCGAGCTCAAATCCAGGGTTTGCATCAAGCCCTCTGGTGACTGAGATTATTTTGCTTGTAGAACAAAAAAGCTACCCAGGAACGTGTAACTAGAGAACTGGGCTAGGGAGCATTGACCGAGAGTAACCCCGTGTCTTGCCTTGGTGTTTGGGCGAAGAGTAGGAAGTGTTTCTTTCTTCATAATTCTTTTGTCCAGACTGGTATCCTGCCAAGTCAGCTCTGAGTAACCCACTAGCAATGCCGAGAGACATAAAGGGAAAGCAGAGGAAGCTTGCTTCTTTGCTCCATGCAGTTCTTCTGCTTTCTTCTTTCTTCTCTCTCCCCATTCCATCGCTGAGATTTATGGAGTTCTCATTCCAAGCCTCTTTGGGACTCCAAAAGCTTCTTGTATAAGCAACCCAGTTAATTAACTTTTCTAAAAAAAATCTCAGCTACCCACAAACCAGCATATGCAGCCCTCTCTCGGGACCCCACTGTACCAGAGAACACGAGTAACTTACTAAAGCTATGTTGCTTTGTTGCTTGCTTCAAACTCAACAGCAACAACACAGAGAATGTGCCATCTGTTTGAGAGTACAGGATTTGCCTTAGGCTAGTTTGAGGAAACAATGTAGTGGTACAGGATGGGCCTCTCCCTATATTTATTGGGGTTAGGTTGTTGTAGGTTTTTTCGGGCTATATGGCCATGTTCTAGAGGCATTCTCTCCTGATGTTTCACCTGCATCTATGGCAGGCATCCTCAGAGGTAGTGAGGTAGTGAAAAAACCTACAAGAACCCAGTGATTCCGACCATGAAAGCCTTCGACAATTTATTGGGGTTGTTTACATCAGAAAAAAATCCATATTCCCATGCTGCAAGAAGACACAACATACAGCTGTTTAAATAGTGAAAATGCTTCTTTAAGGCTTTAATGCATTTAAAAAAAACTGACTTCTTGCTCTGCAATTTTCATGACTACTTAGTTTTTAGAGTATCCATCTGAGTACATCGGGGGAAATGGAATAGATTGGTGGGTGGCAAATGTCACAATTTTTAAAAACTGTTTATTGTTGGGTCCTCTATCATTGAAACGGCTAAATAGACTATTTCTTTCTCCTTGGGGCTAAAAAGAACTTTTTGCCATTATCCCACTTGTGAAATTGAGGTGAGAACAGTTGTCCAGCCGTTAGATCAGTGGTTTTCAACTTTCCACATGCCGTGACCCCTTAATACATTTTTTCATGTTGTGGTGACCCCCAACCATAACATTATTGGGTTGTTGTAGGTTTTTTCGGGCTAAATGGCCATGTTCTAGAGGCATTCTCTCCTGACGTTTCGACTACATCTATGGCAAACATCCTCAGAAGTAGTGAGGTACCTCACTAGCTCTGAGGATGCTTGCCATACATGCAGGAGAAACATCAGGAGAGAATGCCTCTAAAACATGGTCATTTAGCCCCAAAAAAACCTACAACAACCCAGTGATTCCGGCCATGAAAGCCTTCGACAATACATAACATTATTTTCGTTGCTACTTCATAACTGTAATTTTGCTACTGTTATGAATTGTCATGTAAATAGCTGATATGCAGGATATATTTTCATTCACTGGACCAAATTTGGCACAAATACTTAATATGCCCAAATTTGAATACTGGTGGGGTTGGGAAGGGGAATTGATTTTGTCATTTGGGAGTTGTAGTTGCTGGGATTTATAGTTCACTTACAAACAAAGAGCATTCTGAACTCCACCAATGATGGGATTGAACCAAACTTGGCACATTTAACTCCCATGACCAAGAGAAAATACTGGAAGGGTTTGGTGGGCATTGACCTTGAGTTTTGGAGTTGTAGTTCAACCACATCCAGAGAGCACTGTGGACTCAAACAATGATGGAACTGGACCAAACTTGGCACAGATACTCAATATGCCCAAATGTGAACTCTAGTGGAGTTTGGGGAAAACAGACCTTGGCATTAGGGAGTTGTAGTTGCTGGGATTTATAGTTCAAAGTTGACTTGTCAGCGGTTCACAATAAATGCCTCGTTGTTACTGTTATTGTTGTTATTGCTGCTGCGGTTCTTGTTGCTCTTGCAGTTGCTGTTATATATGTGTGTGTTATTTAAATGTGATTTTCTTGTTACTTGGCAGGTTTGAAAGTCCGGGATTTCCTTGTTGCCAACGAGACCTTCTCTAACTTCCTGTATCACAATGCTTCCTTACCACAGTTTGTTGTAGATGAAATCCTGAATGCTGAGGTCAACCTCCAACAGGTACTAAGCTTGCATTCTCATATATAACACTAGTTGTATACTGTCAGCATGTAAAGAAAGCATGTAGGGAGAGATTATTAATTGTTCAGCTATAGATGCCTATCCCCAACTAGCATGGTCTGTGGCCAGGGATGGAAGATGTTTCATTTGGAAAGCAGGTTGTGCTTACAAGTTTTATTATCAAGAATTGGGGATGTGAAGCATGAAAGATGATTTGAGCCCCAAGAGTGATTTATGAACAGCATTTGGTGATGTCTGGTAACTGTTTGTAGGTCATCAAGTCTGGCTACCGGATGAGTGTAAAAGACCTTTGTAACTCAACCAAGCTGTCCGAGATTGTCGTCATCCAAAATCCATTGATAGATGCGGTCAGTAATGCTGTGATTTGCTCCATGCCTAAGGAGAAACTGGTCTTGGCAGAGAAAGTGTTTCAGGATAATTTGGATGTCATGAAGCCATTTCTGGTGAGTATGGTTAGTTCTTGCATTTTCCAGAGTATAATCCCAATTATAAGCATATATTGTGGTAATCATGCAAGTAATATAATGATCAGGAGTTGTCATTGTTGTGTGTCTTCAAAACATTTCCACCTTTTTGTGGGTTTTTATTGACAAGCCCTTTAAAGTTTTATAAACAGGGCCTCTCTAAAAACATTGCCCCTTTTCCTGCCTTATTTCAGCTGTCCTGGAGATTCAGAGAAATCTTTGTGAGGATTCATGTAGCCATTTATTTTCTTTTTAAGCTCCACTTAAAGGACAAGAATTTGATGGACTCAACTTTATATCAGTTTTAAACAGCTCTGAAACAGCTGTTTTCTTCGTCCTTATGCTACCATTTGTGTTTTGGCAGTAACATAGCATTTGCCCTAAGGGCACCAGATCCCATCTTATCTCGGGACCTAAGCAGAGTTAGCCCTGTTTGGGAGACTGCCAGTGAATACCAGGTGCTGTAGGCTATATTTTAGAAAAAAAGAACTGGAAAAACTACCTCTGACTATCACAATGAAATTATCAGGTCACCATAAGTTGACAGGTGACTTGAAGGTACACACAATAATTAAACAAGAATGGGAAAACTGTGGCCTCTAGTTCATGCTGGAAGCAATTCCCATCATCCACCATGAAAAAGGATTGGGAAGTTTGAGGGTTATAGTACAGCCACATCTAGAGTGTCAGCTGGCAGCTGTGACAGCTTCCCTTCCTTGCATTTAGAGCAGGCATGGGCAAACTAAGGCCCTTGGGCCGAATGCAGCCCCTTGGGCTCTCCCCTCTGGTCCTGCACCCTCCTCTCAGCAGGAAGACATAGCAACATGCAGTAATCCGCTGCATGTTGGAGAGAAGGGCCCACCCAGTCACACACAGTTGCACAGCCGCATTTCACACTCTCCTCTCAGCAGGAGGATGTGGCAAGGCCATGCAGGGACCCACAACTGGCGCCCTGGGCAACAAGGTGTCAAATCCTTCTTTCTGCAGGATGATTCAGCGGGCCTGCCCCTCCCAGCCTGGCCCTGCCCAGTGCATGCCCTCCCAACCTCCTGACCTAGCCCGCATTGTGGTCGAAGGGCAAAAAATATTCCCGTGCCTGATTTAGAGCAAACATTTAGAGCAAATAATAATAATAATAATAATAATAATAATAATAATAACAATAATAAACATCTTTATCTTTATTTGTACCCCACCACCATCTCCCCAAGGGGACTCAGGGCGGCTTACATGAGGCCAAGCCTAACAGCACATCAATAAAACAACAAAGCAGCAAACAAATAAAACAGCTCTCTACGTGGGGTTGCCTTTGAAGACTGCTCGGAAGCTTCGGCAGCCAGGTTGCTAACAGGAGCGGCGCTCAGGGAGCATACTACTTTTCTGTTGCGCCAGCTCCACTGGCTGCCAGTTTGCTACTGGGCACAATTCAAAGTGCTGGCGTTAGCCTATAAAGCCCTAAACGGTTCTGGCCCTACTTACCTCTCCGAACGCATCTCCTCCTATGAACTGGCTAGGACACTAAGATCATCTGGGGAGGCCCTGCTCTTTGTCCCGCCTGCATCACAGGCGCACTTGGCGGGGATGAGAGAGGGCCTTCTCAGTGGTGGCCCCTTGGCTGTGGAACGCCCTGCCTACAGATATCACATCGGCCCCCTCCCTGCTGGCGTTTCGGAGGAAAGTGAAGACCTGGCTGTTCGAACAAGCATTTGATTAAACAGTGTAATTGAACATAGGAATACGGAATAATGGATGATGAGACTGGATTCTGATTTTACTGTTGAGGCGCTAATGATTGTTATACTGATGTTTAATGATTTATGTTACAATTGTTTTTAATTGCCCTATACTTGTCTCATGATGTTTTGTATTGATGTTGTTCACCGCTTTGAGTCGCCTGAGGGCTGAGAAAAGCGGTATATAAATAAAATAAATAAATAATAAAATAAATACAAATAATATAACTAACATATAAGCAGAACAAATACTGGGTGTGAACAGAGGTAGAGTATATCTAAGGGGGGGGGGAGTTATATTGCTTTTTGGTGTGCATCTTCCCCATCTCATTCTGGAGCTTTCTACTACCATAGACACCCAAATGGCTCTGATGTAGCCTCCCCTTCCCCTTCCTTGCGGGTACATGCATGAACTTATACTCAAGCTATGCATGTGGTCTTATTGTTGTGACAGAAATCAAGCTGAAGATGTTTATTGCTCACACAAGAAAGGTTAATTGTACATTCCTTTCAAGGAAAATTAAGCCCTTAATAAATAAATTAATCTTTTTTTTAAAAAAAAACCCTGCTTATTTGGAAAATATGCAAGCATTGTATCTAAAGAAATATTATAGGTCAGACGTTTTAGAAGAAGGAGAGAGGAAGAAGAGAGACATTAGAGCAAGAAAATTGCCCTTGGTGAGTCAGCCTTGGGGTCAGGTTTATAATAAAATCCAACTTTACAACAGTTGTGCGTTACCAAATGCATTTATGGTTATTGCAAAATGGAAAATTACTCTGAGTCATGAGTTGTCTGTAGCCATTTCCCAAATGTCAGAATTTACATTGTAATTGGACAGAACAGTGATTCTCAAAGTGATGGTCCATGGAAATGGGCCGATCCAAAACCCAAGCTTTGCTTTTTAGATTTTTAAAAAACCCTTTTAATTGGTAGTTGGTTGAAGCAATAGATGCAGAATATGTATTGTCGAAGGCTTTCATGGCTGGAATCACTAGGTTCTTGTGGGTTTTTTCGGGCTATGGAGCCATGTTCTAGAGGCATTTCTCCTGACGTTTCGCCTGCATCTATGGCAAGCATCCTCAGAGGTGTGAGGTCTGCAGAATAGATGTGGTAGGCTGAGTGGTTTGCTTTTGATCAGCTATTCAAAGTTGAATGTAACTTTCCAGTTCCTTATTTCAGATATACGTGTTCCCAAAAGACAAAGACAGGACCTTCCTCTGTCTGTTCACACCTGGGCATTGCTAATGCTAGTATAAACACAAGATATGGGCATGGCAATCTCTTTTTTATAATAGGATAATAAAACCTGCCATCTCCAGATAACAGGGGAGGTTATTCCAGAGAGGTCACACATAAATCAATAGAGTTTAGCCAGCTGGGTGTGACAAGCCATGAAAAATTAGAAAGGTTGTATTTGATATTTGTGGGACATCCTCATGAGGAATTCTAACCCAAACCCTTTTCCTGTATTGTGTGGGTGACGTATTCAATGACAGCATTAGCCGTGATTCATAATTTATACAGAGATCGCAAGGGGAATTGGAACAGCTTGTTTCCTACTGTATAATTGTATTAAACAGGTATCGATATATTTTTGCTTCCTAAAATGAGAATGTGACATGCAGTATAAGCACAGGTAAATCATTTCAACCAGATCTCATAATCTAGAACAGTGGGTTGTTGTAGGTTTTTTCGGGCTATATGGCCATGGTCTAGAGGCATTTTCTCCTGACGTTTCGCCTGCATCTATGGCAAGCATCCTCAGTTGTAGTGAGGTCTATTGGAACTAGGAAAAAGGGTTTATATATCTGTGGAATGACCAGGGTGAGACAGAGGACTTTTGTCATCTAGAGGAGCCTTCTCCAGTAGTGTAATACTCCCAATTAACTCCAAAACCAGCAAAGTATTTATAATGTTACAGTTTTATAATCAACACAGGCCAAAAGGATGCTTTCTCTGGACACCAATAGCTAAAATCTAGTTTCCATTTTATGTATCTACAGGTTGAGTTCCCCTTATCCAAAAGGCTTAGGATGAGAAGTGTTTTAGCTTTCACGTTATTTTTGGTTTTTGAAATACCTGTGTTTCTATAAACCGTAGATACTCAAGTATAAGCCGACACGAATATAAGCAGAAGCACCTATTTTTACTACAAAAAATTGGGAAAACTTATTGACTTGAGTATAAGCCAAGGGTGGGAAATGCAGCAGCTATTGGTAAATTTCAAAATAAAAATAGATACCAATAAAATTATATTAATTGTGGCATCAATAGGTTAAATGGTTTTGAATGTTCACATAAAACTGTAATTTAAGATAAGATTCTCCAACTCTGATTAAATCATTATTCTAACCTTAGTTTATTTTAACTATACATTTTTGGGGAAATACTGTGTATATGTGAATAAGAAAAAGTGGAAAAGTGGGAAAGACTGGCACCGAGAGAGGAGGAGAGTGTGGAAGGTGTGAGCTGCGCTGAGAGAGGAGGAAAGGAAGGAGAGCTGGGTTGCTGTGCGGACAGGTGAGGGTCCTGGCAGGAAAGCACAGGGCTGAAAGAAACCTCCAGGACCCTTTCCGCCAGGACCCTTACCCAAGTATAAGCCGAGGGGGGCTTTTTCAGCCTCAAAAGGGGCTGAAAAATAAGGCTTATACTCGAGTATATACAGTATATTCATAATGTTGGAGATGCAATCTAGGTGTAAACATGAAATTAATGAATGCTTCAAATATAGCTTATACAAACAGCTTGAAGACAATTTATCCAATATTTTGAATAATATTGTGCATGAGAAAAAGTTTTTATATATTGAGCTACCAAAAAATAAAGCTGTCACTATCAAAACCACTCACATGCACAATTTTGAATTTTGGAGGTTGTCAGATTTTTGAATTCTGGAAAAGGTATATTCAACCTATATTTAAACAATGAGCACTCAGGAAGATGGATTCATTGGTGAATGGGTGACATTATCTATTTTTTCTCAAACTCCCAAGGTAGATGATACCTCATACTTTGCAGTAGAAAGAGATACGAATTTTTACCTCTCTATTCCATCCCAACACAAATTCATGCTCCTTTTGATTTAGTATGTGTTTTTCTGTCTGAAAATGTAGATAATCATGTCTATTTTCTTGATATTGTACTTAAAAACATTTAAAACTAAATCCTCATTTGTCATTCCAGAAGGGAATCACCTCCAATTCAACTTTGCAGGATCTTAAGGGAACAGTGGAGACGCTGATGGGGAGCCTCGGGGACCTTCTTAGAGAGGTACGGCTGGTGATAATTCTCTCTCATTTGCTTCAGTTACTGATTCAATCATACTGTTAGCTGGGGGATGCAAATTACTGTACTCTTGGAGAGCACTAAAATCAGTGACCATATTTGCGTGTCATGGTAAACCAACCATAAGTACTACAAACATTTTAAAAATGAGAATGGTACGAAGAAATTATCAGGCCCACATTTTATACAATGATAATAAATTTGGACCTGTAAGTGAACCAGAATGCAGTTCTGTACCACAATCTTGATTTCAGAGAATTTTGCAGTCTCATTCACAGAAAAATTTGCACAAAAAAGCCTATTAAGAAAAGGATGCACTACCTTGCATCTCTTAATGGAAATTATGCTCGAAAAAGCATTATATTTTAGAAAAACTGCTTGCAAATACTATATTTGGGGAAACTGTATGAAAAACATATTAAAGAAGGGAAAGCATACAACATTATCTGATAGGGATTTAAAACATTCATTTACCATGTTTTCAAATTTGGGTTATTGCGTGTCAAAACAAACTTGTGTTTTGTGGATAAGAGAAATTCATTCAGACCGAAATGCATAGATTTGCCCCTTCCTTGTGTACATGTGTGCAATGGCATCTCTAGGAGGTGAGGAGAGTGTGAACTGTACTGGGTGACACTATCAAAGGGGATGGCGACACCAAAATGTAGAAATGCAGCGTTTCAGCAGAAATGTAATATTTTTCATACAGATATTCCAGTAGTTAAATATAACCCCAGAAACATTTTTTGCTTGCCTATCTTTATGTACTGTGTCAGCAGAGGCAGCCCTAGGTAATTTTCAATGGTAAGCAAACAGTATTTTGGCGCCCCCCCCCCCCAACCAATCACTGATATATATTTTCTGTTCGTCATGGGAGTTCTGTGTGCCATATTTGGTTCAATTCCATCATTGGTGGAGTTCAGAATGCTCTTTGATTGTAGGTGAACTATACATCCCAGTAACTACAACTCACATATGTCAAGGTCTATTTTCCCCCAAGAGCGCCCCTGGGCAAAATAAACTATACCGCAAAGGCTTACTTTGCGTAATGGGTTGAGCTGCCCCGTGTGTCAGCACAGGCAGTCCCCAAGTTAGAACATGTTCTCTAGTTGAAATCGAATTTGTTTTTAAGTCAGAACACGTACATTTCTTAAGTGTAACTATCTATATAAATAAAAATGTAATGTTCGTTTGTGGGATTAATGTAACTAAAAAATCACTGAGAGAATTGACACCAAATTTGGACACAAGACACCTCTCCAGCCAATGAGTGACCATCACTCATAAAAAGACTGAAAAACACAGCAGAAGAGACTTAAAAAGCCAAAAAAAACCCATTACAATGCATGCGCAAAACAACACATATATATACACAAACACACATATATACACATATACACAAATATATATACACACACAAAACACATATACACAGACTGGGCCACAGCAACGTGTGGCAGGGCATGGCTAATCACTCATAAAAACACAGCAGAAGAGACTTAAAAAGCCAAAATTTAAAAAATATACATTACAACCCATGCACAAAACAACATATGTACACATACATACACATACATACACAGACAAAACACATATACACAGACTGGGCCACAGCAATGCATGGCAGGGGTTGGCTAGTATATCTATATCTATGTCTGCATAGCATAGCATAGCATAGCATAGCATAGCATAGCATAGCATAGCATAGCATAGCGAAGGATTAGCACCCCTGTGGCATACGTTTTGCTGCCTGTACTGATGATTTCACCTCACTTTCTGTCCCTGTAATAATTAGATTTTGAATAATTTGGCTTGTCGTAGAAACAAGGAATATTTATTTCTTTATTTATATACCGCTTTTCTCCCACGGGTGAAATTCTCACCAAGGAGTGATCATAAAGCTTCAGTGGGGACACCTTTTCCCCATGATAACTCTTTCGGGAGTTCATTTCCCTTCCCAGGGATCGACTTCTCTCACTTCCTGTTGTCCCCCCCCCCCCCCCGGTTTCTTAACTCTGAGCCGTTTGTAGTCACTTCACTTAGTCACGTAGATGATCCGTTCCTCATCTTTTGTGCTTCATTTGTATCCATTTATATCTATTTCGAGCACGAGATGACCGGTTCACCATTGTACAACCATGTTCCTCTCTCACATTATACGCCATACATAGTGCATTGGGTGGGAGGACGACTAAGAAGTCGTTGACCATCCCTGCGGGTACCATGATGCTGTGGCATTGCTCCAGCACCTATCTGTTCTGCAAATCACATAGCCTACAAAGCGATGTTTGAGTTGGGCAACGTGGCAGAGAGGATCTTTCACTTTTAATATTTTTCGAACATCTTCGTACAGTGCACATTCTCTTTGTGTTCAAAAAGACATCCCAATGAGCTGTCTTTTAAGAGAGGCATGTGTGACCCGTAGTTGTTGCGAGAGACCCTTTGTCATTGTCCATATCTCTGCACCATAGCATAGGGCAGGTAGCATGATCTACTCGAACAATTGAGCTCATAGAGATGGAACTCTCTGCCCTGGAGTGTGGTGGAGGCTCCTTCTTTGGAAGCTTTTAAACAGAGGCTGGATGGCCATCTGTCAGGGGTGCTTTGAATGTAATATTCCTGCTTCTTGGCAGGTGGTTGGACTGGATGGCCCATGAGGTCTCTTCCAACTCTTTGATTCTATGTGCTTCCAGTTGATTCCATAGCAACTTGAATATAATTGTAAGCAGCCCATTCTGCTTTCCTACATTTGTAAGTTGAAGAAATTCACAATGGTAGCAGTTTGATCGCTTTGGAAATGGAAGCATAGTAATTTGACTTGGGTGTTTTAAACCAGCCTTGTTTTTCAAGCTTGTTGAACTTAAAGGGAGGAGGAATGAAATTATGCTGTCTGTTCTTTCCTAAGCAAATGAGCTAACTCTTTTCGTTCTGGCTGAGCTTTTGTGTAAAATACTTCCTTTTCCTAGGTTAAAATCTCACCCTAATTTAGAAAAGTAGATGTTTTAATCAAAAAGGGAGATAATGAAGAAGAAGAAACCTTCAAGAATTCTTATTGTTCTTTTCTCTCTCTCTTATTTTTCTCGTTTCCTTATTGTTCACAAATGTTACAGCATTTCAGCCCTGAACTATAGTAATCTCTTGGCTGAGACGCCTCGGGTTACTCGAGGTGGTGGAGAATTTTAGTTTTGTGGAAGAATGAGGGAGGGAGAAGAGGAAGGAGGGGGAGGAGCACATTTCTTCCTCTCCAGCCCACATCTGCCCCTGCAAAGAGATTGCCTTCGTTGACTTGTTAAACTTACAGTTCTCTCCTTGGCTGAAAAACACAACTTAACAGAAAACTCTATTTGAAATCAAGAGAGAACATCAACAAGTTAAACAACTGTAAAAGTTTTTCCTGAACTTTCTAGTTACAGCTGTTTCCTGTTACATGATTTGGATGCCAATAGTCTTTCTTCTTCCTTTCTTTTTAGTCCAATGTCAAAATAAATAATAATAAAAAGACAAACCACATGACGTCCCTTTACTGGTGGGATTGCAAAATAGTTTTGCTGAGGAATGGGATTTTTCTTTGGCTCCCAAACCACAGACAGTACTGTTCCGCTTTTCCAATGCAAGTTCAAAACCAAGGCATTTTTGCTTTGCCGGTGACATGGAAACCATCCTTGAGAGTGTTTTTCTTCGTTTATTGAATTTTCTGTGACAAAAGCACAGAGGAATGGGTGCCTAATTCCTTCATTTAATCTCCCTCGGGTGTGGAGTTAGTAGCAGTGCCATCTGTCTCGGGATGGGGGACAATAGTGCCTCCAGACATCACTAATGTGCATGTGCTAATGTATTTAAATGTATGCAAATTCTAAACTCCCCTGTTTCCAAAGACTGAGGTTTAGTGTGGTTCTATAAGACTATTAAAAATACATTAATGGGTGTAAAAAAATGGGTCAAACAAAAACTGGATAGCCGAGAACAGTAGGTTGTTATTTAGGCCATGTTTTGTATGTCTCTCCTTAAAATAAAGTTGATATGAAATTACTCCTCTAAGAAGTGCAAATATTTAGAAACCCCCAAACCAAGCTGTGGCAGATATGGGGACTGATTTGGGAACAGAATATTGTCCCTGGCTTCCACTACTGCCCCCAACAGTCTTGTAGGCTGCTTGCCAACTGCATCATTTGTCAGAGCTGGGATGAAGCCAAGTGGGCTCTCTAGAACTCTGCATCTGCCAGCAAAATCCAGAGCCTAACCACATTTCTGCTGCAGGAAACACTACATCTGAAAGTAAGCAGACTAGCAAATTCGCCATAGCTTTTGATTTTCCTTATTCTGATGACAGTGAATGCATCATCACCAGGCTCTGAGAAACTGCTTATTATGATGGCCACTTCACTCTGACTAATAGTAGCCTTTGACAGGTAGTGATGTGGGTGAATGCACAGGTGGATTCCTTTTAGTATTAAATATTTTGGTTCCAAACTGTTTTAAAAAGTTCAGGACTTGCCTATCTGTGTGACTGCCTCCTCCCTTACAAGCCCACGCAGACCTTAAGATCTTCCGGGATGCACTCCTCCTGCTCCTGCCCCCGTCTCAGGCACGGATGGTGTGGACGAGAGAGAGGGCATTCTTGGTGGTGGCCCCCCATCTCTGGAACTCCCTCCCCAGGAAGATTAGGCTGGCACCCTCCCTAGCCACATTTCGTAAGGAATTAAAGACGTGGATGTTTCGTCGTGCTTTTGACGACTCCTATGACAAATGGCCTGTATCATGACTTGAATTGTCATTCAATCTGATGTCCTAAATTATATTAACTGATCCTGTTAATTTGCTCTGTTTCCATGATTTTTCCTATGCCATTATACATTGTCATCTACTTTATTAAACCACTTTATCCTTTAACTAGTTCACGTATTCTGTGCTAGCTGAATATTCTGAACAGTCTTCAAGGGCAACTTCATAGAAAGTTCAGGGCAGTAGCCAAGCCTTGATGGCATCAGATTATTAGTAAATGAGGCAAAATCGCCTTAGAAGGCCTAGACCTAGATCTTAGTCATTTCTGACATCTCTGCTTTTAACGAATCCAACCAGATTTCTTATATATATATTGCAATGGTATTCCTAAATCACGATTGAAACAGCCCATATTCTCAAAAAATGTATTTTCCCCTTAGAAGGACAGACTTTGGAAAAAATAAGATGTTAGATTACAGCCCAAGTTTTGCACCTACGTAAATTCATGGTGCAGAGGCTCATTGCCATGGGTATTGTCATACAAAGCAAGGACTTCTCTGTCTTCTTGAAATGTTGTCAGCTCTTGTACCATCACACTAGCAGTGTCTCTGCTCCCAAAAGACCTTGGTTATTTCACTTTTTCTTTTAAATGAAAGTGGCAGACCAAGGCAATCAGGATTTTGCTGACAGAACTATCAGAATGCCTGAATAGTCTCCAATTTTCGTCCTGTCCACATGATTTAAGCAGCCAACTATAAGCCTTTAGGACAGAGTTTTCCAAACGGTGTGTTGTGACAAGTTAGTGTGGTAGTTGCAATGTGTAGGTGTGTTGCATGTACGAGCGTCTATGGAATAAATGATATATTTTAAAAATGTAAAGGGACAGCTTTCATGAGATATGTTGCATCACCAAACATTTGTTTAGTACAATTTATATTTGTGTCTCTATCTCTTATAAGGGGTTGATTTAGCCTTCACTTTGCTAGGAAAACTGAATGACTGTGTCACTAAATGACGCATGTCTAAAAAAAGTGTGCCACCAACAGCACAAGTTTGGAAAGCTTTGCTTTAGGATAAGACAAACAAGAACTTAGGACAGCCTAAACTGGCCAATGGGCTCCTAAAAACATGAAGAAAATGAGCTCCATGGACTAGGTCGGTGGTTCCCAACCTTTTTTTTTTTTACCAGGGACTACTTGACCAGGGCCTACTTTATTATTTATTTATTTATTTATTTATTTGCAATATTTATATTCTGCCCTTCTCACCCCGCATGGGACTCAGGGCAGATTACAGTGTACACATATATGGCAAACATTCAATGCCAATTTTGACATACAACGTGTACACAGAGGTTATTTAACTTTTCTGGCTGCCAGTGTCGCTTTCATTGTCCATCTTCGATGCTGATGAAGTACTTCCGCATTCCCCGCATGCTTTCGCTGGAGTCTTTTTTATGGCCTCATAAATTAGTTAATTTAGCCTCCCCACACAAGGTGGTACCTAATTTTCCTACTTGACAGATGCAACTGTTTTTCGGGTTGCAAAGGTTGACAACAGGCTACGCAATTGGTTGGAAACCCACTCCAACCCGGGCTGGCTTCGAACTCATGACCTTTTGGTCAGAGTGATCTTAATGCAGCTGATACTCAGCCAGCTGCGCCACAATCCTGGTGCAGGGACCACTCTCCAACATCAGTACCAAAAGGGTTACAAATCAGTTTTTGGTCAACTTTAGATTCAGTTTGGGGTGCTGATTCAGAAAATTGCATTGGATAGACCACATCAGCTCTAGTTTCTGATACAGAACATATGCCATGGTCAGTGACAGAGAAAGAGTGGCAGGCGGTGTGAAAGGAGCAGAAATAAAATAAATAAAGAGGTAGGAAGCTCGTGGACCAGATTTTTGTTCTCATGGCCCACTGGTCATCCATGGCCCATAGGTTAAGTACCACTGGACTAGAGAGTAGCTTGGGGCAAAAAAAATGGAGTTTTTTTTACAATTAGGTTTCTAGTGGGGGTTCAGGCCCCCAAGATCTTATGGAGGTTAATGTGACACCCTGCTGCCCTCAATAGCCCAACCCTGCTATAGTTGAATCCTGAGTGTATTTTCCTCTTTGTTTGTGAACTATAGTTGGTGAGCATGAAAAGCTGGAGTGACATGAGACAGGAGGTGAAGTTCCTGACCAGTGTGAATGCTACCAGCCCTTCTGCTGAAATTTACCAGGCAGTGTCCCGAATTGTTTGCGGCCATCCTGAGGGAGGGGGATTGCAGATCAAGTCTCTCAACTGGTATGAAGACCACAATTACAAAGCTTTCTTTGGAAGTAACAGTACTGAAGACGAAGAAGCGGATTTCTACGATAATTCTACCAGTAAGTAGAACTCACTGAGAGCATGCAGATGTTTTATTTTGATGCATTGTCGAAATCCCTTTAGTGGTCTAAGATGCAAGAAGCAGCGGGAAGCAAGAGGTGGATTGCCTATATTGAGTAAGCTGTCAGAGGCTAAGGTGGGAAGATAATGCTTGTATCCCATATTAGTAGAAAGAAGTGAGAGCCGGGGAGGATATCCTGAGTTGCTTTGGCGTATTTTTCTTAAAACATATATTTCTCTTAAAGCACCCTACTGCAATGACCTAATGAAGAAACTGGACTCCAGCCCACTTTCCAAGATTATATGGAGAGCTCTGAAACCTTTGCTTGTTGGCAAAGTCTTGTACACCCCAGATACACCAGCAACAAGGGCAGTCATGTCTGAGGTAAGAACCTGAGACTCAATCCCAATTTACCACCCTTTATCTGGAAATCACAGTATGTCACAGCAAATGAGATCTATATGCTGGATTTCTGGAAATAACAATAACAATAATAATAATAATAATAATAATAATAATAATAATAATAATAATTTTGTTGTGTCAGGAGTGACCTGAGAAACCGCAAGTCGCTCCTATTGTGAGAGAATTGGCCGTCTGTAAGGACGTTGCCCAGGGGACACCCGGATGATTTGATGTTTTATCATCCTTGTGGGAGGCTTCTCTCATGTCCCCGCATGAGGAGCTGGAGCTGATAGAGGGAGCTCATCCGCCTCTCCCCGGATTCGAACCTGCGACCTGTCGGTCTTCAGTCCTGCCAGCACAGGGGTTTAACCCACTGCCCACGGGCACTAATAATAATAATTATAAATAATAATAATAATAATAATAATAATAATTATTATTATTATTATTTTACTGACACAAAAGCACAGTATGTCACAGCAAATGAGATCTGTATGCTAGATTTCTGGAAATAATAATAATAATAATTATTATTATTATTATTTTACTGACACAAAAGCACAGTATGTCACAGCAAATGAGATCTGTATGCTAGATTTCTGGAAATAATAATAATAATAATTATTATTATTTTACTGACACAAAAGCACAGTATGTCACAGCAAATGAGATCTGTATGCTAGATTTCTGGAAATAATAATAATAATAATAATAATAATAATTTTATTGACAAAAAAGCACAGTATGTCACAGCAAATGAGACCAATATGCTGGATTTCTGGAAATAATAATAATAATAATAATTATTATTATTATTATTATTTTACTGACACAAAAGCACAGTATGTTACAGCAAACGAGATCTATATACTGGATTTCGTATCACAAAATCACAAGTTGAACACTTCCCAAGCGTCTAGGACTGTGTGATGTATTTTCAAATGATGCATGCAGATCCAAGTAAGGTGACATTTTGTAGTTGACAGATTGTGATTTTGTCAATATTTATTGTTTCCAAATGCCGGCTGAGATCTTTTGGCATGGCACCCAGTGCGCCAATGACCATTGGGACCACCTGTACTGATTTATGCCAGAGCCTTTGCAGTTCGATATTGAGATCTTGATAACGGCTGAGTTTTTCCTGTTGTTTTTCCTCAATGCGACTGTCACCTGGTATGGCGACATCAATAATACAGACTTTTTTCTTTTCCACAATTGTGATGTCTGGTGTATTGTGTTCCAATATTATTATTATTATTATTATTATTATTATTATTATTATTATTATTATTATTATCCAAAACCTCCTTTATACTTTTGCTGCTGAAAGCTGCCTGTGCCCATGTAATGTATATTTTTTAAGGAAGGGCCATAACTAAGAAATCAAGTCCCATAGAGTTTGGAAGCGTTACTGCACAGCACTACAACTTAAAAAAATTACTGTGGGCAATATGTCCATTGCTAATGTGATCTGGGAGATTCTGGAAGCTATCATTGAAAAATTCCCAAGATTTTCTGGAGCAAAGACATATTCAGCAGCTCCAGTTTAAGGACATCAGGCAGCACCAGTGCTGGGATTCGTGCCCTGAAATATTGTGTGCGTTTCCATGCATACAGAAACATAGAGGGGCCTAGTGAGAGGAAATTTTCAGGAGGAGGGGAAGTTAAAATGAGTCAGAAATCATTAGGAACCTAGGTTGGACAGTGTTTGTTTATGCAACACTGTTTGACATCCACAAGCCCCTGGGTCACATGCTCCATTTGCTGACCGAAGCAATTTCTTAAGAACAGCCAGTGCTTTGCAGTTTTAAGTAATACAATGATTTAAAATTAGTGCTTTTTCAAAGTTACATATCTCTCTTCCTCTTGTATTTTTTGTGGTGAGAATCTGTACAGAGTGTTCTGTGACCCAAAGAGGAGTATCCGAATAAATCAGAACTTGGAGACATTTGTTTTTGGGGCACTACAAATCCCAGAGGTCCCCAATTGAGAATTGAGAAATTCTAGTTAAAAATTCTGACAAAATTAATTTTCTTGACTAAAGACAAAAAAAGACAAAGAGAGAGATGTTCAAATTAGTTTTTGTGTTCTAACCTCTGGGATAAAATGCCAAGGTTGTGGGCTTGAAGAGATAAAACTATTGCTAATCCATAAGAAAATCATTTTTCGCCTGGTTGTTCGGCATTTTGGTGCTTCTGATAGTTACCTTTGCCCCCTTTGCTATCTTGACAGGTAAACAAGACGTTCCAGGAGCTTGGTGTCTTCCGTGATCTTGGAGGGATGTGGGAAGAGATAAGGCCAAAGATAAAAGCTTTCATGGAGGAAAGCTCAGAAATGGATCTGGTCCGGGTCAGTATACCATAACTAGTTGTTTCTCAGATGACATGGAATAGAAAAGGTCCTGTTTACAAGAAGTGACTTAAATGTGTTTATTTTAGGATTGTGGATGGCACTTTGTCTATTAGGAAGTACATACATATTTTTGTAGCAGCTCATTTCTTGTGACCAGTCTACTTGTGTTGGGGATTTCTTGCCTGAGCAATGTAATAATGTCCTGGGATGGAAGGAGAGGGTTCTTTTCTCTCCCTCTGTCTAGCCTACTGCTTCTTAAACTGTGGGTCCTGGTGCTAAATGGGGTCCCGTTTGCACAATGTTGGGGTCGTGAAAAAATTGGCAACAGTAAAAGGTTTCTGATGGCACTCATTTACACAAATCTGTTAGCAACAACTTAGAGTATTGTGGTGAAGTGTGAGTTTTAATCTACAGTTATGTATAATAATAGACAGGTGTTTAAAAGGGTAAGTATTTAAACTAGCATAATTGTGGGATGGTAGCCAGCTTAGCTCACTCGGAGCTGAGTCGCCATGAAAAAAGGGGCGGAGTCAACTGCCACTTGGCAGGGCAGCTATTTTAAAACAGTTAGTCTGTAGTCAGCGAACTACAGGGAAGGCTGGTTCTGTTGTGTGTTGAGAACCAGTAAGGTAGTCTGTAGTCTAAGAACTACAGGGAAAGGCTGTTTCTACTGTGTTGAGAATCAGGAAGGTTTTGGCTTTTAGACTGTGTAGTTTAGATGGGTCAAGTTGACTTATTTATATTATTAGTCAGTGTATGAGCAAAAGGGGGAGAGAACCCTAATAAGAATCTTTACTGCAACAGAAATAACATAAGGAAAAGATAAGCTTGTACCTGAAGTAATCTGTTAAAGAAAGAAACACATTTGGAAGGAAAATAAGTTTGAAACCTGTTTAATGGAAGGAATAGACCTCTTAAGAGTTGGTTTATGAAATGTTAAAAATGTAACCTCTGAAGATATGTGCCTCTAAGACTTAAGATACATTGAAACCATCAAGCTTCAATAAACTATATACTTCTATAAACTTGTTACAGTTTCTTCCAAAGCCAAGTCTCTGTTACAAATACTTTCAAGTTAAGCCATGCTACACATTGACAAAAACACAAATCAATATCACAAGCTATTAATTGTGTTATCAATTTAATAAGTCCTTACAAAGTGGTGGCTCCTTTACAAACCGTTACAAATTGGTGGCATCGTTATAAACTGGGTGCCATCTTTACAAGCTGGTGGCCTCTTTACAAGTATTCACAATGGAGTCTGCAGAAACTGCTTCAGCTATACTCCACAAAAAGGAAAATCCACCTGTTTAGCAAACCTTTGCAAATGGTGGTTTGTTATCAGTCAATGCTTGATAGTTATCTATTTTATATACCTATACTGTGTAAAGTATACACCCATGGTTGTAAAAAAATATATATCTGAGATGGAAAGGGGTCCTGAGTGAAAAAAGTTGAAGCCCTCCTCTAGACAACAGTTCTTCTCTTCATCATTTTTTGATGTGCCAAGCAGTCTGATTTGTTGTGCACAACACACAGACCGTGGCCATGTATAAATCAACCTCCCTCCCCTCCCACATGGCTGCTGTGACTGTACACCTGCCAAGGACATGGCTCAGATGAATGCGAAACGAGGGGGATATTCAAGTTTAGGCAGGCTTCACATTCTGTTATGCTGAGCGCTGCTCTAATCACATTACATGGGGCTCTGAACTAGGGAAGAATGTGATTAAATATTACCTCACCCGCTGTAATGCAGGAAAGAGGTTCAGGTCCCAGCCCATTTGTCACTACCCAACCTTTGTTGAAATGACCAGTAGATTTAATTAGGCATTTGGGATAGTGACGTTAGGTGATCTTAATCTTTAATATTGCAGGACAGGCTGAAAACCACCCAGGCCAATATCAACGGAAGCATTTAATCTGTTTGATATTTAAGGAGCCAGGGTTTTTGTAAAGACTAATTTGTTAACACTTATATGAGGATACTGAGTTCAATTTCCTTATCAATCACTCGGAAGAAAAAAGGGGAGAATCCCTCCTTTCATAATATTCTTAAGCACCAACTAGGCACTTAAGATAGTCTGGGGAGGCCCTGCTCTCAGTCCCACCTTCTTCGCAGATGCAATTGGCAGGGACGAGAGACAGGGCCTTCTCAGTGGTGGCCCCTCGGCTATGGAACGCCATCCCTAGGGATATCAGATTGGCCCCTCCCTCCTAACATTTCGAAAGAGAGTTAAAACCTGGCTGTTTGAGCAGGCATTTGCAGATACACTGTAACAGATTAATTTAGATCCATGGAATGATGGGACAACGTGACAGAAAATGATTTTGATGAGACGCTGAGGACTTGTGTTTTATGGTTTTTATTGTTATACTAGCCGTCCCCTGCCACGCGTTGCTGTGGCCCAGTCTGGTGATCTGGAAAATAAAGTAATGAGAAAGTTTTGGTTTCTAATATTTGTAATTTCTTTATGCTTGTGGGTAAACAGTATTTCTTGCTGTTTCTTCGTCAGTGTTGATGTGGAGATTGTCTGGTTTGCCTACTCTGGAACATGCATATAATTATCCTTCTTTAGGGGTCCCTTTCAAATATATGATACTATTTCTGCGTGTGTGTGAATCATATATAACCATCAATATCTATGGCTGTATGGCTCTTTGTCAGGAGGGCTTTGAATACGTTTTCTTGCCCTGGTGAAGGGAGTTGGACTGGATGGCCTTAAGTATTTTCTGTTGGTCATAGGAGTTCTGTGTGGGAAGTTGCCCCAATTCTGTCATTGGTGGGGTTCAGAATGCTCTTTGATAGTAGGTGAACTATAAATCCCAGCAACTACAACTCCCAAATGCCAAGGTCTATTTTCCCCAAACTCCACCAGTGTTCACATTTGGGCATATTGAGTATTTGTGCCAAGTTTGGTCCAGATCCATCATTGTTTGAGTCCACAGTGCTCTCTATATGTAGGTGAACTACAACTCCAAAACTCAAGGTCATGTCCACCAAACCCTTCTGTTTTCTGTTGGTCATGGGAGTTCTGTGTGCCAAGTTTGGTTCAATTTCATCATTGGTGGGGTTCAGAATGCTCTTTGATTGTAGGTGAACTATAAATCCCAGCAACTACAACTCCCAAATGACAAAATCATTTTTTTTGAGTGAAGGACATACATTGAGTTGTTAGGTGTCTTGTGTCCAAATTTGGTGTCAATTCGTCCTGTGGTTTTTGAGTTCTGTTAATCCCATAAACGAACATTACATTTTTATTTATATAGATTGCTTTTATATGATCTTATTATATGTAGTGTTTTAATTATATTTTATGTATTGCGGGCATTGACTGCCATCTATAAACTGCCCCGAGTCACCTTCGAGTTGAGAGAGGCGGTATATAAATATAGTAAATAAATAAATAGTAAATAATCAAAATTGAACTACTCACATATATTTCTTTGGAAAGACTAAGAACTTGTATACATCCAGACAGGCAGAGCAGATATTTTGCTTAACTTGTAGACTGAGGATGCATCTGCACCACTTTAACTGCCATTGTTCAATGCTATGGAATCCTGGAAGTTGCAGTTTTACAAACCTTCTCTGCCAGATAGTGCATTGAGTTATGACAATTAAAGTGGTGTCAAACTGCAGTAATTATGTAATGTAGGTACACTCAGAGTTTGCCTAGGAAAACTTTCCAGCCAGTTCCCTCGCATTTGGCAGCCACACCAATTTTCAGTTGTGACAGAGTAGGAAAGATATTCAGGTTGTAGCTTTCTCAAAAAGCAGGCTATTTGTTTGGCGACCACAGGAACACAAAATGTACTACTGTGAAGTTTTGTTCCAGAGAGAATGCAAACCGGGTTCTCCAGTTGATGACCTGTTTTTCCTCAGCTGGACAGCATCAGTTGTTTATGTCTTCCTTCCTTTCCCAACCCTGTGTAGATTGATAGTGAGGAAGAGAAATGGATAGACCGTGGTATGATATTATAGCTTGTTCTAAAGTCTAACAGGGCAAGCGCCAAATAACCCTGGGTGTTAGCAGTGACTGTACATCTGGCAACCGGTTATACATCCACACTAAATGAGAATGTTTTAGTGCTATTTTTCTTTGTTTGTTTATTTATTGTATGTGTTAGTCACCCAGGAACCTAGTCTGTCTGTTGAACCACTTAAAAATCACTCAAATGTAACATCTATCAAATATAATTTAAAAAATCTAGCAACCAATAGTAGGAGTGGAGAAAATTAGCTAATGATATAGAGCCAAAAGGATATGAAAAGGCAAAACATAGCCCAAAAGGTAATCTATATAAATAAAAATGTATTGTTCGTTTGTGGGATTACCATAACTCAAAAACCACTGGATGAATTGTCACCAGATTTGGACACAATACGCCTAACAACCTAATATATGTCCTTCACTCAAAAAAAATTGATTTTGTCATTTGGGAGTTGTAGTTGCTGGGATTTATAGTTCACCTATAATCTGAACCCCACCAACGATGGAATTGAACCAAACATGGCACACAGTTCTCCCATGACCAACAGAAAATACTGGAAGGGGTTGGTGGGCATTGACCTTGAGTTTGTGAGTTGTAGTTCACCTACATCCAGAGATCACTGTGGACTCAAACAATGATGGATCTGGACCAAACTCTACACGAATACTCAATGTGCCCAAATGTGAACACTGGTGGAGTTTGGGGAAATTAGAATCTTGACATTCGGGAGTTGTAGTTGCTGGGATTTATAGTTCACCTACAATCACAGGGCATTCTGAATCCCACCAACGATAGAATTGGGCCAAACCTCCCACACAGAACCCCCATGTGGGCCACAGCAACACATGGCAGGGGACGGCTAGTAAAAAATATGGAGACTGATGCATCACTGTCAATATTTAAATGATCAAAGTGTTGTTGTTAAAAGATTTGGGGAAACAGACAAAAGTTCTTTTTATGGATATAATAATAATTGCAATAACACTTAATTTATATTCCACCCTTCTCCCTGAGGGGACTCAGAGCAGATTACAGTATATGTAAGTAGGCACAGGCAAACATTCAATGCTTTATTACAATGGATTACAATGAGACACAAAGACAAACAAAGGCAAAGGCTTCTCCTTTCCGTGGAGGTGTTGCTCAGCTCTGGCTCTGGGGAAGGTGCTTTCTCCATTTCCAAGCCAAGGAGCCCGTGTCCGTAGAAACCTGGTTGTGTGGCCACCATGAACTGCTTGGAGCTCATTTCTAGAGGTTGTTTTCAGTGTCTATATTAAACATTTACCACAGCCATACCTTCAAATTTGCTGGGGTTACATGCACAGGACCCCTGAAAAAGTGAAAAATCCACAGAACAGAATTTTTTTTCTTTTCTTTTCTTTTCTTTTAAGTGAGAGAACATCTCTCTGGGTCTTCTCTAGTATAGCTCTTCAGTCAACTTCTATTGTCAGCTTCTGCTAGAAGTTGACCACAGACTTGCAACGGAGGACCTATACATTACTAGAAAGAACATTTTAATAAAACATGTGAATAATCAGATCTGCAAAAGTCAAAGCTGCAAAGGAGGGCCAACTTACAGCCTGAAGTTTAGGTGCTTGAGTGAGCAGTACATTGCATTTGTTGTACTAAAACAACAACAACAGTGTGAGAAATTTCTCGTGGTAGGGCCATCCCTGTAGATATGGCTCTTTGAACTACTGACTGTAATTTTAGAGATTTATGTTTAGTTACCCTGGCACCAGACGGTGGTCTCTGGACACTTGCACAGTGTATCCAGATATTAATTATATAGATTGTATATTAAAAGACAAACATTCAATCTATGCCCACTTTCTTGTAATTTTCTATTTGTTTATAATATGTTTAGCACAAGATTTAGGCTAAACTCCTATAGACAATTCTCGGGAGGGGAAATCCCATTAAACTCAGTTACTTTGGAGTGAACATAAATAAGAATTCATGAATAGTGCAATGTGTGATGATCCATGCTGGCTGTTTCATTATTATATTATCTGTTTCCTATAATATTATTACCCAGTTGTGCCAAATCACTTCTTTGCCTCATCTTAGAGCAGAGAGTCTTTTGGACTGTGCTGCCCGTAACAACAAGGATCCAAATCAGATTCTTTCTTCCTGTAAGCTCTCTCAGTCTACAGTACAGAATTTACTTGTTTGTTTTCGGTAATCTGGCATCAGGATTTTCTAGAGATGCTGTGGGAGGCTGCCACCTCGTGGGCAAGAATCATGATAGTGCTAAGGGAGCTTCTTTGAATAGAGTGGGATCAGCATGTTGTTGTTGTTGTTGTTGTTCATTCGTTCAGTTGTTTCTGACTCTTTGTGACCTCAGGGGCCAGCCCATGTCAGAGCTCCCTGTCAGCTGTCACCACCTCCAGCTCCTTCGAGGTCAATCCATCCATCTTGCCCTTGGTCGGCCCCTCTTCCTTTTTCCTTCCATTTCCCCCAGCATCATACTCTTCTCTGAGCTTTCCTATCTCCTTATGATGTGGCCAGAGTACTTCATCTTTGCCTCTACTATCCTTCCCTCCAATGAACAGTCGGGCTTTATTTCCTGAAGTATGGACTGGTTGGATCTTCTCACGGTCCAAGGCACTCTCAGCACTTTCCTCCAACATCACAGTTCAAAAGCATCTATCTTCCTTCGCTCAGCCTTCCCTATGGTCCAGCTCTCACATCCATAGGTGACAATGGGGAATACCATTGCTTTAACTATGCGGATCTTCGTTGCCAGTGAGATGTCTCTACTCTTCACTGTTTTATCAAGATTGATCATTGATCTTCTCCTAAGAAGTAAGCGTCTCCTGATTTCCTGGCTGCAGTCTGCGTCTGCAGTAATCTTTACACCTAGAAAGGACAGTGTTGGAGTTGCAAGTGTTTGTTGCATTCTGGTTGGCCTCTCTATTGTGGATACTGGATTCTGTTTTATTTAAATGGAAACAATTATGTCATCATTCCTTGCAGAGATTTAGTTTTCCTACTTATGTGTTCTGTACACCAGTGAAATAACAACATGCTTGAGTCTAAAGTTGGAAGACTTACGAGTAACTCTGTAAACAGTTGCTGATAACTGTTTCCTCCTTATACAAGGGCAAATTCATCTAATCTTTTCCATCATGTTGATTCATTTCAGACGTTATTGCAGAATAAGTTATATTGGAAGAAACACTTGATGGGCTCAGATTGGACCATTGAGGATGTTGCCCTGTTTTTAGCAAAGAATCCAGAGGATACTCATTCCTTGAATAACTCTACTTACACCTGGCGGAAAGCTTTCAATGAGACCGACCAAGCTGTTATGACCATCTCCCGTGTCATGGAAGTGAGTCTGTTATTGTTGCTTGAACATTGGATTGTTGCTATCATCTTTAAGAGTGGTTTAAAGCATGTTATTGATATGATTTATTCATCAAGACCATTTTACTCTCCCCAATTCCAAGTTGATTCAGGTATTCCCGTAGTTGTTAGCCCCAGCTAAAGTAAACCCACTGAGTCAACAGAAACTTTGTAAAAAGGTAAATGTTTGATCTCTGGGCTGTTCCAGCAAGGCCATATATCCCAGAATCGGATCTCAGGTTTTTGGTGTATCCCAGATTATCCATCACTGTGGACTCATATAATCCAGTTTAAAACAGGAAACCTGGGATATAGGGCCTGTCTGGAAGGGCCCTCCAGAAAACTACTGTAGTTGGGGCTAAGAATTAGACTTAACCCATTGTAATTAAATTCATGAAGCTTGGCATAAACAACTTTAGTTCAGATCTTTGCTTCTAAAAATAATTCCATCCCACCTTCTGATTCTTTTATCTCTTGCCATTGCAGTGTGTCAACCTTGACAAGCTGGAACCTGTGCCTAGTGAGGTGCGCCTGATCAACAAGTCCATGGGACTGCTAGACCAGAGAAAGTTTTGGGCCGCCATTGTCTTCCCTGAAATTGCTCCTAGCAGCGCAAAGTTGCCCCATCATGTCAAGTACAAGATACGGATGGACATAGACAGTGTGGAAAGGACAAACAAAATTAAGGACGAGTAAGCATTCCTCAGAGAAGTCCATGATTACAGACCCCAGTATGTGGGTTTCTAATAAACAGCCAATTGTTTTTGTGCTTTGGTGTAGGTACTGGGACCCAGGTCCTCGAGCTGATCCTTTTGATGACATGCGTTATATCTGGGGAGGCTTTGCTTACTTGCAGGATGTGATCGAGCAGGCAATCATCCGCACTCTGACAGGCTCTGAGAAGAAAATGGGTGTCTATGTTCAGCAGATGCCCTATCCTTGTTATGTGGATGACATGTAAGTGACAGTATAAAGAAGCAATAGATTAAAATTGTTATTATGCACTGTCTTTATGTTTAAATGCACTATAATGCTTCTTTTTTGCTTATCAATGTATGTATTTTTATGGCATCGAATTGTGCCGACTGTGTATACCGCCCTGAGTCGCCTTCGGGCTGATATGGGCGGGATAGAAATAATGTAAAGAAATAAATAATAAATAGTTTGGCATAGTTGGTTCCTCTTTGTGGAAGAATTAACTAGGGTTTTGGGGGTGATTGCTTTTGGATGAATTTAATCCAGTCTGTAGAGACAATAACAGGGGATTAGCAACCATAACTGCTGCCATTTTCTCAAAGATCATATTGTCATGGGGAAGAAGGTTGCTTTAGAACAGTGGTTCTCAACCTTGGGTCCCCAAATGCTTTTGGCCTACAACTCCCAGAAATCCCAGCCAGTTTACCAGCTGTTAGGATTTCTGGAAGTTGAAGGCAAAAAACATCTGGGGACCCCAGGTTGAGAACCACTGCTTTAGGAAGCTTCTCTAAGCTGTCTCAGGAGGAATAAAGGTGTTCAAAATGGTGGCAGGTAATCTTGCTACGGTAGCTTATTGTGTAAAATAATTATTTTAGTGATGAGACGCTGAAGACTTGTGTTTTATGGTTTTCATTGTTCTACTGTTTTTATATTATCTGTATTATATTTTAACTATATTTTATGTTGTTGGGGGCACTGATTGCCGATTGTAAACCACCTCGAGTCACCTTGGGGTTGGTAAATAAATAAATACAATACAATACAGAAAGCAAATAAAATATTGTTTATGCCCCAATGGAGATATTATGTCCTTCATCTCACTATAAAAAGGCCTAGTATCTCATAGCCATTCAGCTATGATAGTAGCCTATTGGAAGGGAAATCCACAGGTGATAGGCCTAGTTCTTTTTAAGATGCCATCCATTGCCAATTCTTAGGGGAATGAATTGCAAGTTGCATGTAGAAGTATTTACTTTTGTCTGTCTTGATCCTACTTCCAATCCAAGAGAAAAAGTCAATGACCTTGCCTCCTTCCCTTTTGCTTTGCCCTTCAGATATCTGCGTATCACCAGCAAATCCATGCCCCTTTTCATGACACTGGCTTGGATCTATTCTGTGGCAATCATTATCAAAGGAATTGTGTATGAGAAGGAAGCCCGGCTGAAGGAAACAATGAGGATTATGGGTCTGGACAATGGCATTCTCTGGCTGAGCTGGTTCATTAGTAGCTTCATCCCGCTTCTCATGAGTGCAGGACTCTTGACAGTGATCCTCAAGGTGAGCATTTTTGTACTTCAGTATCCTTACAACAACACTGTAGGGAGACTGCTGTTTTTAGTCTTCATATTGCAAATGGTTGTTAGAGGCTGAGCAGTGATGGTGTCCAGTCTGTCAATAATACCGTATATTCTGGCGTATGACTACTTTTTAACCCAAGAAAATCTTCTCAAAAGTCAGGGGTCGTCTTATATGCAGGGTTGTCTTATATGCAGGAGTAGTCTTATACACTGGAGTAGTCTTATATGCCGGGAGTAGTCTTTTATGCTGGGAGTAGTCTTATAGAACAGGTGCTGAAACTTCCAATCGGATTGCAGAATCTATAGTTGCCGTATATGGCAGGGGACCTCAAAAATGGTAAAGGCCATGTCCCTGCCATATGCAGCGACTGTATGAAAGCATTAAAGGCGACACTGTACAAATACGGTAGAAGAAAATCCATTCATCAGGATTCGTGGACTTAATGCGATCCTGATGGTGAGGTGAAGGGGCGCCTCACCGAGAAGGGATAAGTGAAGGGTGGAGCAAGCTGCAGGCATTTGGGGTATGGAAAAAAGAGATAGAGTGGCTCTGGGCACAGAAAAACACAACTCTTTTACCTGTCTGGCCCGCCCTTGTATCCTATTACCGTACCTCCTCCTCTGCCTCTCAGATCTCGCTCCTGAAGACTGCAGTGCAGGTGCGCATGAGTGAGATCTAAGAGGCAGAGAAGGAGTTACAGTAATAGGAAAATTACCATATTGAAATCAAATCTGATGCTTTTAAAATTTTTATTTGGTGTGCATTGGAAGAGGGATAGTCTTATACAGCAAATACATATCCCAAACTATATTTTAACTGGAAAAGTTGGGGGTTGTCTTATATGCCCAGTCGTTTTATATGCCGGAATATACGGTAAGAATAATAATAATAACAACACTTTATTTATATTCCGCCCTTCTCACCCCGAAGGGGACTCAGGGCGGATCACAGCACACATACACGACAACATTCAATGCTGCTTGTGTATAGAGAATACACAGACAAACAGAACAGAAAGGAAGTGTTGTTGACTCAGCGTCCAAGCAGTCTAATAAATATGTGACACATGAGATTTGAACAAGGATTCACATTTAAATTCTTTTTGAGAAGGACTCTTGGTCTGCTGTGCTCCTTAATTTAGCTTCTGAAGGTTCCCAGTAGCTCTGCCCCATTTCTCCAAAGCCTTACGTCCCTCAAAAGGGAGAGTTGGGCTCCAGAGTTTGCTTCAAACTCCCTTCACTTTTCCTGCGCAAGGGAAGCAACAGGGAAGTGAAGCCAGCTCCTGAAAGTGCTGGTTTGGAGAGAATCAACTGGATGTGTTTGCATTAATGTGTGGAGAAAACCATTTTCTCACTGATTCATGGTGACGGCTAGGTAAAAGTTGTTAGGCTCGTGCAGATACTGTGCCAACTCAGAAGTTTGTTATTTTTATCATTGTCAGTGTGGGTTAGTTGTAGAGAGAGGCTTCAGTGGATTTCACTTCCCTTTTCATTAAGCTCTGGGTAAGGAGGAAGGATCACCTCACCTGCAATTACATCATGCGAGCTCACAGTTGACTATACAGTACATTTTAAGAAATGGAGACCTCTGCCATGGCTTGTCAAGGGAGTCATCCTTACCCAAAGGCAAATGGTGCAACCCAATTATTATATTCTTAGCCAGATAACCCAGTATTCTACTATGAGAAAGTCAGTGTGGGACAGAGATTAGAGTGTTTTTTCACATGAGCTCCTTGATGGTGAAAGGAATGCAACAATGGTTGCGGAGCCTGGGGGTGATTGAGCTTGCTTTCAAAAATAGCACAGAGAATTCCAGGACACTGTTCCTTTACTGTAGGCATGTCCCAAGGATGGGGTGACAGTTGCAACCATAGGATTCAATGTTGAAAATACAGGGGACAGTGAGATGGAATCAGGCCTACCTGCTCCCATCAATGTATATCTCTGTGGTGCATATTTATCTTTACTTGTTCATTTTGAAGAATCTTAGGGGTTCTCATGAAGGTGAAGATGATGATAATGATGGCTCAAGGCTATAAACATTTCCTGACATTATGACTGATCTTCTCTTTATCCAGAAAGGAAACTTGCTGCCTTACAGTGACCCCAGTGTGGTGTTCGTATTTCTATCAATCTTTGGGGTAGTGACCATCATGCAGTGCTTCCTCATCAGCACCCTCTTCTCAAGGGCCAACTTGGCAGCAGCTTGTGGGGGGATCATCTACTTTACCTTCTACTTGCCTTTTGTGTTATGTGTTGCCTGGCAGGACTACATCAGCTTCTCTCTAAAAATATTTGCAGTAAGTAAATGGGGAATTGGCAGCAAGGTTGGGTTTGGTGTCTTTCTGGGAACATTTATGGGAAGGTGAACGGTGGACAAACCTTGTCCACTTACGTTATTAATGTGGTTCCTTCTTCTTCTTCTTCTTCTTCTTCTTCTTATTATTATTATTATTATTACTTAGGCATGCCACATCTCAGCTACTTGTCAACAGTTAGATTTAATTCACTAATATTCAAAAGTTTTTGAATTTGATGACCTGTGAATGGAAATACCACTACATTATTATTATGAGATATATATGCTGGATGGCCATCTGTCAGGGGTGATTTGAATGCAATATTCCTTCCTCTTGGCAGGGGGTTGGACTGGATGGCCCATGAGGTCTCTTCCAACTCTTTGATTCTATGATTCTATGATTTCGTATCACAAAATCACATGTGAATGGAAATGCCACTACATTATTATTATTATTATTATTATTATTAATAATAATAATAATAATAATATCTCACTTTATCTCTCCCAAAGGAGACACAAAGTGGGTTAACATGAAAGCATTAGCATACAATCTATATAAATAAAAATGTAATGTTCATTTGTGGGATTAACTCAAAAACCCAAATTTGGACACAAGACACTTATCAGGCCAATGAGTGACCATTACTCATAAAAACACTGGAAAACACAGCGGAAAGGACTTAAAAGGTCAAAAAACAAACAAAAAATACATTACAACTCATGCGCAAAACCACATATATACATAAACACACATATATACACATCTACACAAGTATATGCAGAAATATATACACACATATGCACACACAAAACACATATACACACAAAGGGGGAAGGAAGGAGAGAAAGGGAAAGAAGGAGGGAAGGAGAGGAGGAATGGAAGGAAGGAACGAAGGACAGGAAGGAAGGAAGGAAGGAAGGAAGGAAGGAAGGAAGGAAGGAAGGAAGGAAGGAAGGAAGAGAACGAAATAAAAAGTGAAAGAAGGAAGGAAAGAGAGGGAACGAAAGAGAAAGAGGGAAGGAAAGGAAAGGAAGAAAGGAAGGAGAGAAGGAAGGATGGAACCAAAGAGCAAAGGAAGCGAGGAAAGAAACAAGTAGAAAACAAAAAAGGGGGGGAAAGAAAAAGAGGGAGGGAAGGAAGGAGAGAAAGAAAGGAGAGAAAGAGGGAGGGAAGGTTGGCCACAGCAATGCGTGGCAGGTACAGCTAGTTTAAAATATACATTATCATGGGATGTACTGCCCTCTGCCTTCTTTCCATGCTGCTCTAACCACACGTGACTTCAAGATGTCATGAATGAGGCCCATGGTATGGAATGGATAATCATCAGGATCCACCTCATTGGCTTCATTGAGGTCTAAAATTTCATGGAGTGGTGTGAGAAGTGGCACAGCCACACAAATTAAACTTATATTATCCTTGTTAATGGATGCTTGTAACTGTAGCTGCGCAAACCTAGTTGTTTTCCTCAAAGTAGAAATATAATCAGTGAAAGCACCAAATATGTTAATTGAGACCTTTCCTCCCCAGAGCCTGCTTTCTCCTGTGGCCTTTGGATATGGCTGTGAGCATCTTTCCCTTCTTGAAGAGCAGGGCATTGGGGTGCAGTGGGACAATATCTTTGAAAGTCCCAGGGAAGAAGACAGTTTCAACCTCACTACTTCTGTGTCTATGATGCTGGTTGATAGTTTGCTGTATGGGATTATGACTTGGTACATTGAATCCGTCTTTCCAGGTGAGAAATCACATTTTAATCTATCTTTATCTTGCCATACTTCCTTCATCTGCAATGCATCCTTCCCTTGGTGAGACTTCTGTGATATTCCAAAGTTGAATAACTGATGGAAACAGCAGCCCACGGAGTTACTGCCAACTGGGAATGCTACTACTCCCATTAGGCTGTCCAGCCATTAGGCTGAACTAAAATGTAAGGCTGCAAAGGTACACATCATTCTTTAGGAGTAAATTCTATTACAGTTTGGGTGACTTACCTTTGGGTAATCATGCACAAAGTTTGTACTATAAGTGGAGGATCAATTTTTCCATTTTCAAAATTTTCAGATTTTTTTTAAATGATCCCTCATCCACATTTAATTCTTGCCTCCTTCAGCCCATTCAGTCTACTGCAGACAATAATTACTTTAGCTCTGCCATTTGATGCTGCTTTGAACATTCCTTGCATGGTGTATTTCTGGATAAGTTGATTTCAAGCATTCTAAGTTTTGCTAAGTTGATTTGTGTCACTTCATTTTAAAAAAAGGAGAGGCAAGAACCCTGTTCCCTCAAACTCATTATGTGAAATCACTCCATCTAAGCCTATATAAAGGCAGGCCTAATGGAAGGAAATTGAGCTGCAGAATTACAAATGGAAATTCTCAAAGGATGCAGAAATATATTTGAGTGCTGGGGTAAAAGTGATATTCTAAATGTGATTTAAGGAATTTTCTTTTTTTCTCTTTAGTACATCTCACTGCCTAATATATTCTCTTTCACTCTTTGGATTAAATCTTCCATAGTCATTTCCATTGTGATCCACACCTTAGTTACCTCTAGACTGGACTATTGCAATGCTCTCTACGTGGGGCTGCCCTTGAAGATGGTCCGGAAATTTCAATTAGTCCAACGAGCAGCAGCCAAACTACTAAGTGGTGTGAACTACAGGGAGCGGTCAACCCCCCTGTTTAAGGAGCTCCATTGGCTGCCATTTATTTTCTGGTCCCAATTCAAGGTGCAGGTTCATACCTACAAAGCCCTTAATCGTTTGGGACCTGCCTGCCTGCGTGACCGCATTTCCCTCTATGAACCTAGAAAATCTCTTCAATCTTCCGGAGAGGCCCTTCTCTCGCTCCTGGACCCGTTGCAAGCACAACTTGTGGGGACGAGGGAGAGGGCCTTCTCTGTGGTGGCCCCTCAGCTCTGGAATTAACTCACCAGAGATATTAGGCAAGCCTCCATCCTGGCAGTCTTTAGGAAGAGCCTGAAAGCTTGGTTGTTCCAGTGTGCCTTTAATGATTGAATGAACAATAATCCCTGACCTGACCAAACCCTACTTTGCTCCCTGGATCGCCTGTCCTGATACATTACATTGCTCTCTCACCCAGTGTTTTAAATTTTTAGTCTCTTGCCATTGGCCCTGCCCACTGTGATCAATTTTCTGTGTTCTAATGTTCTGAATTTATATTGTCTGATGTGTTTATTTATATTGGTTCTTGTATTTTTATATTTTCTGCTGTATTCTTGTGTTATATTGTTTATTGTATTGCTGGGCTTGGCCTCATGTAAGCTGCCCCGAGTCCCCTTGGGGAGATGGTGGTGGGGTATAAATAAAGTTTATTGTTGTTGTTGTTGTCACCGGATTATTAAAGAACAACTTGTAACTCTTGCTAGACCTAGAACCCAGCCAGGATATTGTAGATACTCTTCAGCATTTTCAGAATACCCCAAATAATATAATTTCTGCACATTCAAGATACTGTAAATGGCTTTTCTCAAATTTCAAACATTTTGACACCTTTTTAGGACAGTTTGGCATTCCAAGACCTTGGTATTTCCCCTTTATGAAGTCTTACTGGTGCGGCGAGAAATCCGATGAAGGGCAAATCCCTTCTCTTTCTGAAGGATCTTCTGAAAGTAAGTGCACACTCTGTAAACTTTGCTGTACGTTGAGGGACTATTCTACTTCATGCATAGTAAAAGTCAGGATCATCCAGCCAAATGGACTGGCAGCAGTTTCAAGAAAAGGGGAAATCCTTTTGCAGCATATGGTATATAATTATGGAGTTCATATTGACAAGATGAAGTGATGGTCATTAGCTTTGATACCTTTAAAAAGAAGTAGAACAAGTTCATAGAGAACAGGTTTAACCACACTATTCGCCAATGTAGATGATAGGGCTTCTTCTTCCTTCTACGGAATGTAGCGAAATAGCATAACTCTGAATGTTAAATAGAGAGGGCAGACAACAACAGAAGGTTATCCATTTGATGTCTTGCTTTGGATAAATCTGCCCAGTCCCACAGCTAGGAAGAAGAATAATGGATACATGAAGCTAACCAAGCAAGAAATCCATTGTGCCCTTGTGTCCGACTGGCCTTGCCAGGATAAACTTAATCTGAGCATACCCAGAGGCTACAGGAAACTTGACCTAACATGACCAAGCCTAGTTACAGACCATTCCTTCTTTAATAGAAACCTTTCTGACAGATCTGGCTTCCTGCAGAGTTCAGTTAGATTTCCAAGAACCACCATTCCATCTTGAATTCAGGAAATTGCTGCATTGTCCTCATATCACCTCCTGATCCCTATTCGGATGGCTGCCCAGCCAATTCCTGAAGTAGCCTTCTCGTGTTGTGTTCTACTAAGCCGAGTTAACTAACTTCTTTGTCCCTGTAGTTTGTATGGAAGAAGAGCCAAGCCACCTTCGCCTTGGGGTATCCATTCAGAAACTGGTGAAAGTCTACCGTGATGGCAAGAAGCTGGCAGTAGACGGCCTTACTCTGAATTTCTATGAAGGGCAGATTTCCTCATTTTTGGGACACAATGGAGCTGGGAAAACCACAACAATGTAAGTGGCAGTGTTGTGAAGGTGAGACAGACCTTTTCCAGAGATGTTCCACTCGGTCTTGTTGGATTCAGCTTCCCTTCTTTTTGTGTTTAGGTCCATCTTGACAGGATTATTTCCCCCAACTTCGGGCACAGCCTTCATCCTGGGCAAAGACATCCGTACTGAACTGAGCACTATCCGGCAGAACCTGGGCGTTTGCCCCCAGCACAATGTTTTGTTTGACGAGTGAGTAAAATATGAATAATGTTGTTCTTTCAGTATATTTATTTATGAGGTGTTGTGTGGTTTTTGGACAGATCATCTGAAGATGCCAGCCACAGATGCAGGCAAACAGCAGGAGAAAATGTTGCTAGAACACGGCAATACAGTCCGGAAACCACACAGCACCCCAGTGATTCAGGCTGTAAAAACCTTCAATAATACATATTTTTTATATTTTTTTCATAAACAGAAAAATTCCCAGAAATATAATGATGCATGTTTGAGAGGTCTTGCCAGATCTTGGATATTGTAGATACTGTTTAAGTGCACTGTGTCCCTTTCCCACAATAGGTGCAAATTTGGAATTGTTTCATAAAACTGTTAAGAGCTTCTTTTTGGGCCATAGAGAAAAATGTTGGTGTTGAGGCTACTTACTTTATCACTATGATCATCAAGAAATGGTGAAGGGCTCCTGGCCTTCTTCTGTCGAAGTGAAGGTGGGACAATATAATCTTAAACTCACAGAATCATAGAATAATAGAGTTGAAAGAGACCTTGAGAAGCCATCCAGTCCAACTCCCCGTCAAGAAGCAGGAAAGTTGCATTCAAAGCACCCCCGACAGATGACCACCCAGCCTCTGCTTAAACGCCTCCTAAGAAGGAGCCCTCATCACACTCCACAGAAGAGAGTTCCACTGCTGAACCGCTTTCACAGTTCGGAAGTTCTTTCTCATGTTCAGATGGAATCTCCTTTCCTGTAGTTTGAAGCCATTGCTCTACATCCTAGTCTCCAGGGCAGCAGAAAACAAGCTTGCTCCCTCCTCCCTATGACTTCCCCTCACATATTTATCATGCTCAATATATCCCATATGCATGGGGCTATTGGGATAATGATACAAAAGGTTTGCTAGGGTAGATCCTCAGCCCCCCCCTTTGAATCAAACTCAGCCCCCCCCCCCCCGAATCAAACTCAGCACCCCCTGAATCAAAATCCTGGCTACGGGTCTGCCCTTAGTATATAATATCATGCGTGTCATTTCCTCTCCATGGAGTCATGTGGCGGACCAAAAGAAATAGAGACTTTTTGCTCTCTTGCATTTGCCAAAAGATTCCCTCGAAATAACTTAACCTCAGATGACTGAGGATTCTGCTGGCTCCAGATGTTCAGAAGCTGTGACACAAAGTTACATAGTTTCCTAGGAATTTCTTTCCTTTTACTGTTTTTGTTTGTTTTAAAGCTGTTTGGACATAAGTTTCCTTTTTTAAAAGCTGTTTCCACAGACATAGATTTTCAGACCTTGCATTTAAACAACCATCATAGCAGCTTTGGGTCCCAAAAATTGCTTTGTGGCCAACATGTAAGAATAGGGGAAAAATTCCCCTGTCTAAAGTAGACATAACATGAGGTTTCCTAGCTCTTTCCCCTACCATTTTAAAAATGGGAGCAACTGTTTTTAAAATGGGATGCTGTGAATTTGAACAGAGGAATGGTCGTTGGGATGGAAGAGGAGCCCATAGGGGTCCACAAACTTTCTGAACAGAGGGCCAGGTCACAGTCCCTCAAACTGTTGGAGGGCCGGATTACAATTTGAAAAAACATGAATGAATTCCTATGCATACTGCAATATCTTATTTGTAGTGCAAAAAACACTTAAAAACAATACAATAATTAAATTGAAGAACAATTTTAACAAATATAAGCTTATTAGTATTTCAGTGGGAAGTGTGGCCCCGCTTTTGGCTGATGAGATAGAATTGTTTTTGTTGTTGTTTGCTTTCAAGTCATTTCAGACTTAGGTTGACCCTGAGCAAGGGCCGGGTAAATGACCTTGGAGGGCCATATCCGGCCCCCAGGCCTTAGTTTGAGGACCCCTGCCATAGACACTCCAATTTGCTCAAGCTTTTAGTTGTTGTTCCAAACTCCCCTTATTTATTTATTTACTATATTTATATACCGCTTCTCTCAGCCCAGAGGCGACTTCTTACAGCTTTGAGGGAAAGTAAAACTTATCAATAATCAGAATAATTCCTCCACACAAGCACAAAGAAATCGCAAGCCTTCTGTGGTTATTTTTTGCATTAAAAACAGTCAGCTGTTTTGCATGCAAAGGTTACTGTGATCAATCTTCAGAAATCCCTTGATGGCTGATCATTGCACAGACTTCTACTTGAGATCCTGTGAGTCAGAATAGATTGTGCTGGCCAAGCGGACAAATTGTCCAAATTGGCATGACGCTGTTTCCTAGTGTGAGATTCATTCTCAAAAAATGCATTCTTTAATCACATTTTCAGTTTAATAATAGATAATGAAAAACAGGCAGATATGTAAGTGGTCCCTGTCCCATCCCCGCTTCAACTAAAGTGTTGTTTCTATTCTTCCCCACGTGTTTAGGTTGACTGTAGAGGAGCACATTTGGTTTTATGCACGTCTCAAAGGGCTCTCAGAAAAGTTGGTGAAAAAGGAAATGGAACAGATGGCCATCGATGTTGGCTTGCCTCATAAACTCAAATCGAAAACAAGCAAACTCTCTGGTAAGTATCACTTGTGCAGCCATATGCTACTGCTTGTCTACCTGCATGAGAAAATAAGGGCAGCTACATCTGGGTCAGATTGATTGTCTTCTAAACAGGCCCCTTCTAGCTCCAATAAATCATATTCTTCTGTTGTGGACTACAAGTAGAATTACAACAAACTTTCCACACTATTGATACTTATTATGTATTCTCTGTATACATCCCACCGTGTGCTATACACATTACTTACTTACTTACTTACTTACTTACTTACTTAGGTGATCCCTCATTGTCTGAGTAGGATAATCTTCCAGGGTGTGCCCGTAGGTGACTGTGGAGCCCTATTCTTGATCTGTATCGTCTCCCACAGTGAGRGCATTGGTTTCCAGGTGGAAGGCGGTCCTGGTCAGGGTTGGCTTGACGCGCCTTCCTCTTGGCACATTTTTCTCTTTCGCCCTCCATTCGTGCCTCTTCAAATTCTGCAGCACTGCTGGTCACAACTGACCTCCAGCTGGTGYGCTCACAAGYCAGGACTTCCCAGTTCTYAGTGTCTATGCCAGTTCCCAGTGTCTATACACATTGGTACTGTCAGGATGCCTTCTATATATGAAAGCCATTATTGTTAAATCTATTTGCCTAATAATAATAATAATAATAATAATAATAATAATAATAATTTATTTATTTGTACCCCACCACCATCTCCTCAAAGGGACACAGGGCGGTTCACAAAGCACTCCAAAGTGCCACACATAAAATTTATTTGTTTATTTATTTATTGATTGTGTCATCCGCAATCAGACATTTATATTACATTTTTAACAAAAACAAACAAGCAAACAGACAAAACAGAATTTGCAAGCTTGGTAGTTGATTAAATGTCCTTTGACTAGTATCTGGCCACTTGGAGTGCCTCACATAAAATGAACAACACATAGGCATAAAAACAATAATAACATGAGATTAAAACTGCAAAACACACATTTAAAATCACATAATAAAATATTAAAATTCATGAAACGCAGTTGTGACTGCATAAAACTGTTGTAGTGTCACATATTTTGTCATCCTTGTCTTAGTTCTACATACCACTTTGAATACATTCAGCCAAATGTACTACCACAGTGCTGCAGACTCCCTTGTGTTAGGTCATATTAAACTATGTATTAAATGAGATCAATTGTCTTTGATTTTGTTTCATAGGTGGCATGCAAAGGAAGCTTTCGGTCGCTCTGGCCTTTGTGGGTGGCTCCAAAGTTGTCATTTTGGATGAGCCAACTGCTGGGGTTGATCCATATTCTCGCAGAGGGATCTGGGAACTTCTTTTAAAGTATCGCCAAGGTATGTACTCTTTCCTCTTACAAAACAGTGAAAAGTTGTCATGTTGTATTCTTGTTTGTATATAGAAAGGGGTCATTCTTTAGTGAATGGGGCACCTAGTATTTCCAAATAAGGCAGGGAAAGATTTGTGTCTGAAACCTTGGAGAACTCTTGTAAGTTTGTATAAACATAACTGAGATGGAAATTATAAGAAGGTGGCGACAGCTGTGTATCTACTGTTACCTTTTACTATCGAATTAATACTGTGTTCTCCAAACTATGTGTGCCATATGCTTCCTGTACAAGAGCAGAGAATCACATAGAAAGCTGCCCCATTCCAAGACAGATCATTGGATCTGCTCAGTCCCTCCTGGTCTTCCAAGATTCTAAGGCTCAGATTACCTCTTTCCTTGAGTTCCATTTAACTAGAAATGCCAGAGGCTGAACATCAAACTTTCCTTTTATTACTGGCCAGTCTTAAATTTCACCACAGTCTTACAACAAGATAACCTTTGCAAGATTTGTAAGGGAGTTGAGGTTATGAAACATTCTTTACATCTACTACAGTAATGTAGAGAACTGCTACTTTAATTAGGCATATAGTTTCAGTACTTGCAGCTGCGGCCATTTTTTTATCATTCATCATATAAATGGTTAAAGGTCAGATGAGAACGAGGATTTCTTCATATTTGTTATCAGACTTTGATCACATCCTGGATTCCACCATTTTAGTTTAAGGTCAAGGTAAAGGTTTTCCCCTGACATTAAGTCCAGTCGTGTCTGACTCTGGGGTGTGGTGCTCATCTCTATTTCTAAACCAAAGAGCTGGTGTTATCCGTAGACACCTCCGAGGTCATGTGGTCAGCATGACTGCATGGAGTGCCGTTACCTTCCTGCTGGAGTGGTACCTATTGATCTACTCACATTTGCATGTTTTCAAATTGCTAGGTTGGCAGAAGCTAGGGCTGACAGCAGAAGCTCATGCCGCTCCCCTGATTCGAACCTGCAACCTTTCAGTCAACAAGCTAAGCAGCTCAGTGGTTTAACCCACTGAGCCACCGGGGGCTCCCATTTTAGTTTTTGTATATGTTATTAGAAAACAGGACCACAAATGGAATTAGAGAAATTTGATAAAGAATCTATGAGAGTTGTAGGTTGTTGTAGGTTTTTTCAGGCTATATGGCCATGTTCTAGAGGCATTTTCTCCTGACGTTTTGTCTGCATCTATGGCAAGCATCCTCAGAGGTAGTGAGGTCTGTTGCCTCACTACCTCTGAGGATGCTTGCCATAGATGCAGGCGAAACGTCAGGAGAATGCCTCTAGAACATGGCCATATAGCCCGAAAAACCTACAACAACCCAGTGATTCCGGCCATGAAAGCCTTTGACAATATTATGAGAGTTGTCTTTTTTTATTGTGTTCCAACTTAAAAGAACTGTCTTATAAAAAATCTTGGCTAATGGTACACAATTTCCTTCTGGCTAAACTGACATCTGGAGGGAAAGATACTAGAGACAAAGTTGAAGTACTTTGGCCACATCATGAGGAGACAGGAAAGCCTAGAGAAGACAATTATGCTGGGGAAAGTGGAAGGCAAAAGGAAGAGGGTCCGACCAAGGGCAAGATGGATGGATGGCATCCTTGAAGTGACTGGACTGACCTTGAGGGAGCTGGGGGTGGTAACGGCCGACAGGGAGCTCTGGCGTGGGCTGGTCCATGAGGTCACGAAGAGTCGGAGACGACTGAACGAATGAACAACAACAACAACAAACTGACATCTGGATGAGGGATTAAAACAAAATATGGCCAGAATAGATTTTGTTTTGTTGAATTGGAGGGGGGGGGATCATAATCTGACCTTGTGTTTCCTATTGACAGCAATGCTAAAGTTGGCCAAAGATTCAATTTCCTTCCTATCTTGGAATAGGAAGAATATCAAGGCAGAAATTCCTACAATATCTGCTTTGAACTGGGTTATCTGACTCCACACTCAGATAACATGGGATTTTCTGCCTTGATATTCTGGGATATAGGGCTGTGTGGAACAGCCCTTGGTCACCATATCCTTCATTAGTAAGATTGCCATAAGTTGGAAACAACTTGAAGACATACAACAACAGCAACAGCAATATAAAAATCATACATCTTTAAGTTGTCATTTGCCCTGCTAGTTAATACATATGGGCACAGAATTGCTACTCTGTCCACATGTACCTGATTTATTGTTTTCCTGTTATTTTTTTTCAGGCCGCACAATCATTCTGTCTACGCACCACATGGATGAAGCAGACATTCTTGGAGACCGAATTGCCATCATCTCCCATGGCAAACTCTGCTGCGTTGGCTCCTCTCTGTTCCTGAAAAACCAGCTGGGGACAGGCTACTACTTGACCTTAGTCAAGAAGGATGTGGATTCTTCCCTGAGTTCCTGCAGAAATAGCAGCAGCACTGTCTCTTACTTGAAAAAGGTACCACAAAACTCTGTATGGTTTATTGTCAATTTTCATTTTAAATGATTTAAATGTGGAGGTTATTGGGCCTCCTCAAGTTCGGTGTGCTCAACCTTTAGACCACAGCTAGAATGAGAATATTAATAGTAGAATCATAGAATCCTAGAGTTGGAAGAGACCTCATGGGCCATCCAGTCCAACCCCCTGCCTAGAAGCAGGAATATTGCATTCAAAGCACCCCTGACAGATGGCCACCCAGCCTCTGTTAAAAAGCTTCCAAAGAAGGAGCCTCTACCACACTCCGGGGCAGAGAATTCTACTGCTGAACAGCTCTCAGAGTCAGGCAGTTCTTCCTCATGTTCAGATGGAATCTCCTAGTATAGTTTATTAATAGCATTCAGTCATAAAATCACTTCAATTTGAAATTCCTACATTTTTTATTGCATGGTATTACTTTTCCCCTTGTAAAACTACAACTCCTCTCCTTCCATAATATTGAGCCAAGACTATGAAAGTGTTGTCAAACTGCATTCTTTCTACAGTGTAGATGCGCTTTTGGCCATGGTCTCCCAAAGTTTAAAACTAGAGCTGCATAAGCTCTTTCTAAGCTAATGATCCAGACTTAAAATCAAAGATTAGGATGTAAGAAGTTACATTCTGTGTGCAGTGAAAGATGGAAGTGAATGGCTATTCCACATTCATTCGGAGACTGGAAAAGGTTACTTGGGGGCTACTTTTTGGATTCTTAAAATTGCCAGGAGTGGGTTTCTAACAGTTGTCATTCAGAAAGTAGCATTTCTGCATTCTGCATCCATCACATGTGGCAACCAGTCTGGGCAAAGAAAAGATCTTCAGGTATTGAAAATAAATAAATAAACAGCTCAGCTTTTCAACCATATACTTTACCACTGAGTTCAAGACAAATTCTGAATCTTAATAATATTGCAGAATACTTTGCATTTTGTTGTCTTCCTTTCCTCTTTCCTACTTTATAAAATAGTAATTGTAGGCGGTGGTTTTCATGTTTCTTTCCTGTCTGTGTTCAGATTGGAAGTAATTGGATCATCCTTTTTTTGGTAACTAGGATGACAGCGTCTCTCAAAGTAGCTCTGATGCTGGGCTTGGCAGCGACCATGAAAGTGACACCTTGACAATAGGTAATGGCTTAAAAAACAAATAAGGTTGCAGTGTATGTAGCTTATGTAACTAGACTTGTGCATCATGATCGAGTTTGATAGAGTTGTTTGGAAATTTATCCTTCAGCAATTCCATTCCCTCATAGCCACCGCTGATCAAGCAGTGCTGATAAACAGATGCTTTGGTTTGAAAATGTTGGGTGGAATGTAGCATTGGCTTCTGTCATATGTGTCATCCCTTAAGTGGACTTTTGTCAAAATGCTCTAAGTCACCAAAGGAGGGAGTTCTCATGTTCTTCCTTCTGTGTTGCACTTTTTACTGTTCCAAAGGGCTCCCTGTGCTCCAAAGCAAATTCTTATTGCAGTGGAGGCAGTATTGAAATCTTCGAGGCTAAGGCAAAAAATTATCCTCCTGTTCTGATAATGTTTACTAGATTTACATTTCCATAGTCTTCCATTGGTGGAAGGAACCCTTCCCTTTGCAGAAAGTAAAATTCACAGGCCAACACACATTTTGTTGCCTCAAATGTTAGACCTGTTTTGGGGTATATTTGACCTGCTGATTCCAAAAATGGCAACAGTTTCTCTTTGTCAGCTCAAGTTTTTGAGATACAGAGCATACGCTATATACCAATCTTTATCTGCTCACCCATAGAAAATCATTGTAACCATATTTAAGAAATTAGAGCTATGTTTCTTTCAGCCATATTGTTTTTATATTGCTTTCAATTGTGTTGTTATTTGTTTTATCTGATGTTTTAATTGGTTAAAATGTTTTACATGTGTGTTTTAATTGTAATCTTGGGCTTGTCCCTTGTAAGCCGCCCCGAGTCAACTAGGGGAGATGGTTGGTGGGGAATAATAATAATAATAATAATAATAATTATATATTAATAATTATTATTATTATTATTATTATGAGATTTATCTAATGCAGTTTTCTGAATCAATGCCCCAAATAACCCCAGGAGCAGGTGTAAAAACCAAGATGCCAAGAAAACCATTTATTTTTGTTTGGGCTATGTTACCTACCATTTTTTTCTAAGTTACTCTGAAATCAATTAAATGTCCCTGTTTTATTTTGGTACATTGGGTGAGAAATAGGCACTCCCCCAATTACATATATATCTCAGATAATCAATAATTAGGCCTAAATCCCTTTGTTGGTTAGAATATTCCTATTGAATCTGTTTACTCACTTGTTCACCGGTGGCGCAGTGGGTTAAACCCCTGTGCCGGCAGGACTGAAGACTGACAGGTCGTAGGTTCGAATCCGGGAGAGGCGGATGAGCTCCCTCTATCAGCTCCAGCTCCTCATGCGGGGACATGAGAGAAGCCTCCCACAAGGATGATAAAAACATCAAATCATCCAGGCGTCCCCTGGGCAACGTCCTTGCAGACGGCCAATTCTCTCACACCAGAAGCGACTTGCAGTTTCTCAAGTCACTCCTGACATGACAAAAAAAACCCAAAACTATTCTAGTTGGAATTAACCAATAAGAATCCAACCTCATTGTCCTTTGTTGGTTGGAATAATGCAGAATAAGCATCAAGCGGAGAGACATCTGAATGTAACTTGGTTCTTCCAGATGTATCAGCCATTTCTAATCTCATAATGAAGCACGTCCCTGAAGCACGGTTGGTAGAGGACATCGGCCATGAGCTAACTTACGTTTTGCCATATGAAGCAGCTAGAGAAGGAGCTTTTGTGGAGCTATTTCATGAGATTGATGACCGCCTCTCCGACCTGAGGATTTCAAGCTATGGCATTTCTGAGACTACTCTGGAGGAGGTATGTGAAGAACCACACTTTTTAATTGTTGGAGCAGAGGCAAATCTGGAAGCATGTATTTCTGCATTTTTAGATATAGCTCATTGGTTGTGGGTTTGTGTTCTTTTTAGCATAGAGTTATAGAGTTGGAAGAGACCTCATGGGCCATCCAGTCCAACCCCCTGCCAAGAAGCAGGAAAATTGCATTCAAAGCACCCGACAGATGGCCATCCAGCCTCTGTTTAAAAGCTTCCAAAGAAGGAGCCTCCACCACACTCCGGGGCAGAGAGTTCCACTGCTGAACGGCTCTCACAGTCAGGAAGTTCTTCCTCAAGTTCAGATGGAATCTCCTTTCTTGTAGTTTGAAGCCATTGTTCCGTGTCCTAGTCTCCAAGGAAGCAGAAACATGGCTATCATGTCTCCTCTCAGCCTTCTCTTCTTCAGCTAAACATGCCCAGCTCTTTAAGCCGCTCCTCATAGGGCTTGTTCTCCAGACCCTTGATCATTTTAGTCGCCCTCCTCTGGACACATTCCAGCTTGTCAATATCTCTTTTCAATTGTGGTGCCCAGAATTGGACACAGTATTCCAGCTGTGGTCTAACCAAGGCAGAATAGAGGGGTAGCATGACTTCCCTGGATCTAGACACTAGACTCCTATTGATGCAGGCCGAAATCCCATTGGGTTTTTTTGCCGCATCACATTGTTGGCTCATGTTTAACTTGTTGTCCACGAGGACCCCAAGATCTTTCTCACGCATACTGCTCTTGAGCCATGCGTCCCCCATCCTGTATCTTTGCATGGACAACTGTGCGCCTGTGACTCTTTTTTATCTATAACTCTGGCATTACCTTATAAACTGAAAACTGCGTAAAAAGAGACTTGCAATGTGGTGTGAGGGGCTGAAACCCAGATGCCCCCATTGCACATGTAGGTCCAGTTGTAGAGTATTTAATTGCATCTCTTGTAAGATATTGAGGATTTTTAAAGCAGGTTCATCTCTGCCAATATCGTTGTCAGCCAGCTGATAAAATCAAGCATCAAGTGGTAAATGTTTTCCCTAAACTTTCCCATAGTAAGCTGTTGTTCTGAAATTCCACACTAGGCTGCTATTCATGAAGTTAGGAATGTAGGACTACGTAATACAGAGTCCATCTAGTTCCCCTTTCTGCAGGCCTGGTCTTCAGTGCTGGGGAACCCTCCAAAGCAAGGGCACTGGAGAGCAGGTACCATGAGGAGGAAGGGAATCTCACCTTTTATGAGCTCACATAACTTTGGGTTCATTTTGTAGGAAGCTGCCTTCTGTCATGTGAGATCATTGTTTCATCTAAAGATCCTGTTGCCTACCTCGATTGTTAGTGAATCTGCTCAATTTTAGGCAGACTTCCTTCAAAGCCCTTCTAAAGATGCCTGGGATTGGAATTGAATAATTTTGCATCCATGTACTTTGGAATGGGTCCAGCCATTGTCTTCCATCCACCCCAAGTATTTATTTATTTACAGTATTTATATTCCACCCTTCTCACCCCACAGGGGATTCAGGGCGGATTACAATGTACATATACGTGGCAAACATTCAATGCCATAGACACACAACATATATAGACAGACACAGAGGCAATTTAACATTCCAACTTTTCATAAGGGTATTCTGGCCACCAGGGGAGCTGTCGCTTCACCGTCCATTTGTGACACTGATGAAGTACTTCCTCATTCTTTGCAGGCTTGCTGGAGATTTTTATGGCATCGTAAATTTGTTAAATTAGCCTCCTCACGTAGGCGGTACCTAAATTTCCTACTTGATAGATGCAACTGTCTTTCGAGCTGCAAATGTCGACAGCAAGCTAAACAAATTGGTCAGACACTCACTCCGACCTGGGCTGGCTTCGAACTCATGGCCTTTCGGTCAATAGTGATCTTAATGCAACTGACTCCCAGCCAGCTGCGCCACAGTCCATCACATGAAAAGAAAAATTGAACACGGGGGCGGGGGGGGGGAGCTTCCTGGAGTGAAAGTCTTGTAAACCTTTCTCCTTAATATATTATAATTGAAGTTCTTTCATCTTCATGGATTTTAACACTCTAATACTTTATAAATATTCAAAAGACTCTGTTATTTGTTAGCTTTTCATTTCTGTATATCCTATTCCATTCAGATGGGATTGAAAGCGGTTTGCAACAAGAGAAATGTAAATGACTTTGTAAAATATATGTAAATGATTTCAAATAATTTTTTTCAGTGCCAAACCTGACTTTATTCAATTAACTAAACCATGGCAACCTCAATGTTACGGTGTGCCCCTTTTTAACATACCCTTTCATGACAGATCACAAACAAGTTTGGATTATCTTGCCTGCGGTGTTAGTGCCAAATCTAGGAGAAATTTTGTCACTTAACTTTGCTGACTATATAAACTGACAACACACATTTTGGATGAGCCATGAATTCTGTGTTCTTTTGAATATCCTAAGAAGTTGAGAGGCAATGGAGAACCTTTAAATTGGATGCTGCAGCAGTTTTTTGACTGGGGATCATGGGAGCTACAGACAAACATGTCTCAAAGGCACCAGTTCAGGGTCTGATGCACTGCAGTGTAGTTGTTGTACAAAGTTGCTTATTGTAATTTCAATATTTTTTGTCTTTCAGATATTTCTGAAAGTGGCAGAAGACAACGGTGTGGATGCAGAGACCTCAGGTAAAACACAATGTCATCACATCTGATTTTATGGGACATAGTCCTGTGTCATTTAATAATAATAATAATAATAATAATAATAATACTTTATTTATTCCCCACCACCATCTCCCATAGGGATTCAGGGCGGCTTTAAGATGCCATACATAAATTACATAATACATAGAATAAAATACAACATGTAATAAATAAATTATTATTATTATTATTCTGACACAAAAACGCAGTATGTCACAGCAAATTAGATACATATGCTGGATTTTGTATCACAAAATCACAAGTCAAACACTTCCCAAGTGTCTAGGACTGTGTGATGTATTTTCAAATGATGCGTGCAAACCCAAGTAAGGTGGCCTTTTACAGTTGACTGATCGTGATTTTGTCAATGTTTATTGTTCCCAAATGCTGGCTGAGATCTTTTGGCATGACACCCAGTGTGCCGATGACCACTAGGATCACCTGTATTGATTTATGCCAGAGCCTTTGGAGTTCGATTTTGAGGTCCTGATATTATTATTATTATTATTATTATTATTATTATTATTAGGTTCCAGATGTTATTGACTCTTCCATAGAGACTGTCAAAAAGCTACTTCAACATGGCAAACATTTAATACATTGTGAAGCTGCGTGAAGCCATTTTTCACAGGAAACACTCCAAGTTCAGGGACAACGCATAGGATAGGATTGACAATAGCTTTAAAAATGTGTCTCTGGTGTGGGGGTCTTGCTATTTAGCAACCTTGAAATAACATTTGGGTTGAGGCCACATCATTTGTTGGGTTTTAATAATTTTGTTTTAAAAGCTTTTAATTCTTTTGTTAGTTTATTTTTGTCATTTTTAATAGTATACTAGCCATCCCCTGCCACACATTGCTGTGGGCCACTCTGGTGGTCATGGGGGTTCTGTGTGGGAGGTTTGGCCAAATTCTATTGTTGGTGGGGTTCAGAATGCTCTGTGATTGTAGGTGAACTATAAATCCCAGCAACTACAACTCCAAAATGTCAAGATTCTATTTTCCCCAAACTCCACCAGTGTTCACATTTGGGCATAATTGAGTATTCATATAGTTTAGTCCAGATCCATCATTGTTTGAGTCCACAGTGATCTCTGGATGTAGGTGAACTACAACTCCAAAACCAAAGGAGACTGCCCACCAAACCCTTCCAGTATTTTCTGTTGGTCATGGGAGAACTGTGTACCAAGTTTGGTTCAATTCCATTGTTGGTGGGGTTCAGAATGCTCTTTGATTGTAGGTGAACTATAAATCCCAGCAACTACAACTCCCAAATGACAAAATCAATTTTTTGAGTGAAGAACATACATTGGGCTGTTAGCTGTCTTGTGTCCAAATTTGGTGCCAATTCGCCCACCGGTTTTTGAGTTCTGTTAATCCCACAAACGAACATTACATTTTTATTTATATAGATTATATCTGTGTCTCTGTTAACCTTATTAAGTAATCTTGAATCCCAGGCAAGGTGAGATATAAATAATTGCCATAATATGTGATAAAACTGTATCATCTAATTTGATGTTTTGTTTTTAGATGGCACATTACCTGCGCGAAGAAGCCGGGTCTTTGGAGATAGGCAAAGCTGTCTTCGTCCTTTCACAGAAGATGATGCTTTTGACACGAACGATTCTGACATAGATCCAGGTAAAAGATGAAAGAGATATATGTTCATACATGTTCATCTGCACTGAATAATGATAGTAAAATGTATCTTATGTTTGAAAATGGAATATAGTTGCTGGCTCAGTGCTGATATGAACTCATGTAGACATCCTTTGAAGACCCATGCTTCACAGTGGAGAGTCACAAGTGTGAGTGGGCCAGTAGAGATCAACAATCCAATACTTCTCTTTCCCTTCATATTTTAAGCTTTTTAATGAATCCCACACATCCAACTGTGAGTCTTTCAGTGAACTTGCAAACGATAATATACCCCTGGATCTTTTGACAGAAGTAAACTCTGTGTTGAGATTTGAGGATGGGTCTTCTAAGGTGCTTCCATATACAATATTTTAATTTGCCATACCTTTTTTCCATAAGGAGGGGGGAGTGTATTAAAAATCATTGCTTCCCACTTATAATCCTCACACATTTCCACATCACTTTCATCTTTTCCCCATAAAGGAGAAAAGGATAGAAGAGCTCCAGATTGGGCTGGTTAATAATGGAATCCCATTGGTATTTGCAGTCAAAAGACTCCATGCAGTTGTTCTATCATTAAAAATATGGCAGAAGTTGCAGAGAAAGATGAATGATGATGACTTGGAGATCACTTCTACAAAAATCCTGTGAAGAAAACAGGGCAATGGCACAATTAAAGCTGCTAATGGAAGTACCAGAATTTCCTGCCTAGTTCTTTCCTACACATTTATTGTGTGTTGTGGAGCCCCCGGTGACGCAATGGGTCAAACCCCTGTGTTGGCAGGACTGAAGACTGACAGGTCGCAGGTTCGAATCCAGGGAGAGCATGGATGAGCTCCCTCTGTCAGTTCCAGCTCCTCATGCTGGAAACAACTCCTTTAATATTCTATTATATTTCCAATTGGAGCCCCCTGTGGCACAATAGGTTACACCATTGTGCCAGCAGGATTGCTGACCAACAGGTCAGCTGTTCAAATCTGGCGAGAGCAGGTTGAGCTCTCTCTGTCAGCACCAACTTCCCCATGCAGGGACTTGAGAGAAGCCTCCAACAAGGATGGTTTACACATCAAAACATCCGGGCATCCCCTAAGCAACGTCCTTGCAGACGGCCAATTTTCTCACACCAGAAGCGACTTGCAGTTTCTCAAGTTGCTCCTGACACGAAAAAAGCTGCCTCTGAATGCCCCAGTTTCTCTCTCTAGCAGTTTCTCAAGTCGCTCCTGATACTAAAAAAAAAAATGTGTTTGGCAGAAAGGCTTGGGGAAGCCCACTGTAAGATTATAGCTGGACACCAAGGTCAATCAATGTAGGCAAACTGTTGGTCAAACAATCACCCATAAGGACTTGATCTTGCATTGCTTCCTTCTTTTCCCCCTCATATACACTAAAGCAGGGGTCCTCAAACTTTTTAAACAGAGGGCCAGGTCACAGTCCCTCAAACTGTTGGAGGGCCGGATTATAATTTGGAGGAAAAAAAGCCCATGAATGAATTCCTATGAGCACTGCACATAACTTATTTGTAGTGTAAAAAACACTTAAAACAATACAATAATTGAAATGAACAATTTTAAGAAATATAAACTTATTAGTATTTCAATGGGAAGTGTGGGCCTGCTTTTGGCTGATGACATAGGGTTGTTGTTGTTGTTGTTGTGTGCTTTCAAGTCATTTCATACTTAGGTTGATCCTGAGCGAGGGCTGGGTAAATGACCTTGGAGGGCCGCAACTGGCCCTTGAGCCTTAGTTTGAGGACCCCTGCACATTCCCTTCGATCATTTGGAGAGGCCCTGCTCGCGATCCCACCTGCGTCGCAATCGTACTTGGTGAGGACGAGGGACAGGGCCTTCTCGGTTGTGGCCCCCCAACTCTGGAACGCCCTCCCCAAGGACATCAGACAAGCCCCAACGTTGGCAGTCTTTAGGAAGAGCTTGAAAACTTGGCTGTTCCAGTGTGCCTTTCCAGAATAGGAAACTCCCAACATCATGTCCCAATTGCACTTTATTAGAGATTTAAGACTGTCTGCACATTGCACCTACCCTAGAATCCTTACATTTCACCTGCCATGTCCAGCACTTTTAACTGTACCCATTACATTGGCCCGGCCCTAGTTTTAATGTGTCACGGTGTATTGTTTTATTGTTTTTACTGTTACTGCTTTAGTGTTTTTTGGTTTGCTTAGGAGTTTTATTACGTATTTGTTATGCTGTTGTTTTATTGAGGCCTTGGCCTGTGTAAGCCACATCGAGTCCTTCGGGAGATGTTAGCGGGGTACAAATAAAGATAATAATAATAATAATAATAATAATAATAATAATAATAATAATAAAGCATGGTAGGAAGTATCAGCAAATCTGGCCCGAGAGCAACTGCTAGGAAGCACAGAATAAAGTGAAGTGCAAAGCCTTTGTCAACTTCAAAGCCTTGAAGTGGTACATTTATTTAGTTACTTTCTAAAAGCTACAAAAACAACAAACATAACTTATGTACAGAAGAAGTCACACACATGTCTTGCTCCTTCTCCGGCATGGCTGGAAGAGAACACCCAGCAGTCCGTTATCTCGAATCCACCTCAAATCCATGTTATTGGAATGCGTGACATAAACAGGAACTGTCCACAGTTCATGCTCTAGGCATTAAATCACTCCATGCCTTTAACCCTTGCATGGCATTGCATAACATTACGTTCTGCACCGAACACACAGAATTTAAACTATAAGCGATAGTTCACCCCAGTAAAACCACAGTACTAACAGGAAGGAAGCATAACTTTGTAGCCTGAAGGTTGCAACGCAGCAGTTAGTAATTTGAAGACACAACAAATGTCTTCCTGCTAGACAGTTCATATTCTTTCTCTCATTTGCTGAAATACATTAAACAAGGAAGTGTATCCTTCCAAAGGGAGATTCCTTGCCTTAGGAGAGAGTGCCTCACGAAATGCAACTCTTTTCCTACAGAATCTCGAGAGACCGACCTGCTGAGTGGGATGGACGGCAAAGGATCCACCCAAGTGAAGGGCTGGAAGCTGACCCAGCAGCAGTTTGTAGCCCTGCTCTGGAAGAGATTGCTTATTGCCAGGCGCAGCAGAAAAGGGTTTTTTGCTCAGGTGAGATGACGCTTCATCTGCAAACAGTGGTTGTGTTCTCAAAAGCTCATTTTGTTTTGCTTTCATCAATACACTACTATAAGCCTGCCCTGACTTACCTGGTACAGGGAGTGCTCTGGCACTGTGCTGTATAATAATAATAATTATTATTATTATTATTATTATTATTATTATTATTATTATAAAAAACTTTATTTATATACCACTCTATCTCCCCGAGGGGGACTGAGCCGTTTCCAAGTAACATCACCGAAACATACAAAGTAAACATAGTCTCTCATAGATTTCAGCAGCAATGCAGTAACAGTGGTGGAAATCTCAAAATCAGTTTTCAAATTCTGGTCATCTCAGCATTTCCTGAGAGCTTGGAGCCACATCAGCTTTAGCCAAATTGAACAGATAAATTTCAGATATCGATAGTTAATTTATTGTCAATACGCTGCTTTCAGGAGCCCCTGGTGGCACAGCGGGTTAAACCACTGAGCTTCTGAACTTGCTTACTGAAGGGTCAGTGGTTCAAATCCGGTGAGCAGGGTAAGCTCCTGCTGTTAGCCCAACCCAGCAGTTCAAAAACATGCAAATGTGGGTAGATCAATAGGTACTGCTTTGGCGGGAAAGTAACGGTACTCCATGCAGTCATACCAACCACATGACCTTTGAGGTGTCTATGGACAACGCTGGTTCTTCAGCTTAGAAATTGAGATGAACACCACCACTCAGAGTTGGACATGACTAGACTTAATGTCAAGAGGAAACCTTTACTTTACCCTGCTTTCAGAATATGAAGAATGAGTGAATTCTAGTATTCCAGCCCAGCTTATCTATCCAAACGCATCTCTCCCTATGAACCTTCTAGGAATTTAAGATCGTCTGGGGAGGCCCTGCTCTTGAACCCGCCTGCCTCACAGGTGCATCTGGCGAGGACGAGACACAGGGCCTTCTCAGTGGTGGCCCCTCGGCTGTGGAGCTCCCTTCCCAGGGATATTAGATCGGCCCCATCCCTCCTGACCTTTCAGAAAAGAGTGAAAACCTGGCTCTTTGAGCAAACGTTTGGAGCTTCAGCGTGACCGGATAAATACAAAATTGTAATACGAACACGGAACGGCTAAGATGATCTAAACGGATGCGGAATTGGACTGGAAGACATTGACATAGATCGGTCTTATTGCCACTAGAGGGCAGTGCTGTATAATGAACAGCTCCATTTGAGTGTTTGGTATCCTGATTTAAGAGTGGTGGGAACTGACAGTGTTCCTATTCACATAGGCTGGTGAGGCAGGAGACATTGCTGTTTTGCATAACATTTGTGGCAACCTCTTCTTCCCTTCCTCTCTTATTTCAGATTGTACTCCCAGCTGTCTTTGTTTGCATTGCTCTCCTGTTCAGTTTGATTGTGCCTCCCTTTGGTAAATATCCAAGCCTGGAATTGCAGCCATGGATGTATGATGAACAATATACATTTATCAGGTACTTAATAAACTGAGAGAACAGAGATAATATTTAAGGGTATGCTATAGTCATAGGGTAGAGTGTCATATGTAAGTGCTGGAGACATGTGAAGGCATGGCAAATCCATAGGGTTGGAAGCAGATGCATAACACTAATGTATGTGTGATGGGAGTTGAATTTGGCTTCTGAGTTGAATTTGAGGGAGAAATCCATTGATTGGGATATTCAAGGGTGTGCGGTCTTGATAGGGATGGACTAATAGCAGGGTCACATGCATGCATACTCCTGCTTGAGCCAAATGGCTTCATTTCCCTGAACACACCCCTCTCCCTCTGTGCCGATATCTTGCCATTATCTCAGCTTTCATGCTAGCTCAAGACTGATGGTGTTTTTCTAAATAATGTATCCATAGTAATGATGCTCCTGAAGACACTGGGACTCAGAAGCTTTTGGATGCTCTCCTCAACAAACCTGGTTTTGGAACCCGCTGCATGAAAGGATACTCTATTGCGTAAGTAGAACACTGACAAAAGTGGTCTGTCGACATATCCAAATTCATTCTGCTTTGAGATTGCCCTGGAAAGATTAGAAATTACACAATTTTTGTTCTTGTCATTTCCTAATTGGTTAAATCATAAAATCATGGGGGGGAAAGTATTAAACTGCAAAAACTTTTGCTTTTGCGGGATATCCTGCAGCACATTTGGTTATAGTTTTTAAATGAATATCTCATCAAGTCTCAACAATTTACATAGCTTTTGGCAGCCACAAAAATGAAGTTTCTGGAGTATAACTAGGGCTGGGCGGTTTCGTTTCGTTAATTCGTAATTCGTTAATAATTCGTTAATTTTTCAATTACAAAACGATAACGAACCATTCTGGAGCAATTATTTAAAAAAACGAATTTTCAAAAACGTTTTGTAAATGCTTCGTATTTCGATATTGTATTCGTTTCGTTATTGTTTTGAGGTCGTTTCGTTATTATTTCCGCATGTCTGGGCCAGTTTTATGGTTTAATTAGTGAAAAAAAATTATAATATCACACCAACAGTCAACAACAGAGGGAGAGGGAAGCTTCAGAAGGTTTTGGAGGTTTTTTAGCGTATTTCGCGGTCGCGCCCGCCATCAACGAATCGATTCGTTATTGTTTCGGAAATCGATTCGTTAATTTTTTACCATTTACGAAATTTCGTAAATATCGAACTTTTTAAAAGGAAAATTTTGTAATTATTTTAAATATCGAAACAAAAAAAACCCCAAATACAAATCGATTTTAGAAACAATTTTTTCCGTTGTTACCCAGGCCTAAGTATAACAACTAAATTCAAAGTACTACCCAATGAAAGAGGAAACAACACTTTCAAACCATGAACAGATTTTTTTTCCCAAATTTTGTTACATAGTGTTACTGATAAGGTTCTGCGTAAGACACAATTCTGCAAGAGATGGAGAAAGTGATATTTACTACAGAACTCATAAAAATCTCAGCTTGCAACCTTTTCAAGTAAAATACTGCAGGTTGAAAGAGGACTCCATATCTGAAGGTTTCTGTGTTTGGTGTACCACTTGCTCTTTCATAACAGAAAGGAGATTCCATCTGAACATTAGGAAGAACTTCCTGACTGTGAGAGTCGTTCAGCAGTGGAACTCTCTGCCTCGGAGTGTGGTGGGGGCTCCTTCTTTGGAAGCTTTTAAACAGAGGCAGGATGGCCATCTGTCAGGGGTGCTTTGAATGCAATATTCCTGCTTCTTGGCAGGGGGTTGGACTGGATGGCCCATGAGGTCTGTTCCAACTCTATGATTCTATGATTCTATCTGTTTTGCTTTTGGGTTTGTTTGTTTGCAAATTACTGCATATACAATTGGCTGAGTTTACCATGTTGTTCACATCTACGTAGTATCAAGATGTGATATGCCTTCATATTGCCAATATGATTTCTAAAGTTGCTCATGTCTTCCGTTTGTGCAGAGATACTCCTTGCTCTGTGGGGGAAGAGGATTGGACCACTGCTTCTGTTCCTAAGACAGTCATGGAAATCTTGCAGAGAGATAACTGGACAATGGAGAACCCCTCCCCATGTTGTGTATGCAGCAGTGAGACGATCAAGAAGATACTACCTTTATGTCCTGCAGGAGCTGGTGGCCTGCCTCCTCCACAGGTACAGGAGACTTGGGTTATGTTGACCCCTTTGGTCTGACTTTTTGCCTACACTTACAAAGCGAGTCAAGCAATCCCATTGGCTCGTACACTGATATATAAATTAAAGAGAAGGATAAAATAAAGTAAAATATAGATGACGAGATTGAAGTATAACATACATTTGCACTTTAGACTGTAACAGATAATGATATATATAAAAGAGAAATGTTTAAACTAGAGAGTGTAGCTCAGAGCTAGGAAACCTGATTCCCATCATCCCCAGTCAGATTGGTTCATGTCAAGGATGCTGGGAGAAGAGATATATAAATCTCTCAGTTTAGCTTTGTTGCATGCCTTGGAATCCCACCGGCATTTTTGTGCCTTCCAAGTTCCATATTAGGTTGCAAGGTTTTTCTTCCTCCACGAACATTTGTGTTTATGTTGATACTTATGTGCATTTTCCTTCATTCATGATTTTTTACATCTCTATTTTTATTTCTATTTCATGTTTTCCTATATATTTGTATTCTATTTTAATAGGACCAGATGTATGTTGTATGTTGTGTTTGCACTGTCTGTTTTTGATAAGGCCAACTGGCTAATCAATAAAAATTGTTGTTGTTGTTGTTGTTTTACCTTGATTGTTGTTTGATTATTTTTGGGGCATTGAATGTTTGCCATCTGTGTTGTTGTTGTTGTTGTTGTTGTTGTTATTATTATTATTATTATTATTATTATTATTTGAAACCACCCTGAGTCCCTTCGGGAAGAGAGGGTGGGTTATAAATATATTATTATTATTATTATCATCATCATCATCATCATCATTATCTTCTTCTTCTTCTCCTTCTTCTTCTTCTCATTTTGTCTGCATTTTTCAAATATGCTGTTTTCTAAATCATGCATATTTACTAGTATATATATTGAAAATGGAAAAGATGTCCACCTCTCTGAAAGAAGATGGTGATGAATCAAATCCTTGTGCCCGTTTCCTCTGTAGTGTAGTAGCATTTTTGTTGCACTAAAATTGAATAAATTTTAAACTTATTAAATAACTGCCACTATTGTTACTTCAGTGAATTTCCAACAGAATCCAATTCTTCAAAGTGCTTTTTTTCAAATATGTCACAGTGTCCTTCTCCCCTCCTCCCCCCAATGATATGTCATGTCTTGCTTTCCTGTACTTCATTGATAACATTCTTCTAGGTTTCCTTATAACATTAGATTATGTGCATTACAAATTGCACTGCAGGTATTTAATGGCAAACAGTGCCCTTGACTTAACCTTTGGGATTTTTTTCCCCCTTTTCTCTGCTCCTTCTCCCAACTGGTCACAGCGAGTACAGAACACCACGGACACCCTTCAGAACCTGACTGGACGCAACATTTCTGATTACCTTGTGAAGACATATGCTCAGATCATTGAGAAAAGGTACTTCCTCTCCTTAGCAGTATACCTCACTTTATTGCTCGGACAGTTCATTGGGTCAGAACTTTGAATTAAAGAGTCAGAACTTTGAATTAAAGTGAGATTCAACTGCCATTTATTTATTTTTATATCTTACCTTTCCCTTATGAAATGGATTTCAAGGTGGCTATAAAAGAAAAAGGAATAGACTATATATGAAATTATATAAAATGTTATTGTTAAAATGTAATTTGACCATTTCTGACTTCAGAAACAGTTTCAGTTAAAATTATTTAAATGACTCAGTTAAAAACAAAAATACAAATACAGTCATTCCTTGGTATCTATGTGTCATTGGTTCCAGGACTCCATGGCCAAGTAGGGATTTAAAACCTGGCCTAGTAGTGTAATCGTTCAATGCTCAGATCATAGAATCATAGAATCAAAGAGTTGGAAGAGACCTCATGGGCCATCCAGTCCAACCCCCTGCCAAGAAGCAGGAATATTGCATTCAAATCACCCCCGACAGATGGCCATCTATAGTATGCTGCCTCTCACTATACCTACATGGTTTGGATCCAGATTCCTTGCAGGATCACCTTTTCATTTACAGTCTTTTATCCTAAAGGCTCTATACATTGTAAGGCAGGACTTCTTGAACCAGAACTGCCATCATCCCTAATTTGCCCTTTGGAAGGGGAGGAGGATGGTGAAAGCTTTGGTTCACCAACATTGCAGGACTGAAATTTCCCACGCTATGGCTGATATGAGCATCAATAACATGACAGTACTTTTCTGTTTTCAAATGTCTCTGTCGTGGTGATATAGGCTGGGCTAACTGGGCTAACTCTTGTAGACAAAACACCTAGGCTGGGTTAACTCTTGTAGACAAAACACCTAAACTAACAAGAGCTGCTTTCTCTTCTTCTCCTCCAATAGCCTGAAGAACAAAATAAGAGTGAATGAGTTCAGGTAAATACACCTTTCCTTTGTCTTTTAAGAGGCCTTTGCATTGTTATTTATCCCATCCATTCCTGATGATAATCATACCTTTCAACATATCTGCCATTGTTAGCGTATCGCTCCATTTCAGAGAATAACCATAAACAAAAATCAGTCTCTGCTAACAGTGATTTTAATGTGCTCATAGATATGGTGGCTTTTCCTTGGGAGCCAGCAGCTCCCTTGTACTTCCTCGTCGTGAAGAAGTAAGCGAAGCCATCCAGCAGGTGAAGAAAATCTTGGAAATCACCAAGGTAAGCAATACAGAGGACTCTTCCCTTGAGGAAATCACATACCCAAATTGGTTAGGCATAGGAGTATTCACAATATCGTTTTGGTGTCCCAAATTCATGGGATTCAGCTGTTGAATGCATGAAAATGAATCTGGTGGGTCCCCCAAATTTGGGAAGTTCCCTAAAAACAGAAGGGGGGACTGGAAAAATGGGTACCGAAAATAGCATGGGGTTTGCTTTGCTGTTCCATAATATAGTGGGTGGAGAAGTACAGTAAGAAAGAATCCACATTTCATAAAAGGACAGTCCTATATCCCTGCTCACTAGTAGGTCCTTCTGAGTCAAGCAGAGCTTAAGACTGGATAAATGGATACAAAATTATAGCCTAAGGCTGAATCTACACTGCCTCATATGTGAGGATCTGACCTCAGATTATTTTATTTGAATTGGATTATATGAGTCTACACTGCCAGATAATCTGGGATTGGATTCTGAAATATATGGCAATATAAATCCAACCTAAATGGTATAACAGGCATTTATTTTCTTTTTTTAGGACAGTTCTGCAGAACGTTTTCTTAACAGCCTGGCAAGCTTTATGAAAGGCATGGACACGAAAGATAATGTGAAGGTAATACCTTCTTGCTGTGCTCATGTATATATTTATTTATTACGGTCGATTACCAGCATCAAAAAATTGGAATAGGAACATATATATTTAGATATTAAGAAACACTGTCAAAAGCAAAGTAGCTCATGTAGTCAGATTCAAAGAAGAGTTATAGTTTTGGTAGCTGAAGCCTTTTTATGGAATTGAATTTGGAGAAACCGTTTGAATGTATCATCCAAGAGAATAATCTCAGAGGAGCCTGTGGTTTGTGTTTCTGAACTAATCTCTCATCGGGATATGCTCCATCTCCACTGAGAATGAAATAGTTTTTGTGGATTTTTAGTGATTTTTAAATACCAATATTTAATCCTGTTTGATATTTGTAGATTTTAAATTGCATTGAAATGCTTTTAATGTAAATCGCTTTGAGTCTGGTATAAAAAAACATAATAATAACAACAGTAACAACAACAACAACACATGTAGTGTTCCTGCACCTGGATACCAGCCTTTATTATTTTATGTCAAAAGCATTGCATAAACAAAACGAATACAAAACCGATAAAATAGAGGGAGCACAAGTGACTAAATAATTTTAGACCAAAAATGGACAACAGCGACCACATTGTCTGTAGGTATTATACCAGCCTTATCCCATAACACTAAGTAATATGCATGGTAGGAATAAGTCTATTTAGCAGTGGCTGATTGGAGATTGATAAGGCCAGAGAAGTACATCACAATCGGACATCTCTGTCACTGTTCTACATATGAGGGTAGAATGAAAAGTAATGCCTCCACCTTCATAACTCCTCAACAGATGGCAGTACTGGTATGTGGAGGTACTGGCTTGTTCAGTAGACTCTCCTCTATAGTTCCATTTTGGCGGGAAACTTTAGCATTGAATGGTTGTGTTGTTAAAGTGCAAAGTATGGAACTCTGAGCAAACGGTCGGTCAATGTTACTTAAGCAACATGCAGTCATTGAGTTCTTGACAGCAGAAGGTGTCACTCCAAAGGAGATTCATCAGAGAATGCAAGTTGTTTATGGTGATTGTGTTGATGTGAGTACTGTGCTTCATTGGGCGAGTAAGTTTAAAGATGTTGAAGTGGGAACATCTGACTTGCGTGACAAACAGAGTTGGACGTCCTGTGACAGCAACCACTGAGTTTCACAAGCAAAAGGTTGACTGATTCAGGATGATCATTGTATCACTCAGAGAATTTTCAAGCATAATCGGCATTTCACAAGAACGTGTGGGTCACATTAGTGCTTTGCTTGGCTATCAGAAGATCTGTGCACAATGGGTTGCGGAAACAGTGTCAACTTCTTCCATGATGGCTTCAGAAAACTTGTTCATTGTTGGCAGAAATGTATCCAATTGTCTGGTGATTATGTGGAAAAGTGAATAGTGGTAGTTAAAGAGCACATTCTAGGGATTATTTCTGTGTTTGATTTATTGAAATATTTCCATCCAAACCCAAGTAACGAAGGTGGAGGCATTACTTTTCATTCAACCCTCGTATTTATTCAGAAGCACTCCCCACTATGCCCAGTGGGACTTACGCCTTACTAAGTCCCACTGGGCTTAGTGGGGATTGCTTCTGAATAAATACGTAGTGCAGTGACAGAGATGCTGCAGACAGTCTTATCTATGGTTGGGTACTTTAGGATCATCGGTGCTTTTGATTCTTTGATCAGTTTGCTCCTCGTAGCAACTGAGTAACCTAGTCAGGATAGTGGACAATGATTTGTGGAAGCTAGCTTCTGCATTATGTTTTGAATTTGCTTGCTAAAAAAGAAATGGCCAGTCTCAGACAATTTGATGCCCAGGTCTGAGCACTTCTACCAAGTGACTGGCCTATCTCTCCTGCCCTATTCATGCCAGTTTGTCCCTTTTTCAGGTGTGGTTCAACAACAAAGGCTGGCATGCTGTGGGTGCCTTTCTCAACGTGATGAACAATGCAATCCTCCGTGCCAATCTGAAAGATGGACAGAATCCCAGCGCCTATGGCATCACAGCGTACAACCACCCGCTCAATTTGACTAAGCAGCAGCTATCCGAAGTTGCCTTGTACGTCCTGGAATTGTAGCATGGGGAGGAAGAAGGGAAGGAACAGGGAATATGGGGATAGATGGTAGTTCTCAAAATCAAAGAAGAGAGTTGCTTCTGTTGTAGCTCCAGACAGATGTGTTTCATTTCTTTCTTACAATCCTCCAATAGCTCAAGATTGTTTTCTTTCTCATTTTATTCACAGAGCAATGTAAGATTGAATGTATTGTTGAAGGCTTTCATGGCCGGAATCACTGGGTTGTTGTAGGTTTTTCAGGAGGAGGATGCCTGCCACAGATGCAGGTGAAACGTCAGGAGAGAATGCTTCTAGAACATGGCCATACAGCCCGAAAAACCTACAACAACCCAATGTAAGATTGGCTAGGATCAGAGAGCATGTGTCTGACCCAGAGGTACCCAGTGTGTTTTGTGGGTCAGTGAGAGTTTGAACATGAACCACCCTATTTACTATTAACTTTTGAGCCATCATACTCCACTAGCCATCAAATGTATGCCAGATAAAATTGGTCTTCTTACTAGTATTGCTAGTCAGGTTTCTAGCTGAGCTACGCACTTCTGTATTTCAAGATGAATGCCAATTTGTTACCCATCTCTTTTCTCAGGATGACCACCTCAGTGGATGTTTTGGTCTCCATCTGCGTCATTTTTGCCATGTCCTTTGTACCAGCCAGCTTTGTGGTTTTCTTGATCCAAGAGCGAGTCAGCAAGGCCAAACACTTGCAGTTCATCAGTGGTGTGAAGCCAGTAATCTACTGGCTGGCTAACTTTGTATGGGATATGGTAAGACTGGATCTGTTGCTCCCTTTCCTCCTCCACCCCACTTTCACTAGAGAAATAACATGTGTTGTAGCACACGGTTCTCAACTTTTGATCCTCTAAATATTTGGGATTTCCAGCTCCCAGAACCCTTGATCATTGGCCATGCGAGCTTGGGGGTCTGGTCATTAAAATCCAAAACATAGAGGTCCAAATGTTATTACTGTAAACTTAACAAGTCAGTGTAGCTGAAATGCATAACTTCTACCTCTGATTACAATATCTAGTTTGCTGAAAAGGTAACGCAAACCGTGATCAGAAGTAGCAGGTGATCCAAGAGTACAAGCTCCCCTTGGAGCAAAAGTAGAGGGCAGTATGAACACTTCAGGGTCATTATATTTTGCTTCACATCCCTAGTGACTCACCTATCTCTGTTATGCCAAGAACACATTTCATCTACTGCAGTGCTATTGAGGTCAGACTTGGCCATGGTGGTCCACACTCTCATTACATCTAGGATAGACTACTGCAATGCACTCTACGTGGGGTTGCCTTTGAAGACTGCTCAGAAGCTTCAAATAGTCCAACAAGAGGCAGCCAGGTTAATAACTGGGGTGTTGTACAGGGAGCATACAACTCCCATGTTACGCCATGTTTGCTACCAGGCACAATTGAAAGTGCTGGATTTGGTCTATAAAGTCCTAAACGGCCCCTGTCCGAATGCATCTCCCCCTATGAACCTTCGCAGAGATTAAGATCCTCTGGGGAGGCCCTGATTTCTGTCCCACCATTATCACAGGTGCGATTGGTGGGACGAGAGACAGGGCCTTCTCGGTGATGGCCCTTCCTGATGAGATCAGATCAACCCCCTTCCTCCTGTCCTTCAGAAGAATTGTAAAAACTTGGCTGTAGGGCCAAGCTTTCGGGACAGGGCAATAAAGCAGCAATAGGAAAGATTACCAGGCCAATTAGATTTGACGCTGATGACTAGGACGGGTTTAAATGGTGCATTTTAATATTGAGATAAATGTTTTTAATGTTTATGTATGCGTTTATGAATTCATGTCCCGGCATTGAATGTTTGCCATATATATGCTGTACTCCTCCTTGAGTCCCCTTCGGGGTGAGAAGGGCGGAATATAAATGTTTTAAATAAATAAATAAATATTGCCACACCGAAATTACATTTGGGGAGAAAAGCTCAGATGTATATGGCCCCTTCTACACTGCCATATAAAATCCAGATTATCTGCTTTGAATGGGATGATATGGCAATGTGGATTCATATAATCCAGTTCAAAGCAGATAATGTGGTTTATCTACTTTGATAATTTCAATTATATGGCAGTGTAGAAGGGGCCTTTGTTTCTTGACTCAGGCTTGCTTGCATTGAAAATACCAAAATAACCTGACAAGTAACTTTACTACAATTGGCACAACTAAACATGAAGCTATGGTGACAACTCTCTCCTTTTTACATCTTTTAGTGCAACTATGTTGTTCCAGCCACCTTGGTCATCATCATCTTCATCTGCTTCCAACAGAAATCTTATGTGTCCTCAACCAATCTGCCAGTGTTGGCTCTTCTCCTCTTACTTTATGGGTAAGAAAGGTCCTCTTGGTTCAAGTGCTGGGAGACCAGTCAAGATGTAGGAATGAAGCTCCTTAATGCTTGATCTTTTCTCTTTGCTAGGTGGTCCATAACTCCTCTCATGTACCCAGCATCCTTTGTATTCAAGATCCCCAGTACAGCGTATGTTGTTCTGACCAGTGTTAACCTCTTCATTGGTATCAATGGGAGCGTGGCCACTTTTGTTCTTGAACTTTTCACCAATAATGTGAGTACTCATTGTACACATCCATCATTAACATACTACTTTCCACTTCCTCTTGGGGAGATGGTGGCAGGGTATAAATAAAGTTTATTATTATTATTATTATTATTATTATTATTATTGACACAAAACCACAGTATGTCACAGCAAACGAGATCAATATGCTGGATTTCGTATCAAAAAATCACAAGTTGAACACTTTCCAAGCGTCTAGGACTGTGTGATGTATTTTCGAATGATGCGCACAGATCCAAGTAAGGTGGCCTTTTGCAGTTGACAGATCGTGATTTTGTCGATGCTTATTGTTTCCAAATGCCGGCTGAGATCTTTTGGCATGGCACCCAGTGTGCCAGTGACCACTGGGACCACCTGTACTGGTTTATGCCAGAGCCTTTGCAGTTCGATTTTGAGGTCTTGATAACGGCTGAGTTTTTCCTGTTGTTTTTCCTCAATGCAACTGTCACCCAGTATGGCGACATCAATAATCCTTATTATTATTATTATTATTATTATTATTATTATTATTATTATTATTATTATTCTGCTTGATTTGGGGGTTGGCACTGTGTGATATTATTATTATTTTACTGACACAAAAGAACAGTATGTCACAGCAAACGAGATCTATATGTTGGATTTCGTATGCTGTGACATACTGTGCTTTTGTGTCAGTAATAATAATAATAATACTTAATAATAATTAATAATATATAATAGAATATCACAACAGCGCCAGCATCATTCTTCTGAATTCTTCTATTATTATTAGTATTAGTATTATTATTATTATTATTATTATTATTATTATTATTTGATACGCAAGATTAGTACGCAGCAAACAAGATAATTATGCTGGCTTTTGTATTTGATCACATGTTGGACACTTCCCAAGTCACTAGGATTGTGTCATGTATTGGCAAATAATGTGTGCAGATCTGAGTAGGGTGGCCTTTCGCAACTGTGTTGGTAATTTTGTCAGCGTCAATTGTTTTAAGTGCAGGCCAAGGTCTTTAGGCACTGCACCCAGTGTGCTGATCAACACTGGGACCATCTTTACTGGCTTGTGCCAGAGTCTTTACAGTTCGATCCTTAAATTCTTGTATCGTGTAAGCCTTTCCAGTTGCTTTTCGTCAATTCTGTTATCACCTGGCATTGCAACATCGATGATCCATACTTTGTTTTTTTCCACAATCATGAGGTCAGGAGTATTGTTCTCCAAAACTCTGTCAGTTTGAATTCTGAAGTCCCAGAGTAGTTTGATATGTTCATTTTTTGTAGCTTTTTCTGGGTTGTGATTCCGTTGTTGTTGTTGTTGAAATTATTGGATTATTATTATTATTATTATTATTATTATTATTATTATGCATTGAATCTGGAATTTGGACAGTGCTCTGTGTATTTTTGTATTTGGTACAGAAATATTAGTCAGGAATCAGACACATTTGCATTGTTTGGCTTCACTTTCCTTAGGGAGGTAAATCCTTGACTATTTTACCCTAATGTATTTTCTTCCTGCTATGAGAGAAAACAAATGTCTCCCACAGCAGTCTCCTCCGATTCAATAGACTCCAAATATTGCTCAAAAATCTCTCCACGGAGAGTGATTTCTGAGCACTTCCTCAAATGAATTGAAAGGCACATCTGAAATTAATATAAAGAAGAATCTCTGTCCCATTTCTGTAGTAATGTTACATTCCTAACTAAACAACAAGCTGACCCAAGGGATTGATAATTAACTTTTACATCTTGTATGTTTAATTATTGCAATGGGGAAGATTCTAACTTTTTCTGGATATGTGTTGGGATGCAGATCCCTTGCCTTTTGTGGTCTGTTCTTAAATGTCCATGCAGTTGACTGCTCCAATTTTTGTGTTCTTAGAAGCTGAACAACATCAATGACATTCTCAAGTCTGTGTTCCTCATTTTCCCTCACTTCTGTCTGGGTCGTGGCTTAATTGACATGGTGAAAAATCAAGCTATGGCAGATGCCCTAGAAAGATTTGGTAAGTGAAATGTAGCTCTCACCGTAAACAATCAAATTGTCTGGGCACAGATAAAACTGGGGGTTTGTGAGGCTCTTTGGGCAGGGTTTATATATTTATCGTGTCAGGGGCAACCAGACCATTGTATTACATTTCTAACAGAACAAAACAAACAGATAAAAAAACACAAAGTTTGCAAGCTTGGTAGTTGATTAAATGTCCTTTGACCAGTATTTGGCCACTTGGAGTGCCTCTGGTGTTGCAGCAAGAAGGTCCTCCATTGTGCATGTGGCAGGGCTCAGGTTGCATTGCAGCAGGTGGTCAGTGGTTTGCTCTTCTCCACACTCGCATGTCGTGGATTCAACTTTGTAGCCCCATTTCTTGAGGTTGGCTCTGCATCTCGTGGTGCCAGAGCGCAGTCTGTTCAGTGCCTTCCAAGTTGCCCAGTCCTCTGTGTGCCCAGGGGGGAGTCTCTCATTTGGTATCAGCCATTGGTTGAGGTTCTGGGTTTGAGCCTGCCACTTTTGGACTCTCGCTTGCTGAAGTGTTCCAGCGAGTGTCTCTGTAGATCTTAGAAAACTATTTCTTGATTTAAGTCGTTGACGTGCTGGCTGATACCCAAACAGGGGATGAGCTGGAGATGTCACTACCTTGGTCCTTTCACTATTGGCTGCTACTTCCCAGCGGATGTCAGGTGGTGCAATACCGGCTAAACAGTGTAGTTTCTCCAGTGTTGTAGGGTGCAGACACCCCGTGATAATGCGGCATGTCTCATTAAGAGCCACATCCACTGTTTTAGCGTGGTGAGATGTGTTCCACACTGGGCATGCATACTCAGCAGCAGAGTAGCATAGCGCAAGGGCAGATATCTTCACTGTGTCTGGTTGTGATCCCCAGGTTGTGATCCCCAGGCACACTGCACATATCTTATTTGTAGTGCAAAAAACACTTTAAAACAATACAATTAAAATGAAGAACAATTTAACAAATATAAACTTATTAGTATTTCAATGGGAAGTGTGGGCCTGCTTTTGGCTCATTAGATAGGATTGTTGTTGTTGTTGTGTGCTTTCAAGTCGTTTCAGACTCAGGTTGACCCTGAGCGAGGGCCAGGTAAATGACCTTGGAGGGCTGTATCCGGCCCCGAGCCTCTGGTGGCACAGTGGGTTAAACCCTTGTGCTGGCAGGACTGCTGACCAATAGGTCAGCGGTTCGAATCCAGGGAGCGGGGTGAGCTCCCATCTGTCAGCTCCAGCTTCTCATCTGGGAACAAGAGAGAAGCCTCCCACAGGATGGTAAAACATCTGGGTGTCCCCTGGGCAATGTCCTTGCAGATGGCCAATTCTCTCACACCAGAAGAGTCTTGCAGTTTCTCAAGTTGCTCCTGACACAGAAAAAAATAGATAAATTAGAAGATTCTAGTTGCACAGAGACTAGAATCCTGAGAAGAAGTATTTGTTTAAAACATTGGAAGAATAGAATATGAGAATCAGTCTTTGGTTGCCATTTGAGACATTTTAAACAAACATCATTGGTTCCAGGACTAACTTATAAGAATACATTCTATGGCCAAAGTGCCTTTTTGCAGCATAATCTATGAAGGTAAATTTCTGAAATATTTCTGGTTGTTTTCAGGTTTGTTGATGGTTTAAATTGCAACTCCTTCGGGATGAACTTTTGATGTAGATTAAAAATTAGTAGCTTTTTGAATGTAGCCTCCTGGCTAGGGATCATTGTCTTCTTCTCTGGTTGCTGATGGGGTGCCTCTGCTTTTCCCCATTAGGTGAGAACCGCTTTGTCTCCCCTCTCTCCTGGGATCTTGTGGGACGGAATCTTTTTGCCATGGCTGTAGAAGGTGCAGTCTTCTTCCTCATCACGTTGCTCATCCAGTATAGATTCTTTATCAAACCCAGGTAAGATGGTCTCCATAGCCTCAGAGATTTGGAGGAGGAGGATCTCCAGTGTGGGATAGCGACAAGTGTTGAGAATCCCTATGTTTAGTGGGAGTTGAAGCTATTCCAAATTTGGGATAACTTTAATGGGACTATACTAGGTGAGGAGCCCCAGTGGCACAGTGGGTTAAAACACTGAACTGTTAAACTTGTTGACCGAAAGGTCACAGGTTCGAATCTGGGAAGCGGCGTAAGCTTCCACTGTCAGCCCCAGCTTCTGCCAACCTAGCAGTTCGAAAACATGCAAATGTGAGTAGATCAATAGGTACCACTCCGGCAGGAAGTTAACGGCGCTCCATGCAGTCATGCTGGCCACATGACCTTGCAGGTTTCTATGGACAACGCTGGCTCTTTGGCTTAGAAATGGAGATGAGCACCACCACCCCAGAGTCGGACACGACTGGACTTAATGTCAAGGGGAAACCTTTACCTTTACTATACTAAGTGTTGAATCTTCTTAGCAATAGGTTTCACACTTTGATGAAGTCCAGATTAAAATCCGGAATGGATTTTTCTCCCCAATGACATTGGAGCCACCCGCTGCCACTGGTAAAGGGGAGAAGTGAAGACTAGAAGATGCACACACATACTTAATATGAAGACAAAGAAGAGAATAAACCTTCCATTTAACATATTGCTTTTCTCCATTTTCCAAAGGCCCATCTATGCAAAGCTTCCGCCTGTGAGTGAAGAGGATGAAGATGTGAACAGAGAAAGGCAGAGGATCATTGGCGGCGGTGGGCAAAGTGATATCTTGGAAATCAAAGAACTAACGAAGGTGAGAAGAAAGAGCAGAGTTGAGGCAAAGTGTACCTAGAGAAACTCCATTGGAGCCAGAGTCATGTTGCTAACTTGTTTTGCTTGGGAAGAAAAGTATATAGGATAAAACTGGTAAAAAGTAGTTGTTCACTAAGAGTCAATATCTGTTATACTTTCCAGATATACAGAATGAAACGAAAGCCAGCTGTGGACAGGATTTGTGTTGGAATTCCACCTGGGGAGGTAATGTTTCCAATTCTTTTCAGTTGTGTCTCTCATAAAATATGATTTGATATAACCTGAAGGAACAAATCAGAAAATGTTTAGCACTTCAGTTTAGTGCAGGGAAAGCTTTGCCATCCTGCTTTCACAATGAGCTTTTGAGTGAAATTAACTTTATCATATAAGTGAAGGATGCATCTCACTATTGAATGGCTGTTCCTATAACCCCAAGTGTGGTCAGTTCCTTAGATCTCCTAGGAGAACATGAAGGACTGTACTCCTTGTCACTTTAACCTCTCCCAAATGAAAAAAATGCACCCAAAGACCCTTGAGAAGTTGCAGTGAACAGTTTAACAATATTTTGGGGTTCACCTGTGTAAAAGGAAGCACTTCCTAATTTTAAAAAATTATACATATATCCTCATTTTAGCCTAAAATGCTGGAGAGTTTGGGGCCACTTTTGGGCACATAAAAATAACCTTAGAAATAGCCCTTGGGCCAGACATTGCCCACTCCAACTATAAATAATATTAGGAATTTACCTTAATGTTCTCTGGTCTCCTGGATTAGAACGGTACTGGCATTTATAACACTGAGCATTCACACTATCTGCCTGGGTATTTTTCAGAGCACTTTGTACTTTTTAAAAGTAAAAAAAAAATGGGGATTGAGAACTAGTGTTAAGTGGAAGCCTACATTCCCTCTACTTGCAGTCCTCTGGGAGCTAAAATGAGGATATATGTCTATGCACATCCCGGCATCATTTGGACCCTTGATTCACCTTTACTGATTAGGACTTGCAGGGGTGAAAGCTGCTACACCTCCCTGAGTCAAACTTTCTACTGGTCAGATTAGATGACCAGGTTCAGTATCTCTACTTATAGCAAATCTGTAAGGTCAACCAGTATTGTTTTCATATCTTCTACAGTGTTTACAAAGGCTGAAAGAGAACTGGTTGCCTTAGTCTTAGGACCTAAAACTGATGAGATTATGACAGAGGGGCAAGACTTAGCCTGAGAAATTTTCAGCTTTGTAGCTCAGTCTCTTGGCCTCTAGACTAGGACGCGGAACAATGGCTTCAAAAAATAAGAAAGGAGATTCCATCTGAACATGAGGAAGAACTTCCTGACTATGAGAGCCATTCAGCAGTGGAACTCTCTGCCCCAGAGTGTGGTGGAGGCTCCTTCTTTGGAAGCATTTAAACAGAGGCTGAATGGCCATCAGTCAGGGGTACTTTGAATGCAATATTCCTGCTTCTTGGCAGGGGGTTGGACTGGACGGCCCATGAGGTCTCTTCCAACTCTTTGATTCTATGATTCTATGACTGTGAGAGCTGTTCAGCCATGGAACTCTCTGCCCCGGAATATGGTGGAGGCTCCTTCTTTGGAAGCTTTTAAACAGAGGCTGGATAGCCATCTGTTGGGGGTGCTTTGAATGCAATATTCCTGCTTCTTGGCAGAGGGTTGGACTGGGTGGCCCGTGAGGTCTCTTCTATGACTAAAGAAGAGCATCTCAATCCATCACAGAGTCACGTGACAATAGTCATGATATTTCCATGCATGAGCTGATCCAGAACTTCAGGGAATATTAAATGTCTTTTGGTTTTATTTGTCATTGTTGTGTATGGTCTATGTGGATGAAATTGGAAGCCCACACGTTTGACCTGGTATTTTAACATTTACAGTGCTTTGGTCTTCTGGGTGTGAATGGTGCTGGCAAATCCTCCACCTTCAAGATGTTGACTGGAGACACAGATGTTACAGGAGGAGATGCTTTTCTGAAGGGAAACAGGTATGGGCACAATAGTAGCCTTATTTATATCATCATCATCCATTTATTTGTTACCCACCTCTCCTCATGGTTCAAGGTGGAGTACAACACAGTTAAAACTAACAAATAAATACAACACTATTAAAATACATATACTGAAATACACACAACAAAGACCGACACCAACACCAATAAAATGCAGATCCAAATTCGCAGTTTAAAATTGACTGGGTAGGCCATGTTTTGTTTCTTTCGTTGGCACTTCTGTCTGCTAAAGTGTTTATGCAGTAGATGAAATTTCACTAATAACCATGGCAAGATCTCTTTTGACTTTCACATTTAAAACCAGTGTTAGATAATGACCATTATGAGGAATGTTTGCCTCTGGCACAATTTCATACTGGCATCATAAGTAGGTATTTAAATTTTGCTAAAGATAATTATTTTGGCTGATAAAGAAGCGGGAATGGGTAGAATTTTCACAGATTGCAAAGAAATGTAAGAGTAGTTTTTTTGTGAAGATGTAATGTTTTAACTAAGCTTCTATATGCAGTAAAATGCCTTCAGGACTTCTCTAATTTAAGTCAACCCTATCATAATATTTTCTAGACAAGATTCATCCAGAGGAGGCTTGCCATTTCCTTCTTCTAAGGCTGAGGAAGTGAAACTTAACTAAGACCATCTAGTAAATTTTTGTGAGTGTAGATTTGAGCCTTGGTTTCCGATAGTTCTCGACCAGTGGTTCTCAACCTGTGGGTCCCCAGATATTTTGGCCTTCAACTTCCAGAAATCCTAACAGGTGGTAAACTGGCTGGGATTTCTGGGAGTTGTAGGCCAAAATACCTGTGTTATTGGGCTTGGCCTCATGTAAGCCTCTTCGAGTCCCTTGGGGAGATGGTGGCGGAGTATAAATAAAGTTATTATTATTATTATTATTATTATTATTATTATTATTATTATTAACTGAGAACCACTGTTCGAGATCAGTTCTCAAAGCCACTGAATCCTGCTAGTTCTCTACAATTATTTGGAACTGAGTGAGGCTCACATAATAATAATAATAATAATAATAATAATAATAATAATAATAATACTTTATTTATACCCCACTACCATCTCCCAAGCGACTCGGTGTGGCTTACATGGGGCCGAGCCCACAACACATCAATACAAGCAATAACAACCACAATACGAAGCAAAATACAAATACTAATACAACGCAATTAAAATAAATCTCATACACAAATAGCATAAACATTGAACAATAGCACAAAACACATCTATGGCTGGGCCAAATGTAATTAAAGTTAAAAAGTAATGCAGGCCATGAACAAGATAGAGGAGGTGGGGCGTTGGCGGAAACGTACAAGCAGTCCTAAATCAGTATAAAGTGCTTTTAGAGGACATAATGCTAAGGGTTCATTATTCTGGGAAGGCACACTGGAACAACCACATTTTCAAGCTCCTCCTAAAAACTGCCAGAGTTGGGGCATGCCTGATGTCCTTAGGAAGTGAGTTCCAGAGCCGAGGGGCCACCACCGAGAAGGCCCTCTCTCGTCCCCACCAATCGTGCTTGCGATGCAGGTGGGAGCGCGAGTAGGGCCTCTCCAGATGATCGAAGAGATAGTGTGGGTTCATACACAGAAATGCGGTCACGCAGATAGGCAGGTCCCAAACCGTTCTGAGTAGAAACATATAATATTATCCTCCACAAAATGAACTTGCATTTAAATAATACAAAACAAAAGCTGCTGTTCTCATTATTTTGAACATATGTTTCATGATGTGGGTCAATGAGTTTAAGAAGCAGTTGATCCCACCTATATTCTGTGATGCAGCACTGGGTAATCTTTAAAAATGTTTATCTTCTCTCTTTGCAGTATTTTATCTAACATCCAAGACGTCCACCAGAATATGGGGTATTGCCCACAGTTTGATGCCATTAATGAGCTGCTGACGGGAAGGGAACACTTGGAATTCTTTGCACTCTTAAGAGGGGTTCCAGTAAAGGAAGTCTGCAAGGTAAAATCACCTGAATCAAAATATTTTCTGGAATTGTAGCTCTCAGAATCCTACAGCCAACATGGACAGTGTTTACAATTGCAAACTACATATGGTTGATGATAATGGGAGTGTATTTACATTAAACAGTTGTATCTTGCTTCACTAAATGCTTGAGATAGCCTTACATCAGTAATTAAAATGTTTAAACATATACAACATAGTATCAAAATAATATCACATATCAGAATACAATATAATGAATTCATATGTGTCAGTATAGGAATACTGAATAGCTTGGGGCATATAACAATTAGATGAAAAATAGGAAAGGGAATAGGAATCCACATGAACAGAAATAATTTATGGAGGATGTGCTTTTATTCATGTTTTCTACATTTCCTATAGGTTGGCGAATGGGCTGTTCGGAAGCTAGGCCTCGTAAAGTATGCAGAGAAGTACGCAGGGACCTACAGTGGTGGGAACAAGCGCAAGCTCTCTACTGCAATGGCTCTCATTGGAGGGCCTCCTGTGGTCTTCCTGGTAGGTATGGGCAGGTTCACAATGTAGCTAGGGATTGTAGGGCAGAGTACACAAAATTAGACAACTTAAACAGTTCAAAAACAACATGAAACAAATCTAAAATATTCTGGAAAATCACCACAAGAGAAAACGGGATTGGCATTCATAACCCAGTAGGAACATAGCATTTCCCCCAAAGCTTGAATAAAATATGAAATTTTAGCCTGATGTGGAAATTCCACCAGCATAGGGCACCAGTTGGGCCTTCTAGGAGAAAGGGCATCAAAGCAAAGAAGCAAAGGGCACAACCAGGGCATCAAAGCAAAGAAGGTTCTTCTCTCTTTATTTTGTTAAAAGTATAGTTATGTTTCTTTAAAACAGCATTTCTCAACCTGGGGGTCAGTACACCTGAGGGGGTCATGAGGGGGTGTCAGAGGCTTCACCAAAGACCATCAGAAAATACAGCATTTTTGTTGGTCATGGGAGTTCTGTGTGGGAAGTTAGGTTCAATTCTATTGTGGGTGGAGTTCAGAATACTTTTTGATTGTAGGTGAACTATAAATCTCACCAAGTACAACATTCAAATGTCAAGGCCTATTTTCTCCACCAGTGTTTACATTTGGGCATATTAAGTATTTGTGCCAAGTTTGGTCCAGATCCATCATTGCTTGAGTCCACAGTGCTCTCTGGATGTAGATAAACTACAAAACTCAAGGTCAATGCCCACCTAACCCTTCCAGTATTTTCTGTTGGTCATGGGAGTTCTGTGTGCCAAGTTTGGTTCAATTCTATCTTTGGTGGAGTTCAGAATGCTCTTTGATTGTAGGTGAACTATAAATCCCAGCAACTACAACTCTGAAATGACAAAAATCAACCCCCCAACCCCACCAGTATTCAAATTTGGGAGTATCAGGTATTTAAGCCAAATGTGGTTCAGTGAATGAAAATACATCCTGCATATCAGACATTTCCATTACAATTCATAACAGTAGCAAAATTACAGTTATGAAGTAGCAATGAAAATAGTTTTATGGTGGGAGTCACCACAACATGAAAAACTCTATTAAGAGGTCATGGCATTAGCAAGGTTGAGAACCACTGCTCTAAAACATTAAATACGTGCCACTTAATTTGGAAAACAGCCGCTTGAGATACATCTTGAGATACAAGAGGTACATGAGTTCAAATATTTGATTACACGTCTCACTGAACAGTTCTCAAAGGCATTAGCTATACAATATTAATTGTGTAGATCCACCACTTTAAACTAAAAATGTTATTTCAAATCTGCTACTGGTTAGAACTGTTTCAAACATAACATAGACTCATGTGATAGATACAAGGGGGAAAGTTCTGTACTCTACTCTTGCACGGGCATGCTGGTTTGGAGTGTTCTTCCAGACTACTCACTTTTTAAAATACTCCTAGAAGCTTGCACATGAGAAAGAGACAGCCATGCTATAAATTTATTCTTGTCTCCCTGAGCATGGGAAAGTTTTCTATATAGGACAAATGTGGGCATTTGTCAGGGTTACAGGGCTGCATCACTTCCTGCGGGAAAATGAGGGCACACCTTCACCACTCTCCACTCTGCCACTTATCTCAGAGTTGAAGGCCAAAACATCTGGGGACCACAGGTTGAGAACCACTGACCTATGGTCCATGTATCAAAGTTCACATTAGGAATCACATAACCTCTGGCAGTAGTGGTGGAATGAGTGAGGTTTTGTTTGTAAATTGCAGGATGAGCCAACTACAGGAATGGATCCCAAGGCACGGCGTTTCCTTTGGAATTGTGCCTTGAGTGTCATCAAGCAGGGAAGATCTGTGGTTCTCACATCTCACAGGTAAGTAGCATGGATTCTTAAGCACTATTTGCAAAATAGAGTTTTTGCAAAATTGTTGCGTTACAATTTGTTTCCCCCTCCTCTTGCTTAATAATGTCCAAAAGCAAAGATTTACTTTAAAAATTTTTGAAGTAGTATGAATTCCCATTGCTTGTTCAATCTCTGATTTTTAAAAAATGAAATTTCCACTTAATTTGGGCACATACAGGCATGTAGCACATACAGGCATGTAGCACAAGTAAAGTACATAAAATAAAATATCCTCTTAAAATAGTACTAACAGGCAGTCCTTGAGTTACAAACAAGATAAGTTCTGTAGATTTACTCGTAAATTGAATTTATATGTCAGAATAGGTACAGCTTTAGGTGTAACAACAGCCATTTTGATGTATTGTTGAAGGCTTTCATGGCTGGAATCACTGGGTTGTAGGTTTTTCGGGCTATATGGCCATTTTCTAGAACAGGGGTCCTCAAACTAAGGCCCGGGGGCCGGATATGGCCCTCCAAGGTCATTTACCCAGCCCTCGCTCAGGGTCAACCTAAGTCTGAAATGACTTGAAAGCACATAACAACATCAACAATAATCCTATCTCATCAGCCAAAAGCAGGCCCACACTTCTCATTGAAATACTAATAAGTTTATATTTGTTAAATTTGTTCTTCATTTTAATTATTGTATTGTTTTAAAGTGGGGTTTTTTTGCACTACAAACAAGATATGTGCAGTGTGCATAGGAATTCATTCATGGTTTTCTTTTTTTCCAAATTATAATCCGGCCCTCCAACAGTTTGGGGGACTGTGACCTGGCCCTCTGTTTAAAAAGTTTGAGGATCTCTGTTCTAGAAGCGTTCTCTCCTGACGTTTCGCCTGCATCTATGGCAAACATCCTTAGAGGTTGTGAGGACGCTTGCCATAGATGCAGGCGAAACGTCAGGAGAGAATGCTTCTAGAACATGGCCATATAGCCTGAAAAACCTACAACAACCCAACAATCTTTTTTAGTTTTGGGTAGCTTTCCCATCACTTTCTGTCTCTGTGACACTTGGATTTTGAAAATTTTGGATTGTTATGGAAACAAGGCTTCAGTCATGATACCTTTTCCACATAATAACACTTCAGGAGTAAATTTTCCTTCCTAGGAAATTTCCTCTCACTTCATGTTGTCTCTTCCCCGTTTGTAATTAGGAGTCAGATGTAAGTTGGATGTTTGTAACTTGGGAACTGCCTGTACTTCCATCAAATTTGAATGCATCAGATTTTGTTCTTGAGATCTTTTTGTCCCATATGGTAACTTAATACAACTCCTATTATGCCCAGCCAACACGGCCCAGTTATAGGAGACCCATCAAAGAATCGGAACTGGTTCAAGGCTGCCTTATTTAGTTATTCCCATTCAAAATAGGTAGTCTTGGGCTAGAACAATGTTTTCAAACTCTGATCCTCTAGCTTCCAGAATCATATTGGCCAAAACAGCTGAGACTTCTGGGAGCTGAATTCAAAAGACCTGGCAGACTAGAGCTTGGGAATCACTAAGCTAGAAAGACCAATACACTCATGCCTTTCCAAAAAGAATCCTACAGCTTGTGTATCAAGGTTATCCTTTTGTTTGAACAGGAAAAGTAGACTTGAGTTCAGAAAATTACTGATTTTTATGGTAATTATTTTTTATATGTTTCCCACAGTATGGAAGAATGTGAGGCTCTTTGCACTCGAATGGCTATCATGGTCAATGGACAGTTCAGGTGCCTTGGCAGTGTCCAGCACCTGAAGAACAGGTAAGGCTATTTTACCCACTTGAGTGAAATTAAGCCCTGTAGAACTCAATGGAACATATTGGTATGCTTATTATTATGTTTATGTTTATTTATATCCTGCTTTTTCTCTCCACAAAGAAGGCTCAAAGTGGTTTATGTTTATGAATATGTAGGGATATGTCTGTCCATCTACCTATCTCAATATATATATACATACATATATCTAGTATCTACATGTATACCATATATGTAAACATGGTGCAACATTTTCCTACCTCCTGAATTAAAACGTTTTTAGATTATGAATAGCGACAAGCCTAACATAATGCTGAAACATTGATAATACCTGATTTGGGAAAATGCACTTAAAGTGAAGTTTGACATCAGAAACTAATTCCTTCTAGATCCAGAAGTACAGAGACCCTGAGAATTTCAGCTATGTTGTTTCTGAGTTCAATTGGAACTCAGAATTGCAGTAAAACAAGTGACGATATGCCATTTCAACATCTTTGTTGTTTTCAATAGACAAAAATAGTCACATTAGAGTACTGTAATTTGAGAGTGAAGCTAGTGTGGCTTAATATAGTGTTGGATAACGGCTCTGGAGAACAAGGTTCAAGTCTCTGTTCAGCCATGAAAATCCACTGAGTGACCTTGAGCAAATCATACCCTCTTAGCCTCAGAAAACCTTGTAATAGGGTCTCCTTAGTGTCCATCAGTTGAAGGCACAGAACATGACAACAAAATTTGAGAGCCATCAGTCATTGCTGCAACATTTGCAGGCATTTCTTACTAACCATGAAATCTAGAAATATGTCATTTTAAAATTAGACTAAAAACTACTGCTCACTCATAGGTGACAAATACAAGTCTGCAACATAATGCATTCTGGGTTGTTACAGGTTTTTTGGGCTATATGGCCATGTTCTAGAGGCATTCTCTCCTGACATTTCGTCTGCATCTATGGCAAGTGTAAAGATCCCTTACCTTGCCAGCCAGGGTGGCAGGGCCCAGGAAGAGACAGGCTAGGTAGTTTCAGCTTAGAAGGCCTGGCAGAGAGCTGCTGGAGCCATCTTAGTTTAGGGAAAAGCTCCAGTTCAGAGAGGGGGAGTGGCCTAGGCCTGAGCCAGCCCAGCAACAGCCAGGATTGGTTTGGAAAAGAGGGGCGGAGTTAGTCAGATGGAGGGAAAGAGAGCAGCCTAGTTTTGACAGTTCAGTTTTTAGTTTAGGGCAGTAGAGTTCTGAGAGAGGTTAGAGTAGGATTTGGGAGTTTTAGGAGTCTCTGTGAGGAATAGGCAGCTTGCCTGTAGTTTGCACAGCAAAGTAGGCTGTGGCAGACTGAGTTACAGCTATTTTAGAAAAGAAAATAGCTGGGTTTTTGTGTTTAAGAAATTGTAACAAAGGAAAGAACCATTCTCTCAAGTAACCATTACGCTTCTAAGAAACAAGAACACTTTTATTTGTAACAGCTAAGCCTCTGAACCTGCATTCACTTATAAATCTGTAATTTGTAATCAATAAACTCTTTCTTGTTATTTTTAAAATTGAAGCCTGAGTCAAGTGCCATTTTTGGTTGGAGTCATTTTCCTTGTTGAATCAACCTCTCCTGTTTTCCCCTCAAAGAAAGCCCTTGATAATACACAACATTTGGTGGAGTAAAAAGCCTTTTATAATTTTAAACAGCATTTTAACATTTTAAATAGCTAGAGGGTTCGTGTTTCTTTAGTTTATGGTGGCAGCGAAGGTTTTACATAACGAGACATCCCCTCAAACACTATAAGAGCCAAAGTGGTGTGAATTCCTTATTCTCAGGAAAGACAGTGGTGGGATTTCTTTGACCCCCCTGCCCAGACGGCCTTAAGAAGTTATTATAATTGGTGGCAGTGGTGGGATTCTTTGCCCCCCTGCCTTGATAACCTCTCCAAGTTATTATAGCAAGCATCCTCAGAGCTTGTGAGGTCCTCACAACCTCTGATGATGCTTGCCATAGATGCAGATGAAATGTCAGAAGAGAATGCTTCTAGAACATGGCCATATAGCCCGAAAAACCTACAACAACCCAGTGATTCCAGCCATGAAAGCCTTTGACGATATAATGCATTCTAGTCAACTTTTCCAAACTTTTTTTTTTTACTATTTGATGCTGTTTCAATTTATATTTCATTCTGTTTCAGTTAAAATCACACACTTTCCTTCCTGTTTTTCAGGTTTGGAGATGGCTACACAATAGTAGTGCGAATAGCAGGGTCAAACCCTGACCTGAAGCCTGTTCAGGACTTCTTTGAGCAGGCCTTTCCCGGCAGCGTGCTGAAGGAAAAGCATCGCAACATGCTACAGTATCAACTCCCATCCTCTTTGTCTTCTCTGGCTAGAATATTTAGCATCCTTTCCAATAACAAAAAAAGACTCCACATAGAAGACTACTCCGTTTCCCAGACCACACTTGACCAAGTAAGTTTATAACACTTACATCCCTAAACCCGAACCCATCCATATTTGAAAGTCTCAAGCTCCACAGTTGCCTTTGGATTGTTCTTTTTGCATAAAATTATGAATAGAGATCGCATTGTAGTAGAGTTTATGTCATTGAAAGACTAGCATCTGATTTTAATGAGACACTAGGAGCAAAAACTGGAAGACAAATTATGTTTGCAATTGCACTGCCATCAAATACTCCTTTTCCATATTTCTGACTAAGTGTAGACAGCAGCTGGCAGAAGGAATGGGGCTGCAAGGCCCAAGTGTAGCTACTACCATCCAAGACAGAATGGAGGTGACCTTGCACAGGGCTCTATAAAAATAATAACAAATAATAAAACTTTATTTATATACCACTCTATCTCCCCGGGGGGACTCAGGGCGGTTTCCAAACAATAACATCAAAACATACAGAGTCACAACATGAACAAAAAATAACAGTTACAGCAACATAAGCATGAATGACCCAACAACACATCAATATTTTAAAAAATCCTGCCTGCTCTTAATAATAATAATAATAATAATAATAATAATAATAATAATAATAACAACAACAACAACAACACTTTATTTGTACCCCGCTACCATCTCCCCAAGGGACTCGGTGCGGCTTACATGAGGCCGAACCCAAACACAACAATACAGGCAATAATCACAACAATACAAGCAATTAAAATAAAACATAAATGATAAACATATAACATTATCAATAAGACAACATACAGTTAAAACTGTGGGAAGGCCAAATGTAAAAATTAAAATTATAAGTAGTGCTGAGGCATGGACTATTCGTTATGTCTATTTGTTAGAGCATGGAAAAGGAATGGGTCAGGACAATTAAAAAGGCTGGGTCAAGATTGATACAGACTGAAATAAGATGGGACTGGCATTTGGGTACAGTACTGTAATAAGTAAACGACAAAAGTGGGGACAAGCTATTTCCAGGGGCCTGTTAAGAGAATGACCAGGGTAATATATAGGGGGCTAGGCCATGTCCGGACAGTGTCTGGGCTGAGCTAGCTCTGGTCACTCTCAAAGATTTGTTGAAACTACCAAGTCTTCAAACTCTTACAAAAAGAGGGGAGGAATGGGGCCTGTTTTATTCCCCTTGGAAGGGCGTTCCAGAGATAGGAGGCCACCACTGAGAAGGAACTCTCTCTCATCTCCACTAACCATGCTTGTGACGGAGGTGGGAGCAAGAGGAGGGCCTCCCCGGTGGATCTTAGAGCTCTGCATCAGATTCCACAGTCAAGCTGACTTCAGGAGAGATGATTTATGTATTCATCTGCAAATGCTTAAAGTGGAAACAGGTGATGAGGAGAAATTAGTGCATGCATGAAGTAACTGGCCCAGTCTCTACATTTACAAAAAATCTGCAAGCAAAGCTCCAGTTAGATCTTTCTGATCTGTAAGGGAACTTAGTGGTTCCCAGGTCACCAAATTGGGAGGGAGAGCCAATACTCCAGAAGACAGGAGCAGGATTCAAAACGATCTTGACAGATTAGAGAGATGGGCCAAAACTAACAAAATGAAGTTCAACAGTGACAAATGCAAGATACTCCACTTTGGCAGAAAACGAAATGCAAAGATACAGAATGGGGGACAATGCCTGGCTCGAGAGCAGTACGTGTGAAAAAGATCTTGGCGTCCTCGTGGACAACAAGTTAAACATGAGCCAACAATGTGATGTGGCGGCAAAAAAAGCCAATGGGATTTTGGCCTGCATCAATAGGAGCATAGTGTCTAGATCTAGGGAAGTCATGCTACCCCTCTATTTCTGCTTTGGTTAGACCACACCTGGAATATTGTGTCCAATTCTGGGCACCACAATTCAAGAGAGATATTGACAAGCTGGAATGTGTCCAGAGGAGGGCGACTAAAATGATCAAGGTCTGGAGAACAAGCCCTATGAGGAGCGGCTTAAGGAGCTGGGCATATTTAGCCTGAATAAGAGAAGGCTGAGAGGAGATATGATAGCCATGTATAAATATGTGAGAAGAAGCCACAGGGAGGAGGGAGCAAGCTTGTTTTCTGCTTCCCTGGAGACTAGGACGCGGAGCAAAGGCTTCAAACTACAAGAAAGGAGATTCCATCTGAACATGAGGAAGAACTTCCTGACTGTGAGAGCTGTTCAGCAGTGGAACTCTCTGCCCCAGAGTGTGGTGGAGGCTCCTTCTTTGGAAGGTTTTAAACAGAGGCTGGATGGCCATCTGTCAGGGGTGATTTGAATGCAATATTCCTGCTTCTTGGCAGGGGATTGGACTGGATGGCCTATGAGGTCTCTTCCAACTCTTTGATTCTATGATTCTGGTCTTGTGAACTCTTCCAGTTTTTCTGCTCTATGAGTCGTCTTCTTGTCAAATCAATGTTGCTTTTGTCCTGCTGCTTCCCATAGCTGACTACTGTCTCAGACTGTATTTATTTTGTCCCTTCCGATTGTCCTCTTTTCAGGAGCCCATATGTCTGCCCTTCTTCTCTGGGGCATTGGAACAGATGTCCCCTTGTGGGGTTTCTCTTACATTTTGGCCTGCAGTCTCCATGCCGACTAGGGTTAATGACTGTTATGGCTATAATCTGTAGCACCTAGAATGAAGAATGCTATATTTGGGCGTCTTAAACAGGCAGTAATATTGATTCACTACCACCTCCAAACTGCATTACAATATTGATTGGTAGCAAATGGGGCCTTACCTCACTATTGATTGTACTTGTACTTCAAGAGAAACGTGAACAGAAAGTAAACTCAAAGAGTTTTCTCTGTGATGCTGTTGCCGCTCTGGGCTTTTATCTTAATTGATATCCATTACACTACGCAACATGATTTTTGTTCCTGTCATTTCCTAATTGGTTCTGTCATAAAAGCATGGAAAAAAGGTTAATTAAACTGCAAAAACTTTGTTTTTGTGGGACATTCTGCAGCACAGTTTGCTATAGTTTTTCAATGAATATCTTATAGAGTCTCAACCAAGGGAAGCCACAGAACAAAGTTTCTGAAGTATAACAACTACTTTCAAAGTAAGCACCACACAATTAAACAGGAAATAACATTTTCAAACCATGAATAAATAGATCATTATTCCAATTTTGTTACGGGATTATCCATGCCCTGCCCCACATGTCTTCTGGTAGAACTGTAGTCATTTGGATATCTGGAGCAGTGTTTCTTGACCTTCCTCATGCCATGACCCCTTAATACAGTTCCTCATATTGTGGTGACCCCCAACCATAACATTATTTTTGTTGCTACTCCATAACTGTAATTTTGCTGCTGTTATTAATCATAATGCAAATATCTGATAGGAGGACTATAAGTATTTTCATTCACTGGACCAAATTTGACACAAATACCCAATACATCCAAATTTGAATACTGATAGAGTTGGGGGGGCGTTATTGATTTTGTCATTTGGGAGTTGTAGTTGCTGGGATTTATAGTTCACTTATGATCAAAGAGCATTCTGAACTCCACCAATGATGGAACTGAACCAAACATGGCACACAGAACTCCCATGATCAACAGAAAATACTGGAAGGGTTTGGAGGACATTTACCTTAAGTTTTGAAGTTGTAGTTCACCTACACCCAGAGAGCAATGTGGACTCAAACCATGATGGATCTGGACCAAACTTGGCACGAATACTCAATATGCCCAAATGTAAACACTGGTGGAGTTTGGGGAAAATAGACCTTAGCATTTGGGAGTTGTAGTTGCTGGGATTTATAGTTCACCTACTATCAAAGAGCCTTCTGAACGCCACCAGTGATAGAATTGGGCCAAACTTCTCACACAGAACCCCATGACTAACAGAAAATATTGTGTTTTCTGATAGTCTTTGGTGACCCCTCTGACACCCTCTCACGACCCCCCAGAGGTCCTGACCCCCAGGCTGAGAAACACTGATCTGGAGGCTTTTCAAATCTAGTGTTGTCAACTGTTCCTTGTCTTACTGAGTTTCATGCTTTATACCAGGCAGCTGTATTACTATTACGACTGTTAACTCGTTGACTCCTACTTTCCTGTGCTCTCTTTCTTCAGGTATTTGTAAACTTTGCAAAGGACCAAAGTGATGATGACCACACAAAGGACTTGTCATTGCACAAAAACCAGACTGTTGTAGATGTTGCAATGCTGACGTCTTTCTTGCAAGACGAGAAAGTGAAAGAAAGCTATGTATGAGCAACCATTTTGAGAAGGATGCTACGTCAGTACTGAGCAGAAGGGAGGCATTCATCCTTTCTGTGGCACAAGGAGTTCTTCCCAGGAGCCAAGAGACAGAGGATACCGAGCCGAAGAGGATAAACTGGATGTTCTACAATTCAATGCAATGCAATTCAATGCAAAGAAAACAATATTCCTTTACGGAGGCAGTGCCTCTTGGAGATGTTGCCTTGTTGTACTGTTCTCTAGTGAAAGACTTGAATCTAGTTGTTCTTACATTATAACTCTGTGAAATTCTAGTATGGTGGCACATGCTGTTGTGTGGTCCTTCTGCCATACTTCCACCTGTTTCTACTTACTTGTTTTTGGTTAGAGGTCATGTGGCAAGATTTGGGCGGATTCTTGGCCAGTGATTATTTATTTGCCATGTTAAGATGTGCACAGTCCTTTGGTGGGATGAGTAGGGTTGCCTGGGTGCTATATCCATTGCTGGCAATGAAAGCACCAGTGTGACCAGTGCCAAGCAATCATCACACAACACATTGCTGTGGCCTTATTTAAGTGTTGGCTGTTGGCCCAGTTTACCTAAATAAATCGAAGGGGATTTGTATGAAGACCATTGGTGGTTTTCACCCTGGGCCAGAGACACATCACCTCAAAACATGCATCCAGTTATTAACTCAGTGTTTCTTATCATGGTGTAGCAGGATCAGCCATACAAACATTTGGGAGGATTTCTGTCCCACGGTATGGTGACCAATTTGCTTATTCCTACACTATGCTCTTGTGAAACTGTTGCTGTTTTCCGTTTTTGTTACTTAAGCCTTGTTTTTGATATGTCTCTTGTTTGCAACAGTATTACTTCTCGAATCATGTGGTGATCTGGTCCTGTTGACCTATTTCAGCATCCCCACTTAGCTGTCAATCACTTTTCATACCACTCTTATTACTCTAAAGATCTAGATGTAGTTGGTATCATTTGTGTAACGTAGGTTTTTATAATCTTGCAATCACCACTATACCATTTTTTTTTTGTGAACATGAACGTTACAGTGTAAGGTTTTCCTACCTGAGATGCCAAATCATACGATGTCTACTTCTTACCTTGCACAGCACTGTCCTTTTAAGACTAATTGAAAAGGAGAAAAATCTCCTGTTCCTCACCTTTCTTTTCTCATCCCTATCCTCCCACCTCATTCCGCTTTCTCTCCTGCTTCTAAGAGGAGGTTACATTCAAAGTTGGAAGTAAAGATGGGCAAGAGATTGATAGAATGCATTTATTTTATATTATAGAGTTGACTACTTTGTTTTTCTGCAAGACAAATTACAGAATAATTTCTCATTTTGGGAAGGTTAGAGCCCCCTTTAAAACAACGCACAAATAGTTGGCCAAAGTTGAAAGAGTCAACATTGCGTGCCTCTTTGTGACAACGAATGAGTACATTAACAGCAACCTGAAGGCTTCTTATTAGCAATGTCAGCAAGGAGTATAGTTGTGATGCCTCTCCCCCAAACCAGGTATAGTCCTGAAAAGTTTAGCTGTTACTCTTCTAAAAGCAGTTGAACAGGGTTCTGCATCCTATGCACCCATTTCTCTCTCTGGCCCCTTCCACACAGCTGAATAAAATCCCACATTATCTGCTTTGAATTGGTATATATTGCAGTGTGGACTCAGATATCCTGGTTCAAAGCAGATATTGTGGGATTTTCCGCCTTGATATTCTGGGTTATATGGATGTGAGGGCGATCTGGCTGCGACATCTGTCACCCCATTGATCGCCAGGGTTGATTCGGGTGATCCGGCTGACTAGGCGGGTGTCCCCTTCCTCCCTCACCGCTCCATGTGCGCGCTCGGTGGAAGAGGACGACGTCCCAGGTATAGGAGTGTACCAAGGTCTCCAGTCTTCAGTCCCGGGTTATATGGCTGTGTGGAAGGGCCCTGTCTCTCTCTCTGAAAGCTCTCTCTACCTATCAGATGTAAAGCTGTATATTAGTAGGGAGAAGATTCATTTCTCCATACCAGATAGCTGGAACTTTGGCCCTGACAACTCACACAGCACATAAATGATTTTGCAGTTATAAGTCCTGCTTGAAGAGGCTAGTCTTTAAAAAAACAAAACAGGAGTGCTCTTTAATGTATCCTTTAAGATCGATGTGCCATTTTACGCAAACGCACAGTCCAAAGCAAACAATGTGCTGTTTAAATGTGTCATCCTCTGTGTCTACTCAAAGGTAGGCCCTTCCTTCTTTCTCCTATAGGTTGGAATCCTGTTTATGACTTACTCCAGGATCTGTTTTGCTAAGATAAGACACTTTGTAAAGCAAAGCATAGCAACAGGGTGGCAATAGAAAAAGCTGTGCCAATCAGAGCAACTTGGGAGACAGCGGGGCAACTTTGCCATCATTGTGGTGCCTGCAGCCACTATACCTCAGTACTATGCTGCCTTCTTGTAGGCTGGCGTGATATTATAGGCCAGCAGACACAACCTAAGTCTGCACTTGCTTTGAAAGTGGCCTTACAGAACACAAGAAGACTTGCAAGTGCGAAGCTATCATGAACAACTTCCAGTGGGCTGAGGGACAATATTTGACACGTAGATCCACCACAAGCTGTCAGGTCTATAAAAAAAGATGGGTATGTTCCAACCAAAAGTGACCAGACACCAGTTGTAGCTGGGAGCCTATAGCCCTTGAATCAAATTAACTTTTTAGCCATTTTTTTTCACCACAGGTTGTGAAAAAAGGCCATGGGGATGCCAAAGGTCCCAATTTGTTTTCCCAATATAGAAGATATAGGTGCAAGTTCTGCTGCTCTCAATGGAAAAGTTTTGCCTCTTCCATTTGAAACAGTTGCTTGGTTAGTTTGGGACTCCAGTCCATCCAATACCACGCTGAATACTAGATCAGTTTCCTCCAAATCTGTAATGCCATGTTATACAAGGTTTCTGATGTGTTCAACGTGGATTTGCCAATATGATCTTCAGTGTTGTAGGTACTGTAAGATAAAACCACTGCTCATTGAACTGTGTTGAGAAGATTTACCACTTTACTATGTATGGGGTGAAGTTGCTGCATCCTTCTACAGCTTTTTTGACTGCTGTAGAGGCTCTTTTCCTATAAATAGTTTTCTTCCAGAACACGTAATGGAAAGCCTGTGTTACCGTATTCTTCTTTCTATCCATTTCTGTCTCCCTTCTCTTTAATGATTGATCCTTCATTCCAAGCACTTTATGCTAGCTGTAATGGGATCTATTTTTGCACTGGAATAGTCTGTTAACTTTGCAAAATCTGGAGCAGTTTCACACACATACACACAAATTTTTTAAGTTAAGAAAACTTTCAATGGACATTTTCATGAAAAATATATATTTGTATTGCTAATAAACTATTTGTGGAATATTAATAGGCATTTGTTAATTGCCTTGTATCAAGTAAAGAAAAAATAAAGTGTTGCTGGTCTACAACTGGGTTTATTTTAAGACTGCTTAATAAATCTTATTATCAAGTTAGAGGCTATGATACAACCACTGTATCCATAGGGGATGTTCCCAGACTTTGCATGGAAACATGGGGCTGTGGATAATAGCAAACTCTATTGAAATTAAGAACTTCCGGAGCAAGAATATCATTGACGCCCCTTAAATCACGTGTCCGGCGTGACTACATGGAGCACCATTACCTTCCCACCGGAGTGGTACCTTCCCACCAGAGCTGTACCTACCCAGCTTCTGCGAACTGCTGGGTTGGCAGAAGCTGGAGCTAACAGCGGGAGCTCACCCCATCCACGGATTCGGACTGCTGACCTTGCAGTCAGCAAATTCAGCAGCTCAGCGGTTTAACCTGCTGCGTCACTGGGGACACACCTATATGAGTCTACCCTGCCATATAATCCAGTTGAAAGGAGATAATCTGGATTTTATATGGCAGTGTAGAAGGGGACTATGATGTGTCTTTCGTATTGCAATCAAAGCATGGAAGGCATCTTATAAACAAGAGGGAATCTTCCTATAAAACCCTATGAAATGCATGGGGCCACCATATGACAATTTGTAAACAAGGAATATTCCTACAAAACCCTATGACATGCATGAAGTCACCATATGTCACCATAATGTAAAGGTAAAGGTTTCCCCCTGATATTAAGTCCAGTCGTGACCGACTCTGGGATGTGGTGTTCATCTCAATTTCTAAGCCGAAGAGCCGGCGTTGTCTGTAGACACCTCCTAGGTCATATGGCCAGCATGACTGCCTGGAACGCCGTTACCTTCCCGCTGGAGAGGTGCCTATTGATCTACTCACATTTGCATGTTTTCAAATTGCCAGTCGTGACAGTCGTGACTCACATTTGCATTTTTTCGAATGCCAGTCGTGACCAGCTCAGGGGTTGGTGCTCATCTCCATTTCTACGCCAAAGAGCTGGCATTGTCCATAGACACCTCCTAGGTCATGTGGCCAGCATGACTGCATGGAGCGCCATTACCTTCCTGCTGGAGCGGTACCTATTGATCTACTCACATTTGCATGCTTTTGAACTGCTAGGTTGGCAGAAGCTGGGGCTGGCAGCGGAAGCTCACACCACTCCCCGCATTCAAACATGCGACCTTTTGGACAACAAGCTTAGCAGCTCAGTGGTTTAACCCACTGCGCCACCGGGGGCTCCCATATGTCACCATACACCCAAACATACCTGAAAATACAACATAATAGAACAATCCATTCAAAACATGTTAAACAAGAAGAAATGGGGAGGGGTAAAAAAACCACTAAATCCCCTTGTGCTTGATTTGTCTAGTGATTGAATTGTGTTCAAGTTGGCAGAGCATTCAGGAATCTGCCATTTAAAACAGCTCGGTCCAGCAATTCATTGATCTGCAGTGTTAAAGTAGATTGATCCAGATTCTTTTGGCGAATACATAGATGAACTCTTCCCATTTGCACAGCTGACTCCCTCAAATTGAAACATTTACCACCCTGGTTTACATTATAACTGCTTCAGTAAAGACTGCTTTACCTGTAGTCTGAAAAGGCAGATGCAGTCGGAATCACAACCACAGTAATATATATATAGTTGAAGAGTCTTCTTTTAATGTATACATTTTAACAATACATTCTCAGAATTGTGTTTCTTTACGGTCGTTCCAAACATGCAAGCATATACATGCTTCTTCATATGCTGTGTGCATCGGCGGCTCAGAAATAATCAATCTATTCACAGTTTCAACTTTGTAACAAGCCAGTGTTAATACTTTTTGCCTGGAATGATTTGCCTGTACCATTGAAAAAGGAAGAAAAAAGCCCCCCACATCTGCTTGGACCCTAAACAAACTGGACAACTGAGTTCCCATATTGCATAAAAACAATTCTTGGAAAAGAGGAATAGTCTATCCTTACGATTTCTTCAATGTGGTTTCCTAAATCACAACTGAAACTGTACTGCAAGGGCGGCTTTGTTTCAGTTTTAGTCCAACAATTGCCAGATACGTCATATAAAATTTTAAAATATCATGGCTTAAGATGGTGAAGGAACTGTTCAACTTTTAAGTATCTCTCTTAAGTTGATATAGGCTGAAGTCGCAGGTCCGCAGTTTGGGTGTCCTCCTGGACTCATTACTTATGCTTGAAGCTCAGGCGTCGGCGATGGCCGGGAGGGCCTTTACACAACTAAGACTCATGCGCCAACTACGACTGTACCTCGTGAAGGCGGATCTGGCCAGGGTGGTCCATGCCTTAGTCACCTCCTGATTGGACTACTGTAATGCACTCTACTTGGGGCTGCCCTTGAAAACGGCCCAGAAATTTCAATTGGTCCAGCGGGCGGCGGCCAGGTTGTTAACTGGTGCTCCTTACAGGGAGAGGTCAACCCTCCTGWTCAAGGMGCTCCAYTGGCTGCCGTTCATTTWCCGGWCCCAATTCAAGGTGCAGGTKCTTACCTACAAARMYCTRAAYRGTTTGGGACCCGCCTACCTGYGTGACCRCATCTCTGTATACGAACCCACACRATCYCYTCGATCATCYGGAGAGGCCCTGCTTGCGATCCCACCTGCATCGCAAGCGCGATTGGTGGGGACGAGGGACAGGGCCTTCTTGGTGGTGGCCCCTCGACTCTGGAACTCACTCCCCAAGGACATCAGGCATGCCCCAACATTGGCAGTCTTTAGAAGGAGCTTGAAAAYGTATTTGTTCCAGTGTGCCTTCCTAGAATAAGGAAACTCCAAGCAATAYGTCCCAAATGCACTTTACTAGAGATCTAGAATTGCCTGCACGCTCCACCTATCCCTAAAATATCTATCCTATTTCACCTGATCATGCCCAGCACTTTTAAAGATTTTAATTATTACATTTGGCCCTGCCACAGGTTTTAATGYGCTGCGGTGTTATTGTTAATGTTTTTGCTTGCTTATGAGTTTGTTGTTATTGTATTGTTGTTGTTGTGTTTTACTGATGTATTTGGGCTYGGTCTCTTGTAAGCTCCACTGAGTCCTTCAGGAGATGGTAGCGGGGTATAAATAAAGATTTATTATAAGACAGTGGGAGGAACATGAGTACACTGCCAGAAATAATCCCTCTGCCTCTCTTCTGCCTTTTAGTGCTTTAGAGCACTGTCTTTCCGCCCCTACAAATCTTAAAACTTCACAGCCTCCAGCAAAAAAGAAGTACTGAATCCATTTTATACAAGAGAGGAGATTCCATCTGAACATGAGGAAGAACTTCGTGACTGTGAGAGCCGTTCAGCAGTGGAACTCTCTGCCCTGGAATGTGGTGGAGGCTCCTTCTTTGGAAGCTTTTAAACAGAGGCTGGATGGCCATCTGTTAGGGGTGATTTGAATGCAATATTCCTGCTTCTTGGCAGGGGGTTGGACTGGATGGCCCATGAGGTCTCTTCCAACTCTTTGATTCAATGATTCAATGTTATGTGTTATTTTTCTTTCATTGTTTGTATTTTATTTATTAATTGCTGTATGTATTTATTTTATTTTTATAGTATTTTGTTGGGCTTGGCCTCATGTTAGCCGCCCGAGTCCCTGAGGGGAGATGGTAGTGGGGTATAAATAAAGTTTAATAAGAATAAAATTAATAATAATAACATCTCGATCCTCAATTACTGTCTTATACTATGGTCACCATGCAGTCATTCAACTGCTGCAAGCAAAAAATAGAGGATGCCGGTTGTATTTGGAGCAAATTTTGTAAACAGCTGGGTTATGACAGCACTCAAATTCATCCAACAGTACAATAGAAAAGTACTTTATAAATTCCTTGTTTTGTGTACAAAAATACTATTTTAGAGGTGAGAATGCAGTAGGCACCAGGAGACAGTTCTGCTGAGATTCCAGGAACTGAACACTTTCGCGAACTGAAAATAAAGGACACAAATAGTTAAGAGAGGCTCAAGCAATATTGAGACTTTGACTTAAAAGACAGAAAGCATTCACTTACCAGCAGCGACGACTCTCGGATCCTCATGTGCATAGTGTCTTCCAGATGCTCGACTATCTGGGCTCTCATTCCACCAAAGCGCATGAACTATATACAAGGATGGGAAAATGTGTAACTAACTTTATTCAATTTCCTTTTCCTGTTTTATTTATTTGGAAATGTTGTGCATGAAATGTGTCAGTGCTGGGATTCAGCTTGAGTCAAGCATGATACTCAAAAGCATGAATGGACACCCTTTTGAAAACTTGGCCTATCCACTATTAGGTATATTCCAGTTTCAGATGAAATATAAATACATCATCCCTATCTCATCCTGATTTTAGTATTTTTAGTATCTTAGTTTTTATTTTGCACATGCCCGCTCATTGTTATGTTATGTTATTTTATTTTACTGTGTATGATTTTGCTTTATCATCTTTGCACTTATATGTTGTATGTATTTTACTGTGTTGTTATTGTGTTTTGGTTTTACTTTATTGTAATATGCTGTTGGGGTTGGCCTAATGTAAGCCGCCCCGGGTCCCCATTGGGGATATGGTGGTGGGGTATTAAATAAAGATTATTATTATTATTATTATTATTATTATTATTTCTAAAACTTACTTTACACAAGGTGGTGTGATTAATGCACACAAGCAAATTCAGGCCCCATTTACACTGCCATATAATGCAGTTTCAGAATGCAAATTAACTGCATTAAACTGCATTATATGGCAGTGTAAGGTAAAAGTAAAAGTTTTCCCTTGACATTAAGTCTAGTCATGTCTGACTCTGGGGGGGGGGGGGGGGGGGGGGGGGAGTTGTGGTGCTCATCTCCATTTCTAAATGAGCTGGCATTGTCCTTAGATGTCTCCAGGGTCATGTGGCCAGCATAACTGCATGGAGCACCATGACCTTTCCGCCAAAGTGGTGCCTACTGATATAATAATAATAATAATAATAATAATAATAATAATAAATAATAATAATCCTTTATTTATACCCCACTACCATCTCCCGGAGGACTCGGTGCGGCTTACAAGAGGCCGAGCCCAAATACATCAATAAAAACAACACAGCAATACAGACAATAAATAAACTCATAAACAAGCAATAAACAGTAATAATAACACCACGACGCATTAAAATCCTATGGCAGGGCCAAATGTAATAATTAAAATTTTAAAATACTGGGCATGACAAGGTGACATATAACTAGGGTAGGTATTTGGAGAGAGATGGAGCGAGCAGACAATCCTAGTCACATTTGAATGTTTTTGAACTGCTATGTTGGCAGAAGCTGGGGATAACAATGGGAGCTCACCCTGCTCCCCAGATTCAAACCACTGACCTTTTGGTCAGCAAGTTCAGCAGCTCAGTGGTTTAACCTGCTGCGCCACTGGAGGCACCCATATGGCAGTGTAGACTTATATAATCCAATTCATTGCATTCAAGCATCTACTGGTTTAGCTTCAGCTATTAACAGCTACAATGATGTACTCTGCGAATTAAAAATATTGCTGGCCAACACATATTTTAACACCTCAAATGTTAAACTTGTTTCCGGGTATATTTGACCTGCTGATTCCAAAAATGGCACAAATTTTCTCCTATCCGTTCTAGTTCTTGAGATACAACTGCTTTAATTATTGTTTTAATATTTTAATGTATTGTTGATTGTTTTATGACGATGACACCGTATGGTGTTTGTGAGGCCGCCCCAGTCACCCCTCGAGGGTGAGAAGGGTGGGGTATAAATATAGGAAATAAATAAATAAATACAGAACATATAGAATCATAGAATAATAGAATCGAAGAGTTGGAAGAGACCTCATGGGCCATCCAGTCCAACCCCCTGCAAAGAAGCAGGAATATTGCATTCAAATCACCCCTGAGAGATGGCCATCTAGCCTCTGTTTAAAAGCTTCCAAAGAAGGAGCCTCTACCAGCTACTGGATGCCAGCTACTAGTCTTCATCTGTTCTCCCATAGGAAATCATGATAACCATATCTACAAATCTAGATCTGATGCGGTCTATCAAATACATTATTCTGAATCAGCGCCTCAAACAGGACTAAAAACCATGACACCAAGAAATAGTTTTGGTTGGGCCTTGTAATTACAGTTGGATCCAGGTTCAAATAATGGAGATTCAAGGCTAGGAATGATTCACCTAAAAAGGCAAACAGACTAATTAATCTTCTGCGAGATCAGCAAATTTCTAAATGCTAATATGAACTGTACCTCTGTTAAGCTTCCCATATTCTGTATGAAAAACACCAATCAGCTTAGTGTATCCAGTCTTGACGTGAGCATTAATTGCTGTTTTAAAAGACTGTCCCCACACTGCTGGTCCACCAGGTTTCATGTGGAAGGTAACCAATTCATAGACTCCTAGAAGAAGGGCAGAGATAAGCATCATTGTGAGTGACAGGTTCAGAATGAGTCATGGACCTCCCAAAGTTCTCAATCATGTTGCAAACAAGGAATTACAGAATTGACTTTTAAGAGCATCTTAGCCTACTGTATAAAAATATTTTCCCCCTTACAGACAAAAGATACACCTGAAGATGTGTGGAAATTATCCAAATTACAGAAGGCACCAAGTTGGATTTTAACACAGTTGGTGTGCTATGTTTGTGTGGGCTCAGTTACAAGGCCCTGTATGCATGTGAAAAAAAAATGGGTGATCATGTCCTATATTTTTAAATAGTGGTGACATGAACACACACCTTTCAGAGTGACCACAATCATATTATCACATCTAAAAATATGGGGTGTGGCGATCCTCATTTGATTGAAATCACAGATCTGCAGGACACACTTTAGGGGCTGGATATTCTGTGATTTTCATGCCCTATACATTTATCTACATCTAAGATAGACTACTATCTAYATCTAGGATAGACTACTGCAACGCACTCTACATGGGGTTGACTTTGAAGACTGCTTGGAAGCTTCAAATAATCCAACGAGAGGCAGCCAGGTTAATAACTGGGGCGGCATACAGGGAGCATACAACTCCCATGTTACGCCAGCTCCACTGGCTGCCAGTTTGCTACCRGGCAMAATTCAAAGTGTTGGCTTTGGCCCTCACCCAATTTACCTGTCCGAAYGCATCTCCCCCTATTAACCATCAYGGAGATTAAGATCCTCCGGGGAGACCCTGCTTTCCGTCCCACCATTGTCACAGGCACGATGGGTGGGGACGAGAGACAAGGCCTTCTCGGTGATTGCTCCCCGGCTATGGAACTCCCTTCCTGGTGAGATCAGGTCGGCCCCCTCTCTCCTGTCCTTCAGAAGGATGGTAAAAACTTGGCTGTGCGACCAACCTTTTGGGACAGGGCAATAAAGCAGCAATAAGAAAGATGACCAGGCCAATTAGATTTGATGCAGTTGACTAGGCCCGTTTTAAATGGTGTATTTTAATATTTTGATAAATGTTTTTTAATGTTTATGTATTGTATGTGAATTTGTGTCCCGGCATTGAATGTTTGCCGTGTATATGCTGTGCTCTGCCCTGAGTCCCCTTCGGGGTGAGAAAAGCAGAATATAAATGTTTAAAAATAAATAAATAAATAAATAAATTTTAGTCAAAAAATCAACCCAAAAAACCTCAACTTATCCATGGGTTAATGTGAGTACTATACCCGATAAAAATAAATGACTCCCTTCTCTGAGTGGAGTGGTGGAAGACAAGAGCATAATTCATCCTGGAAGAACCTAAAAGCTACTCTCTTGCACTGGTCAAACTTCTTGCCTTGTTCAATAGGCAGGGAAATTGAGGTAATAGCCGAGAGCAGCTGCCCCTGTGAATGGCCAAATAATGACCATCCATGGGTGACATCACATTCCAGAATGTTGATCCCAAAACCTGCCCTTGACTTATACATACCATCCTTTTCAGAGCTGCCAAGTTCACACCAGGGCACGAGGTAAGCAATCTCATTGTCTTGTTTGTCTAACAAGGGCAACATCTGAGACAAATATTTTTCTTGCCAGGCTTGGTCTTTGGCTAATGCTGTCCGGACGGCAGATCTTTGGGCAAAGCTTTCTGCAATTGAAAGGAGGACATAGAAGATTGTTATAAGGAAATGTCTGAAATATGTTGAAAGTACCTTAAGACCTATGGCGACCTGAATGAGGAAGAATAAGCTGAGGATCAATCCTGACAAGACAGAGGTCCTCCAGGTCAGTCGTTTGGCTGACTGGGGTATTGGGTGGCAACCTGTGCTGGACGGGGTTGCACTCCCCCTGAAATCACAGGTCCACAGTTTGGGGGTCCTCCTAGACTCAGCGCTGACACTTGACACGCAGGTGTCGGTGGTGACCGGGAGGGCCTTTGCGCAGTTAAAACTTGTGCACCAACTGCGACCTTACCTCGTGAAGTCTGATTTGACCATGGTGGTCCATGCCTTAGTTACCTCTAGATTGGATTACTGTAATGCTCTCTACGTTGATAATGGGACAAGACCGTAAAAAGAGTAAAAGCCACACAGAAACACACACACCATTGCTTTGGATATGTCAACCAAAGAGGGTGAAGAGACAAAAGTCCACCAAAATTAAAGGTGCAGAAAAGAACAGAGAGGGTGCCAACTGAACTTCCCAAGGGAGGGAATTCCTTAACTTGAAAGACCTCGTTGAGAAGTATTTCTTCTTTTTTTTGTCCTCACATGATAGTGTCAAATCACAAAAAAGGTAAATTCTTTAACCAGAGCTCCACCAACAAAAATGTGTCTCTCCAGTTCATAGGTTAAAGCAGGGGCAAGGGCACTATGGTTGTTTTTGAACAGCAGGCGTCACAATCACCCAGGACCAAGAATGCTGGTTGCAGCTGATGGGAGTTGTAGGCTAAAAATATCTGAAGCTGTCCACACACGAACAAAAAGCTTTTAAAGGCTTGGGATAATGTTCAGAGCTTTTACCCCCTTTAGTATCTGTTAAATAGTCATCAATGTTCTGGACCAAAAATAGTCCATAGGAGTTATACAGGAATTCATAAGTGCTACTACTTTGCTTCCATTGGAGAACTCTGTGCTAATTACAGAATCAGAAGACAAGATGAAAAACAAACAAACAAAGGAAGGATTTGTAGGCTGTGCAAAAAGGAAAATTAGGCCCACGAGCATACTAAACAGCTTTTACTCCTAAACAATGTGTTTGCATATATGTGTGCTTCTCTAGTGAGGCTATTAGGGTGAAGTAGTGCCTTGAGTCTTGTACAAATGACCAGAGTTTGAGTCCTTGGTCAGCTATAGGAACCTACAGGGTGACCTAGGGCAAATCGTACTTCTCAGAGAAAGGCAAATGTAAACCTCCACTTAAGATACCGTATATTCCGGCATATAAGACGACTGGGCGTATAAGACAACCCCCAACTTTTCCAGTTAAAATATAGAGTTAAGACGACTCCCATGCATAAGACTACACCTGCGTATAAGACGACCCCTGACTTTTGCGAAGATTTTCTTGGGTTAAAAAGTAGTCTTATACGCCAGAATATACTGTACTTATCAAGGAAATGCTATGATATGGTTGCCATAAATTGGAATCCAGTTGAAGGGACAGAAAAAAAAATAAAAATAAATAAAAGTTAAGGCACTGTTTACAATTTCAAAATATTTAAATGGCAATTAGGGCTGAGCAAATCTTTCTTTTTAAATCGTTAGTGATATCCAATTCATAAGTTTTGTATATATGAACAGATATTATGAATCATCGGGAGATACCCATGCAAAAACTTTAGAATCAAAACTCCTCCAATACTTTTCCGTTTGAATTCTGTAATATTCGAAAGTCAGTTTCATTTTCAGTGCAAGCGAGGCAAAGCCAAAAAGGATGCCATTCTTCTTTAAATTAAGTTGAGATGGGCTGCCTTTCGCCATGAGGAGAGGAGAGCAACAGGGTGGGACGAGCCAAGTGAGCTGGGAAAGAGACTGAGAGAGCACAGAATTCTGGGAAATGTAGTTTGGGGAGGCGAGGAGCCCTATGGCAGAGAATTCAAAAGGCCCTGTCCTAAACTACATTTCCCAGAATTCTGATCAGCATCAGAAAGCCCCAATTAGGAGAGGGGAGAGAATTGTCCCTCCTAGCAGAAGTGAGTTCCAATAAATTGTTGAATCTCCAAAGAGGACTGATTGATACTTCAATACTAGTAAGTAAATCTGTGCTGGGCTTGGAAGAAATCCCTAAATTGAAGTTCTGTTGGTTAAAGACATTCAATGGGATAGCTGTTGTGGCTTTTAAAAAACATGTTCTTGTCAAAATTTTAATAAATTCCCAAAAATCAGTAGATGTTGGAATATTTCTGAAACTTGGAGTAAATGATCCACGGTTAAATTGTGTTATTGTACAGAAAATTCAAAGAGATAGTTTTTGTAGTTTTTTTTTTAAATGTTGTTTGTAAAAACTTTGAAAATTCCCCAAAAATCCATGGATAACTGAAACGTTCTGAAACTTGATGGGGTAACAGTGGCAAATGTGTTCTAAAATCATAGCAAGTTTCATGCCAATTGCTCTAACAATGAGGGAGAAAGGAGACCCTGAAGTTCCCCATTGACACAATTACTTAATGAAAAGTAACAAAAAAGTAGTTTACTTGTTATAGGTATAATACAGACCCCGTCCAATTTCAGAAACACTTTAGAAACAATCTTCTCCCCACGCTTTAATTTTGTAATGAGTATTGAAACATTTTAATTGATCGCACAGTCCTAAAAGCAGTACTTAAATTAGATCAAATCCAGCCACAACATACCAATTGCCATTTTTATTAAATTACACTGCTGCTACAGTGACAGCTCCATCCCATACTGCATGAATAAAAAGAAAGCCCCCATCTATTCCGAAGTATATAAGGTTGTATGACATGCACATACCGTACTTCCAAATGTGGAATGCTTTGTTCAGTCCTCCAAACTCCAAAGTCCAATAGCCCAGCATGGGAGAATGAGCTGTGCGGAGGTGGATATTTTTGCTAGTCAGATCCATAAACTCTTTCATCTTGCTTGGCTTAACAGTATAGGTACGGAACTCATAGAACGTGCCATCATGTTGTCTGGGCCCAGTAGCAAAAGATGAGGAAACCTGAAATGAAAACATTTTAGAAGAAAGAACCACAACTTTATATTCTTTTTATATATATTTGGATAGGTGACATGAACTCCAAGACATAGACAGACAGAGWTGGGAGAGTAGCTATTACMCAGTTTTAGTGCTATTGTTCCACTTTGCCATTGTTCCCTCCTATAGTTTTTTATGGTGGTTTGTTGTTTTTTTTGGGGGGGGGGGGCGGGGGCATTGGATTTCCAGCCAGATCACTCCAGTGCCTCCCTAAACTATGAACCCAGTATTTAATAGGATGGAACCAAGACAGTTAAAGTGACCTCCATATCCAAGGTTGATATGACCCTGAGCTTCCCGTGGAAACAGACTATCATGGATAATTTCAAACCCTATTGACACAAATAACTTCTGCCAGAAGTTATCATGGAGTCATCCTCGGGAATCTAGAAAATTCCCAAAGAGGAAGCTTTCCTGGAAATCTGCTAGTTCTTCCAGACTAACACACATGCCCACGTGCACACACACACACACACAGAGGTACCATGGTAGTTCAGTGGGTTAAACAGTTAGCTGCAGAAAAACTTACTGAATGGTATGTCGGTGGTGAACTCTTTCTGTCCGCCTTAGCTTATGCCTACCTAGCAGTTCGAAAAGATGTAATGTGAGTAGATCAATAGGTATCACCTTGGCAGGAAGGTAAAAGGTGCCCATGTAGCAATGCCCAAGCAAAACATGGCCAGGAGGGTCTATGGACAACAGCCTCCTCGGCATGGAAAATGGAACAAGAGCACCTCCCCATGGCCAGAGTTGAGCATTGCCTCCAGACGCCAGAGATGGCAAGGGAAACCTTTACCTTTGTTTGTGTATTGTATGTCATTGTTCACTGTATAAAAAGCATTGAATGTTTGCCTATAGATGTGTATACTCTAATCAGTTCAGAGTCCCCTCAGGGAGATAGAGTAAAATATAAATATAAATAAAGTGTATTATTATTATTATTATTATTAACTTTATTTATACCCCACAAAATCTCCCGAAGGACTCGATGCGGCTTACAAAGGCCAAGGCCGCCGACAACAACACCATGCAATACACAATAAAGTCAAAAAATAAAATAAAACTCATAAGCAGATAATAAACCTCAAGCAAACAATAAAACAGTAAAACAATGTTTATATAATATTATATTATTAATATTATTATTATTATTATTCTATATTATTCTAATTTTATCTGTTACATATAATTAATGTGTCTATTAATTGTTCAACCACATTCATTCTTGGACATTTGGTGTTTAAATTCACCATTGCTTTTACATACAAAACTAATATATGGTTTCCAAGTACTATCAAAATGGTCTTCTTCCAATTCTCACTTTCTAATACAAAAATAATTAATATAACTCCTTCCATGACACCTTCCAATGGAAGCATTACAAAGAATCACCTGGAGCTTAGAAAATTCCTAAAGAGGACATCTTCTGTCAGATGTGGGGAGGTGAAACTACAGATATGTGGGGGTCATACTGTACTATAATTCTGTATTGTAAATGGACCCCTGGCCATCAGTCAGCATGTCTTGAAAATTAGATTAGACACATTCAAATCAGACGAATTTATCAATAGCTACTAATCATGATGGCTGGACAGCATGCTAAGGTTTCTTTGTTTTCCAGCTACATACACCTTGTACAGGACTAGGGTCATCTTTATTCTCATCACGTTAATCTCTTCTGAGTTCAAGCTGGTGCATTACAGTAGCAACCATTGAATACAAAGGACTGACAGCTAGCAGCACGATCAGTTAAGAGACACATGAAAACAAGGCAAAGGGAATTACGTAACTCCCTGCTTCTGGGTTGTTTTTGGACCATTCTACCTGACAAGCGTGTCTGTTGCATTTCAACAGTTTTCCTTGCAATGGTTCCAACAGGGTAAAGTCTTTATTATTCCATCGTTCATTCTGCCAAGAGGAGCCCCTAGGAGGTACATATTGCCACAAGGCTCTAGAGATTTCTCTTGCCTCACAGCATTTGAAAACCAGCTATACTTTGAAAAGAGGAAAATGGAGAATTCACTGGAATAAAGCACCAGACTCATGCAGTTGTCCTGGATTACTCAGTCTATTATTATTATTACTACTACTACTATGCAATGTCCAAAATCTCATTTTGCTCCCAACATCCCCATGGAGGAAAAATCTATCTATTTTCTCCAGTCTTAAGGTATCTCTCACTGTTAAAACCATCATTTTCAGAACACACCATAATTGTTTTCCTATCCAAGTACAGGAGAAGTTGCTATTGTAGTAGAGCCTGTTGGTAACACAACAAGTGGTAGTATGAGTGGCAGAAGAGGGAAAAGGAGTGCTCAAGAGCTAGATGAAGAACAACAGAGGAAGAGGATCCGGGATATACTTATGTCACCTACTGACGAAGATTCCTTTGAAGGGTTTTCTGAGAATGAGGAGGAGGAAGAAGATTCAGTAGATGTGAATAGGGGAACTAAGAGGGTTACTCGGGAGCAAGAATTGGATGAGGAGCGACAAAGGAAGAAGATTCAGGATATGCTTACTGTCCCACGAAAGAGGAGGATTTCATGGGTTTCTCTGGGAGTGATGGGTCTGGGAGTGATGGGGATGGGGATGTCTCACTGGATTGGACCAAGGTGCAAGAGGTTCGAGATGTATGTACTCAGCCAACATCTAATGACAGGTTTGTGGGGTTTTCTGGTGATGGGGATTGGCAATCGGGAGATACTGTGGATTCATGGGGAGAGCTAAGTCTTGACAAGAGGTGGAAGAGTTGGAGGGATGGGCGTCAGCGTTCAGGTGCAGAAGCAAAGCCAGCTGTGGGGAATAACAACGGGGTGGAGGTTAGCTCATCATCGGATGATGAGGTGTAAGATAAAAGTAGGCACTAAAATGTTAGAACTTTGCAGAAGGCAAAGTGTTGGTTTTGTGCCTTGGGTTTTCTCGCTGCTGCTTTCGTGTTGGGCTTGGGTCCCGGATCTGCAGGTTGCTGTTACCGTTCGTGTTACAACTCGGCTTGAACTCTCATGAATGCGGATTTCCCCCTTCCTTGAATTCGGACTGCTTTTGACGACAATGCTGCCTACGTGGACTTTGGAACCTCGCAACTTTGGACTTGGCTTTCTTCGACCTTGGACTTCTTTTGACTACGGCTCTTGCTTCACAGCTCTTTGTTTGTCATTCTTCATTTGCTGTGTTGTTTTGCATAACTTTGGAGGCAATTCAGTTTAATCTGGATCTTTTCTTTGGATAATCCGGATTATTACTTTAGTTTGTTTTTTATGCTGAAACTTGCTGCTACTTTTGAGTTTTGACCAGGAACACTGAAGTAAGTGTCTCTGAGTCCTTTTGCTTTGATTAATAAACTATTCTTTTGGACACAGCTATGGTGTAATGGACATTTGAGCGTTTCCTTGCCTTTCGACACCGCACCTTCCAAATACAGTGTTCCCTCGCTACTTCGCGGTTCACTTTGAGCGGACTCGCTGTTTTGCCGTTTAAAAAAATATTAATTTAAAATATATATAATGGTATTTTCACTGTTTTGTGGGGTTTTACCGCCACTGCTCTCCGAGGCGCTTTCCCTCCTCAGTCCTCCCTCCTACAGATGTGAAGGGCCTTTCCTTCCCTTTTTTTAAGTTTATAAAGTCTTAAAATAGTGTATAACTCCTAAGATAATGTACAAATATTAAAATAAATATAGCGTCCCTACATCGCTATTTTTCACTTATTGTGGGAGGTGATCCTGGAACGTAACCCCGGCAATAAGTGAGGGAACACTGTACTGCTCTTTCAACAGATCCAAATTATAGCCATAAACCTTACAAAATTCATTGGGTCTTCCTAAGTTAACCAGTGACTTGAAGGCATTTATATATATACTACACTTTTGATTTCTGGTCCGTTCTTTTGACAGTGCGTTGTCTTTTTTTTCTGTCAGTCAAATTAACATTATCTAATGCTCGGTGTTGGATTTACAAGCTAAAAAAAGGACTTTTTCCAGTTTTCAACCATTTTCAGTTTTTGATACTGCTCTGGTCCCTAACCTGTCAAATAAGTGGAGGGGATCTGCGTCACTGAATCGGTCATAGAGCTGGTGTTCATTCCAAGGAAAGATACACCAGAATGACACTATGACTGCCATAATGGCATGGATTGGAAGTGATAAGGGGAAAGCCTCTTCCATTGAGAGATAAAAAGCAACCCTACCACCTCTCAAGTGATTTGGGGGCCAGAAACAGGGCCAGATTGTCCAGATCAATCAATCAAAACGTTATTATAGTCAATGACCAACACAAAGTGGGCACAAATTCTCTGGGAAGGGGGAAACAGAGTTTCCCAGTGAAGCAGCCACACACACACACATACACAAACAGATTAGAAAACAGTCCAAATACACGCTTTATTTATCGTGTCATCAGCAACCATACCATTGTATTACAATTCTAACAGAGCAAAACAAACACAAAGATTAAAAAGAAGAAAAAAACACACACACACATAGATTTTGCAAACTTGGTAGTTGGTTAAATGTCCTTTGACCAGTATCTGGCCACTTGGAGTGCCTCTGGTGTTGCCGCAAGAAGGTCCTCCATGGTGCATGTGGCAGGGCTCAGGGTGCATTGCAGCAGGTGGTCAGTGGTTTGTTCTTCTCTGCACTTGCATGCCGAGGATTCCACCCTGTAGCCCCATTTCTTAAGATTGGCTCTGCATCTCGTGGTGCCAGAGTGCAGTCTGTTCAGCGCCTTCCAAGTCGCCCAGTCTTCTGTGTGCCCAGGGGGGAGTCTCATTTGGTATCAGCCATTGGTTGAGGTTCTGGGTTTGAGCCTGCCACTTTTGGACTCTCGCTTGCTGAGGTGTTCCCGCGAGTGTCTCTGTAGATCTTAGAAAACTATTTCTAGATTTAAGTTGTTGACGTGCTGGCTGATACCCAAACAGGGGATGAGCTGGACATGTCTCTGCCTTGGTCCTTTCACTATTTACTGCTA